CACCCACCCCCCCCCCCCCCCCCCCCCCCCCCCCCCCCCCCGCCCCCCCCCCCGCGCCCCCCCCCCATTAGATCAAAAGCCCGTGGCATGGAATTCCAAACTTCGACACAGGTATATACTCCATTTATACCAACTAAACGAACTAAAATCTTTGAAAAGTTTAAGATATATTATTATTGTAAGAATGATATAAAAAGGCGTGCTAATCAAATTGAAATGAGAATTGTACTGTGTCTAGTTGGCACTTGAGATAATAATTGTTGATTAATAACCAATGCTAAGCGTGTGGTGTGGTATTGTTGGCTTCTGATTAATGATCATTATACGGATTATATCCCAAAGGTTTCAAATCCCAGGGCTCTGTCGCTATGATTCTATGAAGCGAAGAGATAGGTAACCCCGATGATTAGAAATGATGTAGTGGGGCTGTTGCATTCGCTCCTATGTTTATCTGATCTAGTATTAAACAATAACTTGACACAAGCAACACCGTCTTGCCAATTGGTAATCTATCAGCTAGGTATCTATAGTATGTACAAGTCCCCCCCACAGATCATGTTAGCCTTGTATTTGCATTTAGTACAAGCATTTGAGATTTGAGTTCCTGGGTCCAGGTAAATTTTCATATGGTTCAATGAACAAGCTGCCTTGCCAACCCAACCCAACCCAGGCCGATCCAAAGTCCAGAAGCTTCCGATATACGGCTACTTGTCTGTTGGAGACTCTCCTCGGTAAGGCTCAACAAATGAGATCCCTATCACATATGCCAACTTGCCTCAAACTACTACTACACGTACATAAATGATATGCATGTCCACCTACCTACCTACCTCTTATATGTAAGCCGCACGTACATGGAACTGCCTACATATGCTGTGAAACTCGGCAAGATGAATTAGATCACGTCGTGCGCCTATAAAACAAGTAAACATACCTCACTTGCTTGATGGAAAGAGCAGACCGACTGTAGTCTGTAGTCATATGGCGAACGCGGTGTGTAATGTAGCAGCGCTCTGTGGACAGGCGGGATATGATTGAGGTCGTATCATGATTCGTCATCTATCTCTAACCGTAAGTATGTATCGTTGCTGGCCATTCGGGATAGACCCTCCCTCGTTCGCCCACTCATATCAAGTCTAAATGAGCATCATTCACGTGATATTTTCTTTTTACCGTTGATCGTCAGGTCCATTGGCCCACGTGCCAACCAACGGAATTACCTGATGTAGTATATCTATACCCAGTACATGCAGCATTGCTTTGACAAGGTACCTATCTATCATCCATATTTTATGTGCAGTAGGTTAGATGCATACCAGCATGCCTAACCTAACAATACTACCCCTATCGTAGCTCAAGATGGCTAAAACTACCGTCCCCACCAGTACTACCGTTCCGCCTACATGTATGATTATAAATGAACTTGCTATGTACCTTAGGTACCTCCTATACAAAATGAATCATTCTGTATCATTCTAGTAAATTTTCTAGCGGCTCACCGTTTAGGGAGGTGGGGGGAGAATAGTGTAAACCGACCCGTGCTCTTTTAGAAACAAGCCCCGTCTATTCGAAATTGTTATGGCTAGTCTAGTACCTATTCCCATGTGGGCGAGGATAACGGAGATAGTGGTAATAGTTCATCTAATCTCCGAGGAGTCTCTTCTAGGTGTAGAAAACTCTTTATATGCATACACTATACGGATCTTACCTCCGTCCTTAGTATTTTAGGGCCCTCAAAGAAAGACGTCGACATTGATTACAGGTACCTAACCTAGTATAGGTACCTAACCTAATGCAAGCACTTAGAAGCTCAACTTGAATCATAATGCATCACTATCTCATAACGAGCCTTCCGAGGTGCTAGACGGAAAAGTAGTCCTAGGGTTTCACAAACATCTCATCTTTAATAAAACCTCAGGCTAGCAACGACTAGATTATGTTGTGCCTTTCAAAACAGTTATAGCTCCATCACACACGCGCGCGAAAGGGAATTTATTACGACGTGTGGTGACCATCTATAAGAGCCCCTGACTCCGATTGAGTGTCACGTGCAAATAAGACATAATAACTCGAGTTACATCGTATCCACAAGAAACCGCCTCGTATGCTTTCTCCGAACTTGTAGTCCTCTTTTCCCCTTTAATGCTAACCAGAGCCCCCTTCGCCCCAAACAAAAGCCTGCCTGGATGGAATCAAGCATCGAAATGTTTACCAACGCCAGCCATGCAAGGTAGAAGTAAGTATAGGGCGCGTTCGTTCGTTCCTTTTCCTATCCAGTAGCACAAAGACCTGATAATCTGCGTTGTCCCATGCTACTTCTTGGCAAACCAAGGACGAGCCCACGATGAGTACAGAAACCCCGATTGCGACTCTTTCGACCTAATAGAATTCAAACCACATCGTGTCTAGTCCGATTCATGTTTTGTACCTCATATATGGACTTCCTACGGGCGAAGGCGCGCGCCTCCACCACTCCTGTGACCGCTGCTCTTCGGCTTGTTCTTTTAAAGCTCCGAGTCCGCCCCATTCGCCTCTACAGCCATAGGACTGCCTCCTTGGCCATGTCGTCTTCGTGGTCGTAGTCTTCGAACAGGCCGTCCATTAAGGTTCATGCTCTCATCTTCATCGTCGCTGTCGGGGTTGGCCTCTGCATGGTGACGTGCCTCGTCTAAGTCTGAAATATTATCCGGTTTGTCTCGTAGCCACTGCATTCGTGGGCCCGAGCGTGCAACTTCCGAAACGCGGAAGCCGTAGATACGAGGCTCGTATATCTTGTTGCCACCTAGTCCAGGTGCAATGTTGCATGTGTACATGCCATTAAGCATCTCCTTATCGTCATCGCTTACGCGCGCATTTGCTAGTACATCAGCGCCCCGTCTTGTAAGGTCGTATTCAGGGAATGTAAGCAGAAACAATGCCCCAAACGTGCGGCCGAAAAATGCACCATCAACGGTCTGGAAACGGCTGTTGGGGGGCACGTAGACATCGAGGCACGAAGGACAAAATAGCTTCACCGTTTCCTCGCCAGGTATATCGGAGAGCCCAACCGGAAGAGTCCGAGACTGTTCGCAATGGCTTCGAGGACATACACCAAAGTGGCCTAACTCATACTTCTCAGACATCTGTTGAATGCCTGCCCGCGAACAGATAAAGCGTTGATGAATTAGGCCGTAGAGCATCTCGGCGGAGGATTCGATAACGGACAGATCACTAGCTATTCGACTATGGTTTCGTCGTTCGCCGTGTCGCGGACGGTCAATACCCTCGATAGATTCGTCTTCTTCGTCTTCTTCGTCCTCATCCTCCTCGTCGTCGTCCTCAGGTTCAACATCGAGTATCATCTAAGGCAAAAATTAGCAAAGCGAAAAGCACCCACGCATTCAGGTTTTAGCTGACCTCCAAAGCTTCCTTATACATCGCGACTTGGGTCTGCAACCCGGTTAGGTTAAAGTCATCTTCGATAAACTCTTCGGACACTTCTGCGAAATATTCGTGGCCCAGGAGGGAACAAAAGGAGGAAATCCAAGATTCCGGGGTACCAGATGATGAGGACATTCTGGCAAAATTTGGTGCGCCCGAAAAAAAAAACTCCTATGCCGAACAAATTCCACTCGCGTAGGAGTAAATATAAAGAAGGGTCGCAAGGTGTGGTATTGAAGAACCCCGCAACACCGTGGTTACTTGTGGTTAAGGGAGACAAGAAAAAGAGAGAGCTATGGCACCTGCATGACGCCGATGAAGGCGAAAACAGGGGCAAAAGCAGAGGAAAACAGAATAATTCAAAGAGGCTAGGGAGTAAAAACTACACCTATAGATGCCTGAAGCAGGTCTCGGCAGATGGCTATTGTGATACAATGGTGAATCAATATTGTGAAATAGTTGCGATGGATACCTTATGTGTTGATAAGTTTTGGCGGGGGGAGGATGAGAGGAGGGAGGCTACCAAAATTACAGTTTACGGATTCAGCCCAGTCTAGCCCAGGGCAGCCTTTGCGCGATAGTGGTCCGTGCGAATACAGATGCTACCTAGGTACATAACGCATGCGGCGTCAAGGTCAATTCAGTAGCCACACTTTCAAGCTGATAGGTCAAGCCGCAAAGCAAACAAGAAGAACCTGGTCCGTGCTAATAATTCCGTTATCAGATTTGACGACTTCGTTACAGGTACTGTACATAGTACATTAGGAGGTAGGTACATACCTAATGATTTACATCTTAAATTATTTCCACCAATACCTTGCTCCAATCACCATACCAGCCTATGACTTGACTTTCTTTCTATCGATGCTGTCTAAACTAAGACTCAACTCGCCAGGTGCCTTGGCGAGACACTGCTTCCGTTATTCTAAAGGTCGGTTTCAGTTTTCGTCTACTCCATTGACGAATCGAAGCGATAGTCAACTCGGGGCCAAGGACAACCCAAACCTCTTCGAAGACGAAGAGACAGAGACAAAGACAGAGGAGCATGTTACTCGCGTAAAGTCACTTATAGGCATTGTCGACTTAGATTCGTTTCGTAGAGACGCATGGGTCCCTGAAACCCCGTTGCTTCTTCAAAACTTTCATAACTTACCAGCCATGAAGAAATGGTTTCAGCACACCCGTTCCTGGACCAGCTTCTCAAGCTACATGCAACCATACGAATATCTCCTCCTTCCGTATGAATTAACTGTTCCCGAAGCTTCCCCCGAAGAGGAGGACTCGGCGGACAATGTCCTAGATTGTTTTCTTGCATGGTTGTATAAGTCCAGCGAGGATCAGAAGCCACGTCTGATGATAAGTCTTGATGCTATAACTCAAGCGTTAAGGGGCGACCACCCGTTTCGAAACTCATCTGGTTTCCAACAGTTCAATGCGCCCTTGGGCTTGATCATGAGCGCATCTCAATTCAATAAGACCCAAAAAGAACCCTCTAAGCGTATCACAAGCCTCTATGTTGCTCAATCTGACCTTAACGACCTGCCTGGTCCCCTTTTCCAAGACTTGCCTGTGCCTGATATTGTCAAATACGCCGGTAAGGGAGATATATACAATTCGAGCATCTGGCTCGGATTACAGCCTACCTACACACCTTTACATCGAGATCCGAACCCGAATTTGTTCTGCCAGCTGGTAGGCTCGAAGAGAGTACGTCTGGCAGCACCAGACCAAGGCGATGACATATACGCTCGTGTTCGCACCCTGCTCGGCTCTTCGGGTAATTCACGACTTCGGGGTACGGAAATGATGGAGGGTCGCGAACGCAAGTTACTTGAATTTGCTGTAGAGCCTTTAGATGAAGTCCTATTGAAGCCCGGTGATGGCTTATTCATTCCGAAGGGGTGGTGGCATCACGTTGTCAGCAATGGTGACGATGGGGAGTTGAACGCTTCAGTAAATTGGTGGTTCAGATAGCATCCATATCCTTCAAAAGCTCTTCGCATGAGTTATAATAAGTATCTCACCAGTTGCCATATTACACTCTACGACCTAAGTACCACTAAAACAAAGTACTAATACCTACCTCTCAATAGGCGACGTACTCTAACTAGTAGATAATTACCTAAGGTACCTAGGTACGTAAAGGCGTTTCCAAAGTCGATCTACATAATAGAGTATATCCAGCGTCACCCCTTAAATATGCTATGTTTTATGGATAATACTCTCGCTGGTATCATGTATGATAGGAGATTTGCATAACTTGGATATTATAACCTAGGTATCCTAGATTAAATACATATCAAGAAAAGACAGCAAAGGACCATTCGCGGCAAGTCTTAACTAACGAGACCGGTGAGCCTGTTGGCTAGCCAAACAATGTTAGAGGGGCTCGTGGAGACACAGATGAGGAGAAGGACCTAGGAAACGTGTCAGTTGTAAATTGTTCCAGAAGTCTTGTCTTATTGTCTGATCGGTTGAATAAGTCTTACTACTAATGCACATCCGTCTCCTCGTGCTCGCAGACTGAAGGCTCGCATTAACAAATAGAATGTGTCCGATGAGGCTAGAGAGAAAGCAAAGGAGAAGTTGAAGAACGTGGAAAAGTAGATAGTACTTGAATTTCCGGGACTGAGCTGGTTTATGGGTACTTCAAGCCGATGTACATAGTGTGTTTATTACGACACTGTTCGCGAGGCGTTCCGATATACGTGGTTAGCAATATCACCCCCTTTAATTGACATCGTTCTGGTATAACAAATTGATAGTTATTTTTCAAACCCTCGCAGTGTTACAACTTCTGTACTTTCACTTAAGTGTTACCAAGCCCCGGTTATCAAAATAATTGACAATTTAGTCTTATTCAATTAATTGCAGCAATTTGTATGAAACTGTTTAGGGAGGTATGCAACACGGCTCTAAGAAGACCGTGATCTTGATCAGACCACAGATGAAATACAATTCCCCCAAAACGGCCTCAATAAAAATTGTAATCTACCACAACACATCCCCGTAACTACACTTCCTCGGTGAGCCCCAAAGACTCGTCACTAGGGTCGGCATAAGAGCCTCTAGGCTTCTCGCCCCTGGTCCTCTCCTTCAGTACATTCTTCTTATCAATAGCTTCGGCCTCGTCACGCGCTAGCATTACAGATTAGCCACCGATACTGATTGGCAAAGCGTCGGTGAAATGGCTTTTCTCACCTAATTGTTTATCAGAGTCGGCCTCAGCAGGATCAATAGGATCTTCGACATTCTCGTCGTCTTTTAGGACCGGGATGGAAGTATTGTCTTTCTGTCCCCCTGTAGCGTAAGACGAGCCATAGACCTGCCCTTCATGGGGCCCGGTAGGTAGTTCCCCGGACGCCTTGTCGTTTGCTTGGTGCAATGCGTTCTTAGACATGGTTGACAAGATTTGAGCTTGGTTAACCTGAAAATGTGAGGCTTTGATCTAGAGATGGAAATATGTTAACTTAATAATGCTGGTATTGTATGAGTTACATGATTCTATTTATCTATTTAATATCTGGTTCAGAGCAGTCGTCATACAAGCTACGCTTATTCTCAGCCACGATCGAAGGGATAGGTACATGCTGTCACTGAGGCGGTTGATGATATAATCATGACCGCGACATAGGCGTGTCTATCCCTTCGCACATCTCATCATGTCGTAACTACAATTCTTGCTACAGCTGATTGTGAATACCATTTCTAGATTCGCACAAGCAAAAAGAAAGTCTTTAGAACGTCTACTTGAGTATATCGATCGTAAGTGAACATATAACAAGAGCGAGTTCTTTAGGGATCGTCATGTCTTGGATCATATGATCATCACTCGAGGCCGTATGGACTATGCACAACGCTCTCTCTTTGTTATCACAATACTATTTTTTAGCTTTGCCCCTTGCTTTTTGAGTGGCTTAATGATAGCTATGAGAACATTACAATGTATTCTTCTGGGAGTACATTCTGGCTTAATATAACCAACAATATTCGTTACTCGAATATTCGAAATATTAACTCAGTGGTAAGAACTCCCATAAATAAAGGTGCGCTTCATAACATTTCGCTATTCAACGGTCCGGTATGAGAGCGGAACATAGAAAAGCCTTGAGAGAAGCTACGGTGTGGGACACGGCAATGCTAATCATGGCACATGCCGCTAGATCTGGACCATCGACTTGCACATTATGAGCCTTAACCGAGCGGGTATTGCTTTTGCAAAGTTGTTTGTCGTTTTTACCCATACTAGCGGCCTCGAAAATTAATTGAGCAGTCGACCCACACAAACCAACGCCACATATAATATCGACTGTTGAATTCAAACAGTAGCAAGGATTCGTAGAATGGTGAAGAGAAAATAAGAAACATTCAATAAATAAGTATAGACTTTTACAATTATTTTGGTATTATTTTTGTATTACTTACTGCTGTTTTGGCTGTAGAATTATTGAGTGACTGAAGTACCTAGGTTATTAGTTTTGGTAGGGCTGCTCATTTAAAATTCGATTACGCCAGCCATCTTTTCTATATCTGGTTTAAGAGAGAGGGTCGACAACCAAGGTACGAAGTAGATAAAGGTACCTGAGGTGGGTACTTACTTGTTCAAGGGGTATGTCGATATCGATCCAGAGTTTTATATAAATTTCCCTGCTAAGTTCTTTAGTGTATAACTATATCAGTTCTTGGGCATCAGCATCTATATATTTGAGGCGTGTCTATCTAGAGAGGGTTCGTCATGTTTTAACCTCATAATCTATGCTGATGGTACTCCTCAGACGCGGTCTAGGGACGTTTGCCGGCGATTCAGTCTTCGTCGACTTGCCTGCTTGCTTGATAGTTCTTAGAAAACGTATGGATGCATTGTAATTAACATAGGGTTCCTGGAAATTTGGTACAACAGGGGTAGATATATGGATATGACAGCGGGGAGACATTTCCGGGCAAGGGACCATTCGTTTTTGTGACATTTTGATTGGATTAAACAACTACGAGGCCTCGCAGTGGAGCTTACTCCGGGTTCCGAAATATTAACACCTTCTACTACGGCACAAGGATGCACATACTAGCCTTCGATCTCTTCCCGACGTTACATTCTGATGGAGGAGTCGTTGGTTTGCTTACCACGTACAATGTATTAACTCTAATCACGTAACAGGTAATCGTAACTAAACTCTTGCTTTGCTAACGGGACCTCAAGTTCTTCGAATATGTTGAATTTATCTTCATTAATTAGATGTTATATCTTCCGCCTAATGCTGCTATTACAAGGGGTATATAGGCTACCTATCATTCGTTATACCAGTGTAAATATCCAGTCCGGTTGCAATTCCCAAATACGCTAATATCAAATGCTTTCAATGACTTCCTGAGTTTCAACCTGAACCGTCACCGCCGAATTAATATTTGCGATATCGCTCCAGGGATTTTCTTTTTCCTGAATCCAACCTGTTTGAATCTCCCCACAGCACACGATGAATAATTTCACTTTGCCATTGACGTATCCCAACTCGACAGCTGTTGGAGAGGCCAAATTGCTCACAATAACACTTGTCGAGGTCTGGCCTGTCGAGGGCTCGATGTTAACCTTCCAAATAAATCCATCCTTATAACTGCATGTGTAGGCTGCCGTCTGATCCCGTGTGATAGCTAGTCCGTCACAATCAGTGATCTCGTCGGAGAGAATCTGTACGGGTCCGCTGACGCGGATTCCTACGGCCGGGTCATCGTGGACTCGTTCGATCGGAATGCGACCTAATAGGCCGGCGCTAGTATTCGTAAACCATATAAACTCATCCGATACACATATCCGGTTAAGACCAAAGAAATTTCCTTCACCTTCCGCTATCTTCATACTATCGTCGGCCATAAGTATCGTTGCCTTGCCTGTCTGTGTATCGACATGCCATATGCAGTTCTGAGTCGAGTCTGGTAGTATCACCACACGATCCGTAATAGCGATAACGGCTGCGCAGAGACCCGATTCTGGGATTTCGGCTAGCTTCGTAATTTTGGGTGGGCTACTGTCGTCTGGGCTGAGGACAACGCGCCATATAATAGGGTCGGTGAATTGGACACCGCTTAGATCGCCGATAGTTGACAGGACGAAATATTCATCCTTAGTACCTGGTATTGGTTCTGCATCGACGAGACCAGTCGTTTGATCTTCTTCAGTGAAGGTATGTAGTAGCTGAGGCGTTGAGTCCGGGTCTTCAGGATTCAATGTGTATATTTCAGGTTCGTCTAATCGACAGGCTAGAATTCTGCCATCGGGCCGGAAAGCAAATCCTTCGAACCAAGAATCAGATGGTAACTGCGTCACTAGGACGTAGTCCTCGTCAGATCCCTCCTCAAGCATCGCTGAATAATGGCTATAAAAATAAAAGGTGAAAGATATGATTGTAAGTAAAATGTGTATTAGATTCGGGTTGGCGAAAACAAAATGGATAATTCAGAGATCTTGCAACCTGACCGAGTATGAAATATGTACTTAAAACCCCTATCGTGACCAGCACAATAATAAGAGTTGGGCCCCTATCCCTGAGCTATACCGAGAATCTTTAAGCGGGCATTGCCCATTGCCCGCATGAACAATCCATGTGCAAATGCGGCACACATAAGTGGAGAGTGGAGATTAAGAAAAAAAAGATCGGGAAATTATCTTGTTGCTGTGCTAACTGCAAACTACAGGGAGTCTTCCTGCTTCTAGTTTGGATGCAAGGAGAATATGCTTAGCGCATTTTAAGTCATTTGAAGATCGCTGCTAGGGTAAAGATCTTCTTAGATTGGTTGATTATACACGTTCGTGATGTCTGTTTATACGCTTAGATACCAGGTATCGAAGGAGGTATGCTGCAGATACAAACAACTCGCTTTACGCGGTTGTTGGTATATATCCAAGTATTACTTCGTCTAGTTTGTACATCTTCGTCCTAAAGGTTCTCTACATAGTACTGATCGACTAGATTGCCAATGCTAGTTGCCATCGTCGTGGTAAGCGAACCATAATCGGTTAGGAGACTTACTTAACGCGAAAGTCCAACCGGTTCCCGGGTCCTGACCACGTAAGTCGCCCAGTCGCACCGACCACGGACGTGGGATTATGATCAAACACTTCTTCAATTATCGATCCGAGCGAGTTTCGGAAGGGTTCCATCAATTCCATGTAAGTATAGGTAGGTACCTGTAATTAAGAGATATAGAACCACTTGGTTACAGTTCTATCATCGACCTTATTACCAGATTTCTATAACCATGGGCACGGATTTAACTACCTAGTAGTAAACGATTTAGTCTAACCCATAATCCATAGCTAGAAGCCTTCCCTTGTTATTTCGATCAGCGCCAGTTAAGCAAGCTGTCCATTAAGTGATTGTTGTCTACTAATGTATTGTATTGTATGTAACTAACTGCAGATTACCCCGACTAACGTGTTTAACGGTTAGTCTATTATGGCATTTGCTACGTCCACGATGCTTTTAGCCCCATTAGTTTGTGGGTTAGGAAACGAAGCTAGCCAAGAATCTAAGCCAGAAAGACAATCAAAATGGCAGGACAGCAACTGAACCGAATTCTCAATCTTGTTCCGGGTCCACCGCGGATGCCCGAGCGTTCTGTCCCAGGTACCTACCTAAGGTTGTAATCATATGACCCAATCCAATCCCTATACACTATTTCTTTTGGAGAGCCCCAGACCATATCTGTAAGTAGGTACGAATACATATAGATATAATTCTCGGGTTATAACTTGAGAGTATAGCCGAAATTGAGCCCCGAGGTTGTTCAGTCCATTTGATGTTTGAAATATGTTGCCGTTCTTGTCGGGCTTTGCTTTTTAAGAGATCGCCGATGCCCATATAGTTAGTATGATAGGTAGTCAGCAGCGCCGTTGCAGCCGTCCGCAGCTCCCCTTGTCTAGTTTCCAGCCTTTTCTGTCAGAGATACATAGCCGTGACTGTGATAAGCTCTGCGGTTATGAACTGACGAATTCCTAAGCCTGCGGCTTAGAATCCGGTTGGATATCACATCCTTCAGAACGCCGTTAAGTTCCAATACTGGTGAATACTAGTACCCACCCCTAACACAACCATAAGCTCCGAACAAACAATAGATGGATCTAACCTATGTAAGCTACCTAACTTAGGTTACCTATTATTGTTATTTTGGGGGAGTCAACCTGAGTACCGTATTGCGGCTCAATTGTCTATTAAGTCATTTTCTTGTTAACACTTTGTTTAGTTTCAAGAGTAACTAGCTCAACCGGATACGGTTATACTACTACTAACTATACCGAAGGATCTGGGGCTTGCATTTCAATGCTTACGTGACACCAAAAGAGAAACATCTACATTGATAACGATGCATATTCAATTCATGATATCTGCGGCTTGCAAAGTGGTTGCGGCCGTTTTGTTGTCAATTAAAATACTAACATGCCCGAATTATTCTACAAGCTACCTAACCCAAAAGGCATCCTACGGCATGGGATGTTACGCCGGTGAGATGTTGAGGCCAATTCCAGAACCGACCTCACATTTAAAGCCAGGTGCAATGGGCTGGGGGAGGGTTAACTGACCACCAGTGCATGTGGCGAAATGCCGACCATCGTTAAGGCAAGTAAGATGACCTTCTACGCATGTCCCTGGATTAGTTGGAGAGCTTTCTGCGGGTGTGCCGGGAGATGGCAGTCCAGTAGGCGATGATAAAGATGCAGATGTCGTCGACACTGTCGAGATAAGGGAAGAGAACACGGTTTCGGTTTCGGGTTCCGGCATAGGAGTCGGGATAGGTTGATAGAGCGGGCTTGAACTGGAAGTTCCTGGTGGATTGCTCCCTTGCCCTTGCTTAGCTCGAGGATTTCCATCGCACTGCTGCTTGAACAAATTCCCGGCGCCTTCTGGGTGGTCTACTGAAGCACCAGGGTTTGGGAACGCAATCGCTACCTGTTGCTTCAGGGCTTCTCCAGTTGTGCACCCTCCTGATACTTCTCCCATGTTGGCCATGAAAAGTTCGGGAAAGGCTGCTTTCTTCACAAGCGACGCCTTACGAGCCGTACTGTCTGAACGTTTCGTCTTGGCCGAAGTAACGGCAATAGGCGCACAATTCATGTAATATTCCGGTTGACCTCCAATCCGAGCAAGCCACTAATATGAAGTCAGTATCGTCAGTTACAAGTAGTACAGGTTCAGAGTTAAGCTTCGCACCATTGGGAATTACATAGGCAATAAAAAAAAAGGGGGAGTACTTACGGTCCATGCAAAAATATAGTTACCTGGCTCAATGCCTTCTGGTATCTTGAGGGAGTATTGGTCATGATTTGGGCCGTCCAAGTTGCCTCTTTGATGGCGTGCAGGACATCCTCCTTCAATGGAGTGGATGACTTTCCATTCTGCAGCCTTAAGGGGGTAGGTTTCCCATGCACCGTCCTTGACTGGCCCGGACAAACTGAACTGACAGGAACCACCACCGTGGACTGCGTGTCCCGAAAATGAAACTCTTTGGTCCTCTCCAATAGCCATAACCGTTGGAGGTCCTTGGGGTTCTAATTTACCGCCAGCCGGTATCTTGCAAGGAAAGTCTTCGCCAGATGGCGATATGGGGTTAGTTGGGCCATATTGGGCAAACTGAAACGGCTTTGGAGCTTCGAGCACAACATGTGCTTTTGGAAGAGACATTAAGGCCGAGAAGGCCGTTATGCTAAGTAGCGTACGATGCATGCTGGAAGATAAGGCAGTAAGGGGGTAGTGTATACCGTACTGTTGTAGATTCCAAAAGCAAGAGCGTCTACGAAGTTGCTGTAAAGAAGGGCAGGATAAGTACTACATGTATTAAAGGAATAAGAAAGACAAAGAGTCGAGAACAATAATTTTATATCCCAGGCATACGGAAATAATAAGCTTAGGAGGTACCTATGATTATTTTAACCACCACATTCTATAAGAGTTGCAGTCACGGGAGACAACAAAAGACTAAATAACAATGTTACTAGATGAAAGCCCAATTCAACTAGAGACATAGTGCGAGTTTTTGTGACACATTTACTATCACAAAGTCTTGTTCAAACACTCGGTTCAGCTCTCTGAATGTCTTTACTCACAGTCATTCTGCAGTAACCGCATTGGACTCTTTCCCACTGCCTGGTGATACCTCTTTCCGACCGGGTTATCTATACGAGCATCATGCAAATGCTATCTACTATCGAAAATGCGGCTGGTGACAAAGTTCATATTTTAAGTCGTCTTGATAACGTAGGTCTTTCATTTGCCTTCCTTGTGGCGTCCTTTTAGGAATAGGACAATACTCCTATTCACGTAAGGTATTCGGCCAATAGATTTAACAGGTACTTATAGGATGCATCTCATCAGATCACAGATTTGATACTTGATGTCAAATGCCTCGCGAAATTCGGCAACATATCAACATACAATCGCATTCGTATTCTCCAATCCTCAGTATAGATGTCCTGTCAGAACAACTACCTGGTAGGTACTTAGCTTAGGTACCCTAGCCACCTATAATAGGCCTGGAAACTATCAGGGATGTATGCATAACAGGTACCTTACCTAGGTAGGTAGGTAGTGTAGTATGGAGCTAAAGTAGCTCCGAGAGGCAGCTCCGGTTACTCCGAGGGATAGTACCGGAGGCGCCGGACACTAGCGCCGGGCGCGCAGCGCCCTCGTAGATCTAATATTCACTCCGTGTATGACAGCCATCACGGGATCTCTCTGACACCTGAAGCCTGGGGCAACTGTGGTTTAGAGACAGCGGTCCCAATAAGATGAACCAAACAAACGTATCGTTAGGTACTTCTCATCTAGCTTGACGTAGGCCAAGCCAATTATTTTACTTTTTAGGCTTAACTGGTAATATTTAATATTTACAGGTCTGAATGCCTTCATTTTATATGGAATATTGTTAAATGAAATTATAAAAGGACTGAGCCCCCCAGATTCTCTAAAATTCGGATCTTGGTAAGATCAAGCCCAGCCACCGCGAGTCAGTAGTTACTCTGATCTGCAAGCTGTATTATGTACACCACTAAATGGGATCTTATACCATGACTCCTCGAGAACTTGGGGGCTTCGATGGCCCCAAAGAATGAGGATTAGTGGTCGCGCGAGCCTTTGCGTATGCGATGCAAGTATTATGTCAATTGCTCGGCGGTCGAACTCACAAGGGGCTGTCTATGCTATGGCGCAACGTGCTACGGGGATTTCTGATGTCTACACTCTAATATAATTGAGTATTATCCAAGTGAGCTGCAATTTAAGAGAGGCTCATGTCAATGCAGGAACATCGATAAGAGTTTAATTAACAATTAATATGGAACTTGGTCACACCCGTAACCAGCTTTGGCAGCATCATTTTCAAAACAGGTAGGGTTGTATTGGAGCTATAGCATGGACCGATTCAGGCTCTTCCTCCACATGAGGCTAACCTCAAAGCCAACACTACAACACATGATTCCGCCGGGAACCCGGGCCACTTTCCCCACGATCGTCAGCTTTAAGTCGGCACTTCACGTTCCACGCATCTGAATAGGTATAAAAGATCTTGGCACGCCGAGGACACGGTTTGGGGAAAATTGAGGAAGGCGGAGGTTCGATTTATCTACTCGATCGTGGCGAATCTACGAGAAATGGTATATATATATGTCCTCGGATATGAGCTGCTTCTGGAGTTTTGTTGCGTGCTTGTCACTGCATCGAAATCACTTGAAGGAGGAATTCGAAGACGTCGAACGCAATGGCCACTAACAAGCTTGCCCTCGGCCTCGCGGTCCTAGGCCTTGCCGCCGCGCAGAAGCCTGGAAACACGGCTGATGTTCACCCTCAGTTGACAACTTACCGATGCACCGTGGCTGACGGCTGCAAGGAGTCGACTAACTACCTCGTCCTCGACTCTTCTGCCCACTGGGTTCACCAAGCCGGTAGCAACGCTGGCTGTGGTGACTGGGGAAACAAGCCGGATGAGACTGCTTGCCCTACTAAGGAGGCATGCGCCCAAAACTGCATTAGTACGTAGAATCGCGAAATCTTATGTCTTGGTAGTCTTTTGAAAGACCGCAATGGCTGGTAACTAACGCGCTGCTATAGTGGAGGGCCAGACCGACTACAGCAGCATCGGTGTCAAGACTGACGGAGCTTCGTTGAACATGCAGCTAATCGTCGGCGACAATGTCGTCTCTCCCCGCATCTACCTTTTGGACGCGGCCAAGGAGAAGTACGAGCTATTGAAACTCACCGGTGCCGAGGTCAGCTTCGACATCGAAGCTAGCCATCTCCCTTGCGGCATGAACAGCGCTCTTTACCTCTCTGAGATGTTAGCCGATGGAGGTAAGAGTCAGCTGAACCCTGGTGGAGCTGCCTGGGGTACCGGATACTGTGATGCTCAGTGCTATGTTACTCCTTTCATCAATGGCGAGGTAAGCGATTGGCGCGTTTTCAGTTTCCATGATTCCTGTGCATGATGGTATCATAGAGACCTAAGCTAACGATTCTATTAGGGTAATGTCGAGGGCAAAGGCGCTTGCTGCAACGAGATGGATATCTGGGAGGCCAACTCGCGCGCTAACCAAATTGCACCGCACCCTTGCAACCAGACTGGACCGTACCTTTGCACAGGAGATGAGTGCAAAGCCGACGGTGTCTGCGACAAGAATGGATGCGGCTGGAACCCCTACCGCCTCAACCAGCCTGACTACTACGGAAGGGGAGCGGATTTTCAAGTTGACACAACCAAGCCCTTCACGGTCGTTACCCAATTCCCTGCCGATGAGCAGGGCAAATTGAAGGAGATCCATCGCTTGTACGTCCAGAGCGGCAAGGTGATTAAGGCCGAGGTCGTGAAGAAGACTGGCGTACCAGAAGTCTCGTTCACCGACGACGAATACTGCGCTGCGACCGGCGCGAGCAAGTTCATGGATCTAGGCGCCCACGTGCAAATGGGCGACGCTCTAACCCGAGGTATGGTCTTGGCTTTCAGCATCTGGTGGGATGAAGGGACAAACATGTCGTGGCTTGACGGTGCCAAAGACGGTGCTGGCCCCTGCAACGCTACCGAAGGAAACCCCTCCAACATTCGAAAGATCGAAGCGCACCCCGAAGTAACCTTCAGCAACTTGAAGTGGGGAGAGATCGGATCGACATTCCCTGCTGCCTAGGCGCAATAAAGAAGCGCTTCGGAGAAGATAAACATGTATAGATATACCATATTAAATAGATATTGCGTTTAAGCCTTATATTGCCATTCTATGATGATTATCTTAAGGGCTGTACTGAGTAGATTTCTCCCTTCGCTTGTTCATGGACAGCTGATCCCACATTTACCTCTTGTGTTAGGTACGGATACCTACCTACCTAATGAACAAGTATCATTCACACGCCTAATAGATTTAAATCCGTATCGAATGATCTAGAATACCAAGTATGAACTTCACTGTGACCATGCTTTGAATATATGTCGTATTCCGCCTAACCGAACGTGGAATTGACACAATTGACTGGTTTAGAGTGTAAGAAGGACGCGATTTGGATATCTACCTACCTAGGTAACTTGCAGTTGATGTTAGCTCAATCCGCCTTAGGGAACCACAAACAAAACAATATGGTTTCAAGGTTTCGCCCGATTGGATGCGGACCGAAACATAGTAAGACCACGACTCAGGCACAGCCATATGTAGTATTAAGCAGACCGCAAACTATAGACTTTCTGATGCACGACTGTATGCTAAACAGGCGGTATGCTTAAGTCTTCAGCTAGGGCTGAGCTCGCTGCACCTATCGAAAATCTGTGTTGCAACACCTTCACCGACTCTTTGAAAAGTGACATAAGCGATGCCTTTTGGAACGCACCACCACTGGTTTATGTTTCCAATATTGCTGTATGACAGATGATGACGACAACTATTCTTAGCACATGGGGAAGTTCCCTATTGGCACATCTCTACTGAGAACCTGTCAGCAAGCAGATCTCATCGCCATAGGGCTGGATTGACCCGCCCCCATTATCAGTCGCGTGGAAGCGGATAGTCACCGAAAACGAGAAGACGACACATAAAGCGAAGATAATATATATAAATATAGGCTAGCCTACTACTCACTTGCGTAAGACCGCACACAGCCTGACACCCCAAGAGTTTAGATTCATTCTATAAGAAGAGAGCATATCCGTTCACACATTCGCCATGCAAGAAGAATACATCGTCTCTAAACGTTATACCAAACGTTCCACACCCAGCCTCGCAATACGTTTTGCGCAATTCATCAGCAGCGGCAAGCAAGAGAATATCCGCGAGCGACCCAAGGGGGCTCATCAGCACTAATGGGGATAAAGCTCAGGTTTGTATTTATTCTGCGATTCGTCTGATTCCCTTGAAAACGTTGACTGACGTATTCTGCTGTCAGCTCCTGGTGGTGGGGAAGTAGGAAGACCCAGGCGTACGACGAATGGACCGATAGACAATACTCCTATAAGAGCACCTCGTATACACTACGAACTCGATAGTTCTACGACCAATTGATGCGGCGCTGTGGTCAATCGACACGATGGGCTGTAAAGCTATCAAGCGAGCAAGGCTAAACTCCGAAGATTGTTTCTATACGGGCGTCTACTAAGGAAGGATTGGTTTCAATTTCAGCAAATACTTCACGACTATTTTACCAACAGCTACCTCTTACTTAATACGACGAATTGGAGTTTCGGAGTCTGGTGTCGGGGACAAAACGATGATTTTAACTATTTGGGTATACCTTTGTATTGTTTCTTACAGCTAGGCACAACCACCAGTACTCCTTTCAAGTATACAATACCATACAAGTTCATCTCCCACACACTGATATAGATCCTGTAATCACGGTGATGAGGCCCGACTAAGGCAGTAACTGCCTGGCCGTTGCTCACCACCCTACTTACCCTCTTAGATACCTTCATGCTCGTACGGAAACAATGCGGATAGGCTCCAGCCTTAGTTTTGTATCCAGGCATCAAAGTTCCCACATTCTAGGAATTATTTAACTCAATCTTGCGCAGATAGAACGAAAATTAAGACAGACACGATCCATCCCAATACACGTACACTACATCAACGACAACTGCCACAATGTCTTCCACTCGAACGAATGCCAAAGAAAAGCCTTTGGAGCATACATCTGCCCCTACTAACTCCTTCGTATCAACGCTGATACCTGACTCAGTCAGAGAAGCCAACATTCGGATGGACAAAATGAGCGAAGCGATCGCAAAATCTATTGCCAAAACCGAACAGCGGCAGGATCAATTGGACGCTAGACTGAGCAATATGGAGCCATTGATGGAGGAGATGGCGAATATAGGTAAAAAACTGGCAACCAGAATGAAGCAACGGGAGAATAACTTGGAAATGGAGCCAAAACAACAACCGAAAACATCATCGTTAGTAACGTCGTTAGCACTAACGGTCATAAAAGCAAATGATCCGGATCCCCGGGCATTTTTCGAGGCACCGCTCAACTCTCCACCACCACACGTTGCTCGGAGGCTAGCTGACGGCAGGTTCAACCTCGACATCCCGTATCTTGAACTTTTAGCACGCACTCCCCAAGAAAGATACGTGATGACGGCGTGGCCGAGCGTGGCGCTACCCGCCCGAGTTGAGAAGTTCCAAGGTTCATGCCAGGATACAAACAGAGTCGAGATACCCGCCAAACTCAGACTGCTTTGGGCCGACGATACAGCGCTCGACAAGCTTGATGAGATCCAGAGAGTATTGCAACGAGCTCTCGTCCCTTACAATCGCTGGCCGATGCGCGTAGCGTTGGAGATGGAGGCGGACTTTAAAACAATAGCTATGTTTATACAGAATTGGAACCCGGACTGGGTTACGGTTGTAGAGGCTATACTGCAAGTCCTAGCTAACCATCACGTCATTCCCCTTCGCCATCCCGTCATGGAAGGCATGTAGTTGTACGGGTAGCAGTTCTGGTCCTCGGATTAGTTGGCAATACAATACAATACACACGTATTGGGGCAGAGAAGGGAGAGAAAGAAAGAGAAAAAGACTCACTGAGTCCTAACTAGTCCTTATCATTAGTGATGATCAGAATAGAGAACTGCCGCGCCAATACTATCCCCTTGCTTTCTAATGTAGTGAAGTGACTTCCGCAAAATTCTTGTTATAGTAAAAAGGAGGTATGTTTCGCTTATAAAGAATATAATTTTTAATCCCCTAAGACAAGGAGAAACTTTGTAAGAAGGGTTCAGAGGTACCAAGGTAGAGATTCTAATAAGTTGGATGACGTAGATGTATTTTCGCAAGGTTGCTCCTATAGCTGCATAACTTAGGGTTATGCTACTAAAGAGTACCCAAAAAAATAAGCCTTAGAGGTACCTTACAGAAGCTTATCACTCCATCTAACATCCTAACCGCAATCTTGTTTCATCCCACTACATCGACCTAATCGGTCATATACACCCCCATCTCTCGCGACCCTCGATACAACATCCTACGAAACCCACCTAGAGACAGAAATCCATTCCACGTCTATCCCACCGACCGATCCCACCGGACCAACCGCCCCACCGCCACGATGCAGGGCTTCAACATGGGGCGCTACGTGCCCCCCGACGTAGAAGGGACCACGACCGGCAACAAGCTGCACAAGAAGCGCCCGCCCGGATTCTCCGGTGGCCAACAGACAGTACGCTTCGAGATGCCCTTCGCGATCTGGTGCGCGCACTGCCCGCAGCCCACGCTCATCGCGCAGGGCGTGCGCTTCAACGCCGCGAAGCGCAAGGTCGGCTCGTACTTGTCGACGCCCATCTTCGCCTTCCGCCTCTCGCACGCCGCGTGCGGCGGCGCCATCGAGATCCGCACCGACCCGCAGCACACGACGTACACGGTGACGGAAGGGGCGCGGCGGCGCGACACCGGCTCCCCCGATCCGTTGTCCTCCTCTTCGACGCTGCTGCTCCTCACAGACAACAAAGAACGCGAGGACCAGCGCGCCAGCGCGTTCGCCAAGCTCGAGAAGACGATCGCGGACCGGACGGCGGCCGCGGGCGCGCGGGAGCGCATCGACGAGCTGGCGCGGGCGAGCGCCGCGCGGTGGGAGGACCCGTACGAGCGCAACCGGCGGCTGCGGGCCGCGTTCCGGGCCGACCGGAAGGAGCGCGAGAGGGACGGCGCGGCCGCCGAGGACCTGCGCGAGAGGATGAGCCTAGGGATCGAGCTGCTGCCCGCGAGCGACGAGGACGCGAGGAGGGCGGCGCTCGTCGACTTCGGCCCCTCGTCGGCGGAGGATCCTGCCGCGGGCGGCGGGGCGATGGGGCGCAACAAGGCGCTTGCGAAGCCGTTGTTTTTTACGAGTTCAGGTAGCAACAACAGTAGTAACAATAACGATAACAAAAATAATAGCGCGGATATGAAGGACGATAAGAAGAAGAAGAAGACGAAGGACAAGAAGCTCAAATCCGAAGTCGCCGCTGCCCAGATGCGAGACAGTCTGGTGTCGGAGATCGTTGGGAACACGCGGGTGGCCCAAGACCCGTTCCTGTCGCTGGACCGCAGCAATGGGGATACCAATAAGGGACCGGCCAGGATTGCTGGTATCAAGAGGAAAAGGCAGGAATCAGAACTTCAAAAACAAGAGGAATCCAAGCCGCCCGAAAAGGGGGAGGCAGCTGATATGGAGCAGGAAGCGAAAGGTATAGTATCGTTGACGTCGTTGGTCGAGTATGATTCAGATTAGTATATCTCTACGTCGAAATGGCGTCTCAGAGGAAAAGGGGGGGTTCTTGTTTTGGTCATTATAGAGATACCCGTGTTCGAATATGGGATATAGCATGCATATCAGGGGAGTTACAGGGAGCACAAGGCAAAAAAACACTGCTGAGCTCATCGCATGGGACTAGACGTGTGTTGATTGATATTTATTGATACCCTTGTTCTATAACAACGATAAAAGCAATGAATTGTGCTTGCTTCCTAACGATATGGGGCGAAAACAACAAGTTGGCCAACAACGTATCGGAGGAAGTGAAGTAAAAAAACAATGCTAGCTGTTGAGAAAAGTTGCAATTCTAGTAGACGGCTCGATTCCGTATGCAAATTCCGTGCAAGAACACCAAAACCACCCATAACCGCAAGACAAATCCGTATGACTCCTTAATCCAGAGTTGATTCATTGAATAGAGGCAAGTTGAGATATAAAGGAACGGCGTGAGACAGTAACCTACACGTCATCCATCTGGCCGGCAGGTTCGTCCTCTTCATCCCCGAAGCTCGCAACTGAGGACATATCATCGTCATCTTCGCTCTCGGCTCCCGCGTCATCTGCAGCATCCTTACTGGCATATTTTTGGACGTATTCTATGTGCTATTAGCTAATCCAGCCCCCAAATTTTTTACAGACGCAATGGCGAGCATACCCTTAACCTTGGCGTCGTAGCTTTTCGGCTCCCGCATAAGCAGTGCAGCTGCTTCACCATTCAGGGGGTCGGCGGGGTTGGGATATCTGAGAAGTTGCGGGAGGAAAACTTCGAAGATGTTGATCATGTCGAACATCGGCGACCACGTCTGGTTAATAACGTCGAGGCAAACTGAGCCGGATCTATTCCATGATATCGCTTTTCTTAGCCACGTCCTAGACCATAACAGTCCTCACATCGAGAGATACGCATCTGACGACCCAAGCCACTTACAGCTCATCTATGTTGGGGTGGAATATCCGGTTCACAAAGCCGATGCTAGGAGATTTGTACGGGTATTGATCGGGTAGCTCGACGTGGACTTTCCATGTTCCGTTCTCGAAGGGTGCTATGTACTGTTAGAACACAGCCGGATAGTGAAAATCGACTTTAGGAGGAGACTAACTCTCAGCGGGTCCCTTGAATCGGACGTAGAACTCTTGCCTGGAAATGGGTGAGGACTTGGAGAACAAAGGGCGACACGGGTGAACCGGCTTACACTGTAATTAGGTAGTTAGTAATGCAACAGAGATCGAGCGGTGCGAGGGGCTCATTACTATTGTCGTTGACTAGAGTGACCTCATAGTCGGACATAAGCCTACGAGGATTTAGTTGGTGTGTTAGGCTTCGTTTGGTAAGAAGAACCATACATCCTGCGAGATAGTTAGTAAAGTACAAACACAGAGTTGATAAGAATTTCACATACTTCATGACCTGGTTTATGATTACAGGTTAGCAGAAAATGTCTTGCGAAGTAACTTATATACCTAGGTAGGTATATATACATATAACCACCATAGGCTCATGGACTCACATCTGTCTCGATTCGTCTGCGTGGGCTGCTCATTTTGCTCTGATTTCTAATACCCTTTCTACAGTTGAAAATATTCCTTCCAAGTAGTTGCTTCCGTTACTTTGTCTTAGAAGCTCCTAAGATCTATGCGCTAGGTGACCGGTCTTTCTCTCGTACGTTGTCGTCGTCTTTTCGGGGTTGGATTGGAATACCGTGATTATTGTTTAATGGAAATGTTCGTCGTTCTCCAAAGACTGACTACGGGATACTTTAAATCGTAGTAAGGACGTTGTACAGATTGGTTATTCCTATTTCTCAGATTTTGTCGAATGCGCCGAGGAAAGAGACGTTGGGGGGAGGGAAGAGTTGTTATGTTAGTAAAAAGGAGGGAAGGACTGAGTGGAAAGTTGGAGGTAAGTTAAAAGACTTAATAAGTAAGTCAAGATCGGAACGGTTACCGCGGTAATGGTACCCAGCTGTATTGTACTTTAGGTTAGGTAAGTGCCTTCTGCCTTTAGGTACCTTAAACAATTGTAATAGAGGTATTGGTAGTACGACCTAATGGGATTTACCGGTGAAAGAGCTAGAAACAGGGGAGGAAGTCCAGGAGGTTCTCTTGCCTTTTGAGTCTTGAAATCCGAGTCAAGTCACGCACTCAATGAATGCATGCAGTAATGACGCGACATTGTGCCCAGATAAGCCGATTCTGGCGCTATTCTATGCGCCAACTCAAGCGCTAATATATCGAACATAACTGCCCCGCTAGCCCCGCTACAAGACAGGTATACAAGATCCGTATAAGGTACTCTATACCCAGAGCACAGTACCTAAGTCAGACGCTAAGACACAGTAAAAACACCTGCTGGTAGTGCTGTATTAGCACATTGTAATCGCTACTGCTGCTGCTATCACAACTCAAACTGACATTGTCATTTTAATAACTTTTTCCATCCATCCTATCTACATCATATTATCACCAGCTGTATGTAACCCTTTCCATTACTCCAACCATGCGTTGTATGCTTGCTTCCATACCAGGTAGTGAATATTGCTTACCTGGCATGAGTTTTACTTGCGCCCGGTAGAACTTCTTTAACCCATGATTTGTCGATTTGTCTTCCCGACCTTGAGCTTCCCCCCTTCTTACCCCAAGAGATCAGCCTTTTCAGGTTGGTGTTATATCCAACTAATGCTAGGATAAGACCGCCATGTATATAAGTATAAAGTCTGCACGACATGACCAGTCGTGCCACGGGGTCTCTCCCTCAATGAGCCACCAGCTATGGTATATCTCTGTAACATACCCAGCTAAGGACTCGCAATCCCTTACGGGCTTATACACGGGTTTATCTGGTTGCATTGTCCATCATTACGGTTTAGACGAACAGCTATGCTCACTGCGAGAAGTTAGCTTGTCTCGATCAAAGGGGGGAAAGAAAATAAAACTACAGACGAGACTTACCTTTCCAACAGCTTGTTGAGCATTTGGTGGCAGTTTTAGACCAGGGAGATCCAGCGGTGCCGGTATCACGCCCTTGATTCCGCACGTAACCTCGATACTCCTAAACAGCCCACCGACCGCTCTCTGCTCCGGTATAAACACGGCCAGGTTGACAAACGTCAGACAATTGGGCTCGTTGAACAGGCGCGCCTGGCATCCATCATCCTTATTCGCGATAAAAGTTCCACATTGCGCTACCCCGGGTATATTATAACATTTCGGAGTTGAGTTTTGTGATCCAGGCTTAGGCAGCTGGATATTTACCATTGCCTTGCCGCGACAGTCTTTCGGACCTGGTGGCCCTGAGAATAGTGATACGAATATTGGAACTACTGGCTCAGTTGGCTGCGCCTGACTTCCCGTTGCAGTGTCGCTAGGCGTATTCACATCCACCTGTGGAATCCCTGATATTTGCGGTACATCGGATACTTGTGGGATATCTGATTCGACGACGTGTTCTACTATTGCATTTTCCGGTAGGTAATCTGTCTCGCTCAATGCCGTTGTCCCGTCTACTATCAGAGGGCGTATCGGTTGCTCCGTCCGTATCCTCTGACCTGATATAGGCGATGCCAGCCATATCCCCCCCGAGACGAGAAAGGTTATTGTGCGGTCTGCCCGTATTTTCATTCTTATTCTTTTTACTCGTCGAAGTAATTGAAGAGCAAAGAAGTGTCTTGAAGTTCTATTTACATGGCAGCAGCATTCGACTTGAGACGTTGCCAAGATGCGCTTCATATCAGTGTGAGCGTACACCTTGGCGTTTCACACTTCATCGATCTACTCCATAACAGAGCTAAAGGGGGGCTTTGATGCATCATTGGGTGTTATGAATTGGAATTTCTATATATAGACATGACACCCGTCTATCAACAGATTTTCATAAGCCGGAAACAGATTTAATGACAGTCTCTATCCCACCAGCCCATCGACAAGTTATTTACACGTATTCTGCTAGGCACCCCTTTTCGGTTCCTTTCTGGCAAGCCGGTCTAATAGCATAGGAGCTAGCTCGTTATCGGCCATACAAACAAACAGTAACTCCGGCAAGCTTAGAATGCTATTTAGGCACTGCAACGGAGAGCTCGTAAGTAGCGCCCGGCTGGATATTGGTGAGGCGAGCTTCCGGAAGAACACGATCTCCATGCTTTACCACGATTTCCTTTACGTCTGCTGAACGGTGAATGTCGATAATTAATGTGGCGCCGCGGAATAGACGTGTTACTTTAATCGCATCCCAGAAAGACGGTAATTGCGGCTGGATTCGCAAACCCTTCGTATCTCCGCGAAGACCACACAGTCCTTCGATGAAACTCCGGTATACCCACGATACAGTTCCCGTGTTGAAAAGTTGGCTGGAGCGCCCTGCGGTGCGCGGATATTGCTGGTACGCACCACGGTAGTAATTGGGAATGTACACGGGTAGCTGGCCCCTCTGTACGTAGTCCTCTTCTGAAGGTCCAGGAATCATCCTTCGCAGGGTATCATATGCCCGATCGCTCTCGTTAATCGAATACAGGCTATGGACGTAGAAGGCAGCGGCATGGTTGTAGACCGATGCATTCTCAGCTGAGCCGGGATACTTTTGCGTCACGCGCCCTACGTCTTCGCGCATGCCGCTGTATGGGGGAGCGAACATCACGACGCCGTAAGGTGTACTCATCTGCGAGTCCACTTGAGGCAATATTCGAGCGATCTGATCGCTGCTTGCTGCCCCGCTTAGGATAGACCACGACTGCGGGTTCAGCCAGATACGACCTTCGTTGTCTGTCTTAACGCCGAAAATCACATTATCGTCCGTGATTCCCCGTGCGAACCAGTCCCCATCCCATAAGTGTGCATTAGCTGCATCGTTGACCTCCTTAGCTTTTACGCGGTAGCGTTCTGCCAGATCGGCTTTACCTTCATGCTCACAGATGTCCGCCCATAGCTTCAACGCAAATGCAGTGGCAACAGTCTGCCATCCAGATACGCCCTTGCCTTTGTAACCCACCATATTCAATGGATCGCACCAATCACCCTGTGCAATGTAGCTCAGCCCGCGCGCGTCTCGGGCCGAGAGCAACCAATCCATAGCTCGACTAAACCGCTCGAACACAGTATAGGTGTCGCCGTGCATTCCTTTTACTTGCTCCTTCAGAAGATCATAATCGCCAGTTTCGGAGAGATACGCTTCGAGTGTAACTGGCAACCAGATGCAGTGGTCGGTGTGCGGGATCTGATTGATGTACTTGAGCTCGGCACCCTCCGCTAGCAAGATACCATCGGGCATGGCCCCGTTCTTCTCCTGCTGTGCAACGGCGGTCAAGAAGGCTCGACGTGCCACCTCTGGCTTGATATATGACATGCCCATGTTGTCCTGCAGGTAATTGCGTGTCTGCGGATCTGTGGTCAGCCGGTTCACGTCGCCATGATAATAACACTGCCGCGGTAGCCAATTATTAACAAAGTTGTCCACATGCTTATCGGGGGTTTCGATCTGTAAGCATCCTTTTCCCTTGATGATATACTCTGCATATTCCCGGCGTGTTTGTGCAAACCCTTCTTTGCTGAGATACTTAGCCCTCACAGAACGGATTTCGGCGTCATCGTACGCAGGCCCGAATAAGAAACGGTATTCCTGCTGCTCATCTGTCTTGAGCTCCTCCCGGTATTGTACCACAGCCACGGGTGTCTCGTACCGAGCATCGCTGCAGCTGAGGTCTGGTTGTGCCAGTGACGAAGGCGCGTGAAGACCACCTTCGCCCTCGAAGGCCTGTTGCATTGCCTCCCATGATTTTGGAGGGGTTTCGCACAAGAAATATGACTTATCCTTCAAATACTTGTTCTTGAAGTAATCTGTCGCCTTTTGGTATGGTGTGATACTGTTGCTTACCACACCACCGAGGTCCGGTCGCCATTCAGCTTCTTGATTCATCCACGACATATACCCAAATGGGAAATAGGGGTACACGCTAATTCTGCGCGGTCGCGATGATATGTTGGTTACTTTGACCGACCAGAGCTCTACTACATCATGCGTGGGAATCACTAGCGACATTTCGACGCGGATGCCGAGATGCTCGATGGTCCAGAAGATATCGCTTTTGCCGACAGAAAACACGAACCGGTTGAGCGGAGCCCGTACCGGTTCATATGGTGCCGAAAACAGCTGGCCAGTCTCTTCATCTTTGATATAGACGAAACGGCCCGGATGGTGAGCATAGTAGTTCTGCTCAGGCTGCATGAAGGTCTTGGCCTCGAGGTTCGGCGCGTGCGCGTACTTGGACGGCTCCGGCTGCATGAATTGGGCCGTCGCATACCCGCGACAGGTGATCTGAATCATCATCTTCTGATTCCACAAGAATGCGCCGGCTTTCGGAAGAGCCGTCGGGCTCGCCAGCTCGTAGCGGTCGCCGTCGTCTGTAGAGCGTAACATCGTGTTCCCTTCACCTTGAGCCGCAAATCTGTTTCTCCGGTATCTTCAATTAGGTCTCCCGGCTACACCAGGTCATTTAGGAATCCGGAGTTACGGTTTATAAAGGTGACAAGACAAACATATCATGGACCATGGGCACCGTTAGGCCGGTACACGGGGCTTGGCGTATGGCCCTCGTGCATGGAGCTCGCCTCGGGAGAATATACGGGTAAAACCAATACGCCGCTACAAGGCGAGCAAGGAACCAATACCTTGCTCGGTATAACAATCAAGTGATCCACATGAATCCTCCAAGTTGGACAAAGCGTTCGAGGACATTGTTCGATTGCCGCAGATCTACTTGTGCTCGCTCAATTTTCTCTAAATTCTTGCGAAGTAATGCCGGCGGCATATGTCTTAATGCACCTCTAGGTTGTACTGTGTATGCAGACTCCAAACCGTTGCTCACAAGACGAAGCGATTCGTGGGGTTCTACGGTATACTAGTTACTAAGAGCGGAGATGAGATCGGAGGTCTAAGTAAGGCAAGCTTGCGACGTCGTGGGGGAATCGCTTCGCTACGGAAGAGCAAGCCGACGAGCCAGCGAGTTAAGCCGAATATAGACTGGCGAGTCCATGGCATGGAAGGTTAGTTCCAACATTCTAACGTAGGTACACTAGGTATGTAAGGACGACTAATTTCTTATTTCACCCGCTGAGCTATAGGAACGACTGAAATCCGCGGTGGTCGATAATGATTGGTCTGACAGACTAAAAGGTAATTAAAAAGGTATTCATAATAGTCATACCGATTACTTTCAGGTATCAATTTAGATTGACATTGTTCCCGTTTCTTCTATGATGAGGTACGCCTTGAAAAGCAATAAGCCAATAACGCCGAGAGGTTCTTCTCGCTTAGAAACAAATGATAGTTAACGGTACCCAATATGTGTTAGGTACACTTTTCAAATGTTACGTTGTTAACAACCTAGCCCATAAACTCGATTCTTGCACTAACTTGGTCGGGACCTTGGAGCTACATAAGAGACAACTATCGAATCAAAAGCTCATGTGGCTTCGACGAAGAATAACACGAGCTTGTGGCCCAGAAGCTCGTATAAGACTATGCAGATATCTACAGCTGTAAACTTAACGGTGGCACGAAATGCGCATTATAGACTATCCGGAAGGAATGCGGCTACCTAATAGTTATAAGAGTGTATTTGCGAGAAAGCCTCCTTACCTTTTAACTAGCTTACGCTATAGGCGGCGCGATTGATCAGGACTATACGAGTAAGCAACATGTATCGGGGTACGAAGTTAATCCTTGCCCGAGTTGATTCTGATTGACAACTGGGTGGTTATAGCGCGGGAAAGGGGGGCTGTCGTTCGGTCAAACTTAGCTAGCTCGACTCTTAGGGATACGAAAGCAGTCGAGTGATAGATACGATATTCCCATGGTTTCCATCAACGACAATACTGTAAACTACGGTTAACCGGAGTCACCTTCGCAAGCTCCTCTATATTCACCGCTCGATGCCCACCACCTTCAACATTCGCGCGTGTTTAGTCCAAGGCGAGCCAAACGTAGGTGCCTGTCAAACAAGAGCCCGTATGAAGCGGCACACCCTAAAATAGACCTTCTCTAGGCGTTTATTTTCTGAGTTATATCTTGGCGTTCTTGCTGCCATGTCGAACTGTGCATGCCAGGAAATCACCAGCTTCAACTAGCCTGCTAGTCCACCACCCGCATGCCCTCCCTCTTGCTTCCGTATAGGAAACGCCGAAGATTACTGGGTATCGGCATACGTATGAGGACACTCGTATATATTTTGCGCCGAGTTGACGCCAGGGGTGGGATGATTGTCGATGTAACGGATAGTGAATATCCAGAAGAGAAAAGTCAAGTGGAGCAGCGTGGTCGAGAACAATGTAAACGTATATTTTCTCCGGCCTTCAGTTGCCAACAGCAACAAGCACATAGCTGAGACGCCCTTAGCCGGGAAAAATACAGTTCGAAAGGTCTTACCGGCCTAGTAGCTACTAGACGAAAGTACTATTCACTATGCTTTCGCTTAATTGAAATTTGCTTTCTATTCATTTCCGACGCCATCCGTTATAGCACTTGCCGCCATAAGCGGCCGGTTCGAATATTATAGCTGACCCCCTCCCCTCAAAAAAAAAAAAAGACGGCGGTAGATTGCGTGGATTGTGACAGCGCTCTATAAAGCATTAGCAATTAGATACGCTTGAATCGACATCAACTTATGCGGCTAGTACAGTACAACCATTATAAAGATAAGAAGGTCGATGCATCACCTAACTTGCCATCAGTAGTCCAGCATGCTATATAGCCTCTCAAACATAAAAACAGCCAAGTCACATTATAATGCCAACATTATAACAAGACGTCTGCTACAACAGCCCAAGAGCATCCGATTTCCTCGTAAAAGGGTATGCATTTCTGCGCCTTCTAGTCGAGCCACGCGCCAGCCTGGAGCGGCATCCTCACGCCGGCCTCGAAGCCCCTACAGATCGCGATATGCAACGGCGTCCACTCAGCATCGTCGTACGCATTGACATCAGGGCGATCTGCCGCGGACTCGCTCTGAGCCGCGATGTGCAAAGCGCCGAGCCATCCCTCGTCGTCGTCCTCCTCCTCCTCCATGTACCGATTCTAAAGACTCTTTAAGGCGCGCTGAGCGGCCGTATTGTCAACTCGTATATAAGTTCCTATCATCCCTTGGGAAGTTACGTCCAATTCCGGCAGAACCTGCGACGGCGAGGGAGGGGTGGGATTAGATGCGAGCCCCGTGGCCGTGCCCGATAATAAGAAGCCACCTAGGAGGTAGGTAATCTATGACATCGGGATCCCAGAAGCTTGTTTCGATCAGAGGAACATTATCCAAACCACCCATCCCGGCCTGAAGTGACAAACTAGTAGTACCTAAGTTACCGTAGTTGTTAGGAAACCAGGCGAGTTCATCGAACCACCACTTTGTGGAACTACATGGTGTTAGGAAGTACCGGTTGGGCTGCAACTAAATCTGGTGCTGGGGCCCAGTTATAGGTGTCCCTCTAAAACTTGGGCGAGCGTCAGAACTCAGGGAAAAGGGTGAATATCGCCTTTCACCAACAGCAACACGCCGCTTACTATTCTCCTCCTTCTTTCTATAAAGCACAGAAGTCGTCAGGCCGAAAAGGTAAGCGGTACAATAAATAGGTACGTATTATTCCTGATTACTTAAGGTAAGTTACGACGGAATCTGCGTTCAGCTATCCGAGTTTGAAGCCTTCGATGTCCATGAGGATTTTAGTTTTTGTTAGTAGTAAATCAGATTTCCCGAAGAAAAAAAAAAAAAAACTGACCACTTACAAGATTAAGTGGGGAGGTGTGATCGGGCACTCGGGCAGGCAGGGATCCCTAGGCCGTTACAGATGCGTTACGGCGGGCTGCAGAATCCATGTTACCTTAACTTGGGTACCTAAGGTAGCATTAGCTGCATCCGCGTACATGCATTAGGTAGTTGTGCACAGAGACCATGTTCTGTGTACCTGCAGCAGACTAATTAATAGGTATAATCGAAAAAGGAGTCATTAAATACTAAACTGTATTAGCTCTTGGGGCATATGTACTATAGGTAGGTAGGTACCTTAGCCTACCTTGTAGACGCTGGCTCGGTGGGATAGGAAGCCATACTGGTCATATCACATACGCAACATCAGAAAGGGGGTAAGGGTGATATACAGACTTGACAGAATCACATCTACATCTTCACAAAACAAAGCGGAAGCCTTCGTAATATAAAAAAAAGTTGTATCAGTTCTTAACAGAAAACGGGATACGGTATTCTCATATCCCCATGCGCAAGTTCAGAAATACGCCACTCTAGTACACGTCCGGACTCGTTATTACTCCTTCCCTCCTTATGTGCTAGAACTTTCCACTCCTCAACCTACTATCTTACAGGACGAACATGCCAACACCCGAGACCAGGGCGGTGACCACGTAGGCGACGAAGAAAGCCTTTCCATAGTTGAAGAAGGCGGGAGCCACCATATTACCCATAGCGGCGCCTTCGGATGTACTGGTCGCAGCTGCAGTACCCTGCTGTCCAGTCGGGCTAACTACAGAGCCTTCGCCGTTGGTACCAGCCGCCGAGATCAAAGCCGAGCACCCGGATGAGGTCTGGGGGCTCTGAGTTTTAGCCAATCCGTTGAAGTCACAGGCGCTAGCCTTGTTGTCGCTGTTCAGATAAAACTGGTTGGCCACAAAAGCGAGTTGCTGCTTGGGAGAGCATCCACCGAGAGCACCATAAGTGCCAGTAGTAGCGTTATGGGCAATTCCCTTGCAGTAATCTTCATTCTCACCACAGATGTAGTTGAACACACTCGCGTACGAATCCTCATCATCGGAATCGACGTTGCATTGCAAGCTAGCAACTTCACACTCGCAAAGCTGGGGGTTGACCGAAGGAGGAAGAGGCGAAGCAGCAGCAGCCCATGTCGTGCCACTAACCTTGGGGCAGGCCGGGGCGGTGTTAGATGGCGTGTACGCGCTCGACTGGGTGAGAGATGGTGTAACCTTGGCCAACTGAGAAGAAAGCGAAGTGTATTCGGGATACGGGCTAACGCTGTCACCATCAATAGAGACTAAACCATAGTGGTTTTCCGCTTCGAAATATTCGTAGACGATTCCACCAGAGAAGACAGAGGTCATGTTACCGTAGAGAACGGCAACCTCAGTAAAAGGCCTGTGGCCCTTGGGGACGCCATCAACGCAACCGTATTCAGCGAAGAAAGCAGGGACGGGGTAATCCTTGAAGAAATCGACGCGGGTACCATATGAAGATATCTCGTAGTTGCTGTCTCCACACCAAGAGTAAACGTTGTAGCCCCAGAAATCAATCGACGTAGAGACACCATCCTCAGGCTCGCAGGCAAAGTAATGAGCCAGCTCATCTCTGCTAGGGACATCAGCGGTTGCGTAACCAACACCCAAAGTATCACGGTAGTTCATCTGCTTGATGTAGGCCTTCGTGTCTCGTACAGCTGCCTTGACGAAAGCAGCAGACGATGTCTGATTCTGCTTCTCCACGACTTCGTTGCCAGCAAAGAAGCCAATCACGTTCTTGTACTTGCTAAGAGAGTCAATAACAGCAGTGTAACGCGTGTAGAGACCGACATTCCATTCGGGGTTGTCGCTGTCGATGGAAGTACCAGGCTCGCCAAGATCGGCAATAACGTAAATGTCATTGGAGGCCAGCTGCTCCATACAGTCATCGTGGTCCTTAGTAGGATCGATAGCGTATACTCGGATTACATTGGTGAAGATTTTCTTCATGACAGGAATGTCTCGTTTACACTTGTCAGCGTCGGACAACGGATCAGTGTACTTGCTGTCGCCAACGTTGTTGGCAGTACCATTGGGGTTGTAATCCTCCTGATAAGCTACGCCCTTGAGAAGACTAAGGGCACGGAACGATTAGCTTTAGGATTCGCCAAGGCGGCCAAGACGGCGTGTGATAAGATAGGTAGTTTAAGGTTAATAAAACTTACAATTGGGAACCATTGTTGGAGTAGAAAAAGTGCTGGCCTACAGCCTTGATGGGCGGGATGTCATTGTAGCTCTGAGCTAATGCGCTGCCAGAGAGGACGCCAAGTCCCAAGGTGAGATATGAGACGACCGAGGGCGTCCACATCGTGACGGCGGCTGGTGTTCTGCGGTCCTAAGCTAGAAAGATTCCGAGAACGACCGGATGACCAATAAAAATAAAGTAAAAGTCAAAACTCGGAATTTTGGAAGATACCACCGAAATGAAAAAGTAAAACGATAACGAAAGTGTATCCGTGATGATAACGAGTGTTTGTTGTTATTGTTGACAAATTACGCGAACGATAGAAAAAGAGGCCAAGAAAACGGAATGCGGGAGATTTTAGTTGAGACGGGAATGAGAAAAGAAGTAGAAAAGCGGCGAAACGTGCAGACGTGCAGGCATAAAAAAGAACCAAAGGCCAAAGGAACCCGAGGTGGAGGTGGATCGTCAGACCAGAATCAAGTTCCTTCAGTCTTTAACCAATGAACTTGAACGTTAGTTTCAAAAATTTGGAGAATAAAACCTCTTTTGCTTAGTCCTCTTCTTTTTTAATGTTGGTGTGGGAGAAGAAGGCGTCAGACTAGGAACAGGAAATTTGGCCGGAATCAGTGCAAAGAATGTCCACCGGTGCGAGCGAGTTGCTATGTAATTAAGGTACGGTTTACATTAACGTACGCTTGTATTGTACACGCATACTTACAAGGTTCCAGGTACTTACCTCACATGTGAGTAGGTACCTAATCTAATAAGGCATGAGGTACGGATCTGTAAGTTACTCAGGAACTGTGTACATCTAGAAGCCTTTTTTGTTATTACGCGACGGTTTGATTGGTTACCCATTATAAGGAGAACATGAAGAAGGAGGTAATGGGTACTCTAACGGTTCACTGAATCAGTCAATTAGGTAGGTAGTCAAGCTGTACCGCTGGATCGTGGTTGCCATTGACTGTCTTCAATTTCCTCATTAGAAGGAAAGCTGATGTGGCAGACAGTGGCTATGTAAAGCGATGTAGTGACTTTACGAGGGCTATGAGGGGCTGGATGGGCCGTTCGTAGGGCGTGCGGTTACGAAAGACCCCTCCATAGTCACACAGGTGACGTTTACCCCAAACCCAGTTGGCTTGGCAATGCCGAACTATCCGTCCATAAACGCGATCCAAAAAAGCTTAGCAAACTTGGCAGGCTGGAAACTCCACATTTACCGCACTGCTTACGTACCACACAAGGTACCTTATTATTTAAATGCTGGTAGCCCATCCGTAGATCATCAAGCTACATCGAATCTAAGATGTCACTAATTGAAGATCATTAGAAAAAAAAGTTAATTAGTAATGTGAAGAAGTTTAAAATACCTATAGTGTACACACTATTTTAACAACTACTTAGGTAAATAATATGCCTTCTTGAAACATGGGACGAATTAAAATATTTACGGGAATAGCATGTATTGTAGGTACCTAACCTAGCGATCAACACCCTAGCTGGCTATTCACCGCAATATCAAATCATCAAAACACAACACCATGTTCGACTGTTTGAGTGTTCTTATCTACAAAGAAGAGAGAAATAATAGATCGCGTGCGTGTAGATGTCCTGTATCCTGATACAGGATAAGATATTTTATGGGTAAGCGAGAATAGGAGAGTTTCTCAAATCAGATAGTATTTCCGGGTCTTGTCTGATTAGCCGCCTTTAGTGAGGCGGATTGAGAACTGACATAAAATGCGATGTTATTTTTATAGCAGGTACCTACCTAGGTACCTGTTCTGTATATAAAATCATTGTTATCGTGGAAATCGATAAAGTCTTCTTGAAGTACCTTGTGCCCGTGTTAATCCCCTCCAGGGTCGGGTCCTATTTGATAGGTAGGTGCCTAATTAAACAGCACAGCTACAGGTTCGGGTGTGGGAATGACATGGGAGGACTGACGCGTGTTCAGGGGAGACTTTTATATATTAAGGGTATATAGCGGGGAATTAGGCATTCCTTGGAGTTCTATGTTATTAGTTGAGGGACTAGGTTACTCTGTAGGAAGGTTGGTAATATGGCTATTAAAATATCCATTGCCAGCATCTCGTCTCCGTATGTTTCGCAGACTTATCAAAAATAATATGCCTTATACCAACACTTTAAAGACGGAAGATTGTATATAACGTATTGTAGCTTTCAATATGCTCACAGCTTGGAAACATCACTTGGTACCTGCCCTCTCCACCCCCTGATGGCCACCCGAGACATCGGTTAACATCACATTACATAGAGTAGGTACATCCACAGAAAGAGGTTCCATCGTGTCCAAAAAGTATCTCACGCATCCATAAGAAATTGCTTAATCTGGGCCGTTTATTAATTGTTTGAGCTTAACACGTGCATTCCTCGCCTCACATGCAAATCAGGTTTATATCTTCAACGCGCCCACCGACAACTCTTAAGCCTCAGTTGTGCCAGGAATCTCCTTAACCCAAGCAACCCGTCGGTGCGGGAACAGCTCTACGATCGGCTTGGCAGTTTCGTTGATGAACTTAGGGTCGTCTATGACACCCGCTTTGATAATCGGGTTGAAGTTGGAGACCTTTCCATTACGCCACAGAGTCGAGCCGCAGTCGCCGCAGAAGTACGACGTTATCTCATCCCCACTATCTCCACGTACGGTGAAGGTCTTTGGGGTTCCTGATAGAATCTTGAAGCCGGCTACGGGCATGACGACGTTGGTGCTGAAGGCTGAGCCCGAGATCTTGTGGCAGTCGAGACAATGACAGAGCATCTGCGTAAACGTTAGTCTAGGTACTTATGTAGTGACTTGAAGGTTGACGAGGAATATAATGAGGTTATTGTATAAAAAAGGTCCAACCTTGCCTATAGGCTCGCCTTCAATCGAGATGCGAATCTTGCCGCAAAGGCAACCACCTTCATGGGCCATGGTATACGTTCAGGGGAGATTCGTTAGTAGGATATAACGAATAGATGCAATCTTCCGATAGAGTAATAAGGACGTAGTACTTCGTAGTAAGCAATGCAATGTTTATGGGTGTGAATTGTTGGTTAAAACTCAGCAGGTGCCATCAAGGTGTTCCGAATCGATTTATATAAGTTTTCCTTGAGCAGCAATTGATATGCTTGATCATTTTCCCCTCACGGCATCATGTTCCGGCTATTACTACAAAATGCGAACATTTGGACCCTATTTCTGGGTAGTGCTTAGTTTAGGTACACGCTGAACCCGGGGACTTTGACATGCAGTAGGGCGTCGGAATTGACTAATCAGTCGCCTATTTAGGGAATTCAAGATGTTGAATTACTGATGGCGGCTGTGCTTCGCTGTTTGGACTTTAGCCCGCAGATCCCGAATCCTTCAAACGGGGTTTTAGGTTCGGGGTATACCGCTAAGATGATGATGATGATAATGATGATGATGACGATGATATCTTTTACATGTATTAGGCTATTTACAGTAACGGTGTTGAGACGTTGGGATTGATACAAGAGATATTTGGTAATTGGTAAGATTGAGGCTTACTGTAAATCGCTACGTGATTCCAAATGACAACTTCAAGGGCGTGAAATCCACCATACCTCCTATGCATCACAATTAACACAAGCAGTAATTCCCCGCTTCAGAGCGCCCAAGAATGAAACTCCAATCCACTGCTCAGTCAACCAGGCTTGAGAGGCCTCGTATAAGCGCGCGGTTAATGTTAGGTCTCAGCGAATAGATGCACCCTGCGTCTTGTCAAGTTGGGGGTCGCCTACCATCCCGAAGAGGGGCAGACTCATTCAAACAACATACCTATGTATACCTTGTGCTAACCATGAGGCCCTGATCGCCAAAATTCTATAAACACTTGCTAGTCTCACGTTCAGATTTCGCTAACTCTGGTCTCCTTGCATCAAAACGTTAGGTACAATTTAAACATCTCAAAGCATGGCTATTCCTTCTCAGTCGATATTTAAGATGAGCCCTCCGACCTTGGGCAGATTAGCAAACGAGATACTTATTACGTTCATCTTTCGTAACACACCTTGAACCAGATGATGCTTGATATAGGATGCTTATACGATCACCGTAGCACCCTCAAATCTCTGCATCTCAATTTTCGGAACTAGAGCCTCTTCGCTCATGATGTACCCAAGCCTACTTCTAGTCTCCGAAAATTCACTTCTCCAGAAGATTTACTTCTGAATCCAACCATGATGAACAACAGCCAGAGAACAAGTCGACACCAGCTAACTAGGATACTTCCCTCCTTCCTTCAGAAAGTTGCAAATAGTTGGTATGTTCGGGGCGTTTCTTCCAGGTCTCTCGAGAGGTCTTCAGGGTGTTGCGGATGCGGCATGTCGAGGAGATTTTCCTCATCTGAGAGAAGTCAAGCGTGATGTGGTCATAACGTCGTTGGTTACGCCCTAAGTGAAAGTTCCGCGAGAGCCAATGTTTCTCGATATGTCCTATACTCATGCGCTGCCAAGGGCGGGACTGGTAGCTTGCTCTGCGATAACGCTGCGCCCAGATATGGGAATCGCATACCAGGGTATTGGCAGGCGTTCAACTTCCTGCATGCAGTCAACCAATAACGGTGACTCCTCGGGAACTCGCGCTGATAACCATCGTGAACAGAATCCCGAGTCTTCCCCGTCGCATACCTGCGATAAAGGCGTCTCTTCTTGCACTCACATGTAAGTCCAATATATAGAAACGAGAAGATAGTAAATCTTAGTTAGTTCTCGGCTCCTTCCAAGGAGTTAAGGATTTGGGTGTAGCATGACGACCCCGGATTGTGTGAAGTTATAATGTATAAGATATAAGGAGCGGGTAGCTATCTACGTTACTTTATTGATAAAAGGTACCTAAATATTATCCTTCGTGTGAAGCTCTTAGATTTTCGTCGAGACTTTAAGCTTGACAGTTGATTCCATATGCCAATAATAGCATCAGCATAGCCTATAGATATATCGTAGGTATACTATTTTATCGGTTGAGCAGTATGTTACGGGAAAACAACGAGAAATATTGAACCTTGAAAGAGCATCCTCAATGGATCGGTCGTTGTTAGTCAGATATCAAGACGCCATGAATAATTACATCCAAACAGTATTGCGAGTTACACGAAGATCTCCCCAGACGGTAAAAGAAGATAAGGACTACGACAATCGGGAATATAGACACAACCATGCTTGAATCAGGTAGCATGCGGGGTGACCCGCCGAGCTATTCTATCTGCATGATGATCGTGTTTTCTATACGCTAGTATTATCAGCAACCACTCACATCGTAGATGTTATCACCCGGGCGCTAGCGCTGCGATACTTCCATCTCCAACAATACCTCCGTCTATCTGCGTTCTGTGCTCATATGATCCGGCAGCTTATCACCACGTCCAGATACGGACTCCGTTGTCGGTCCAGTTTTCGGTATACGGTAATATCTTCTCCTTACTACCTACCACATCCTAGGGAGGGAGGAATAATATATTAGTGAAGGATAAACCCGTGAGAAGTTGTAGATGGGATGATGGAATTCTGATAACAATGCAGGATCCCTCGTTGCATTGATCCCGTTCAGTGACTGTAACATTTAACCTTATAGCTGGTCATGGTTCATTCAGTATGGCACTCCACCTTGCTCTTTGGGTAGCGTCCGCGGTTGTCGTGTCTCTGATCTCTTTTTTCGCTTTAAGTAAATCGCAGAAAGATGTAGTCTTCAAGAGATTGGGTCTCACAAAGCGCAATGCATCCCGCCCAAGCACGCCGTTGCTTGAGAAGCAACCACTCTCCAAGCCCCTCTCGTCGTCAACTTCAGATCTTCTATCGACCTTTCCCCCTTCTCAGCGAGGCCAACTCAGTGTAATAGCGGAAAATATGACCCCCGATCAAAAGGAGGCGATGGGCAACCTTTCGTTCGACATGGATACATTCACACGCTCACTGCTAGGTTTTGAGGAAGACTATCGCACCGCTGACGATTCGAAATACTGCTTCAGCGGGTTTTCTGTACGCGAGATTAAGGCCCTGGGAGACTTCCCCGACTACTCCGTACTCTCGGAGGTCCCCATGCCTCAGCCCTACTTGGAATTCGATATCGATCGCGCGAAGGCGCGGCCATATCGGCCGTTCAGATGGGCATATCATCAAACGATGTGTAAGTATTCCACATCAGTAAGTCAAAAAAATCAGGGGCTAAACAAACTATATAATAGCCTTGACTAAGCTCGAGACCGACTGGTGGATCGAGCTGGAATCAACATACAAGACCCGGATCGCACAGCGCAAGGAACTATACGAGAAATACGGCAAGGCCGTACTAGACTGGCTCCCGGGCTCGGAGCTCGCGTGCAAGGAACTAATGGAGATGGTGTTGCAGTTCATATGTGCGCGGTATCCGCAGTACTTCGTGCTGTCACAGGACAAGTCGCAGCTAGAGAACAAGATCCTCGGCACGGTGTCCGTGATTAAGGAGAAGCACCCCTTGTTAATCCTGCTAGATAACGTCCCGGAAGAGTTCAATATCATGCTGCGGGATCCCGAGACCGGCTACTACCACCTCCGAGCGGGTATAATATGTTCCGCCCTAGGGTGGAGTCTGGGGACCAAGTTAGGTCTCAAGCTTCACGACATTCACCAGCCGGTTGCAGATTACAAGGAGAAGATGCAGTTCAGCATGGACCGGTAAGCCACTCACGTATTTTCCCATAATCTGCAGACGTATTTATGTTGTTGACTTCTTGCCTTTCTTTAGCTACTTCTCCAAGATGCCCGCCCACAAGCCCATCCAGCGCGGATCCTGGGGCCTCGAAGTCGACCAGCCGCTGTTCATGCCGCCAGGCGACCCGCACGAGAGCTACCGGGACGTCCAAGACGCGAGCCTGTCGCGCTCCCGCATCCACCTGCGCGTAGACTGGCAGACGCTGCGGCGGCTCCCGCTATCAGCGGGTGTCGTGTTCAACTTCAAGGCGCTGTTCACGCCGCTGGAAGAGCTGCGGGACGAGCCGTACGTGCCGACCCTCCTGAAGACGGTGCTGAAGGAGGGCAAGGAAAATCTCATGAAGTACAAAAATACCTGGCACACCGAGCACGTGGTGATTCCGGCCCTAGAGGAGTTCGAGAAGGAACAGATTGAAAAGGGGGTTATCGAGAAAGATTGGGAGCCTAAGACGCTGGATGATAGTCCTTGGTTTCCCGGGTGGCGAGAGAAGTGGCATGCGCAACAGGGATTCTAAGACACGAGAAAGGTTCGGCCATTCGGTAATAGCTCAAAAAGAATGGCATCAAAATATGTTGCAGCATCATTGCACGGGTCAAAAAGTCATCCAGTCATCATGGAAAGGGAAATAGATAAAACCTGACAAATTGACTTCCAGCTCTGCATTTACAAGCGAGCTAAATAGCGACTTTCACGTTGAAGAAGCCAATCCCCTCAACCCCTTCTTCTGCTACGTATACATACCTATATACATATATACAGTTGAATATATCCAAATACGCCTCTTCCTCTTAATACAGCGTGACTCTCGTTTTTAATACGATCTACATTTACTGATCCACCGCCGACGAGGTCATGTTGATACACCGAAAAGTTGAGTTCGCATATCGCCGTAATCCATGAATCATACTCCTTGTTCACCCAGAGTCCAGGCTAGACCTTTCCCAAAACACCAAGATACCGAGCATCTTTTATCTTTTATCTTTTATCCTTTTTGTAATAGCAGGCATTACGCGATTCCTTTTTCTTCTCACGTCATGTAGTAGTTCGGTCCTTCACCACCTTGGGGTACGGTCCAGTTGATATCTTGGTGAGGTGCCTTGATATCGCATGTCTTGCAGTGAATACAGCTACAGTAAACATTAGTATGAAAAGTCCCTCAACTAAATTCGAGCAAGAAACAAAGATAGTTCGAGTTACTTACTTCTGGGCGTTAATCTGGAACCTTACACCTAAAGGCTTCGAGTCATCTTCGATATATTCGTAAACACCCGCGGGACAGAAGCGATTCTCCAGGCCTTTGTAAATAGGCCACGTCTCCTGAGTATGCGCATCCCAGTCTTTAACTTGAAGATGAACGGGTTGGTCTTCCTCGTGGTTAGTCCCTGTGCGCGAGACACTCGTTAGGATATCAAATGAGATCTTCCCATCAGGCTTAGGGTATTCGATCTTTGGGAATGAATCCGCACTCTTCGTGGCGGCATAGTCGGTATGTCTATGTTTTAGGGTCCAAGGGACGCGACCCTTGAGAACGAAAGCCTCCAAGCCAGAGTATACAACACCGCCGAGAGTTCCCAAGGGGGTTTGAAATGCGGGACGCATGTTCCGAACCTCCTTCAACTCCTTCCAGACGGTAGATTTCCGGAGAGCATCTTCGTAGTTGTACAAGAAAACAGATCCCACGTCCCCTTTAGCCAATGCGTCCCAAGCTGCATCCGCAGCCAACATACCCGTCCTCATGGCATTATGGGTACCCTTGACTTGTGGTACGTTGACGAAGCCAGCGGAGTCGCCGATCAATGCACCACCAGGGAAAGCCACCTTAGGAATGGATTGGAAGCCACCCTCGCTCAGAACTCTCGCACCATAGGAGATACACTTCCCACCCTCTAAAACAGACCTATATAAAGGGTGCTGTTTCATCTTTTGAAATTCGCCATAAGGTGACAACCAAGGATTTCGGTAATCCAAAGCTACGACAAGTCCGATACTGACCAAGTTATCTCCAAAGTGGTACATCCACCCACCACCATACGTGTCTAGAGGTAAGGGGTAGCCCATAGAATGGACTACCTCGCCCTTGCGGAACTTCTCTGGTTGTATTTCCCAGACTTCCTTTACTCCTAAACCGTACGTTTGGTGCTGGCTATCCCTTCTCAGGTCGAACTTCTGAATAACTTGCTTCGTTAAACTTCCATGACAGCCCTCGGCAAATAGCGTAACTCGGGCATGGAACTCCATTCCTCTTTCGAAGTTGTCCTTCGGCTTTCCATCTCGGCCTATGCCGAGGTCGTTTGTCGCGACACCCAGGACAGACCCGTCGGGCTGGTACAAGACCTCAGACGCAGCGAATCCAGGATAAACTTCGACGCCAACCTCCTCTGCCCTCTCTCCAAGCCATTTTGTGAATTGGTTTAAACTGACGATGTAATTACCGTCATTATGCATCTGCGGCGGGGCAGGCAAAGGGATTGCGCTGGACTTGGTCAAAAATCTCATCTTGTCCCCCGTCGCGGGTGTCGCATATTGAAATCGATTCTCATTCGCCTCGTCGAGCCAGTCGGGGAAAAGCTCTTTCACGGCAACCGGGTTTATAACAGCTCCGGAGAGAATATGGGCACCAATTTCACCAGCTTTTTCTAGTAATAATACTCTGAAGTCCTCGTTGCCATTTTCATTGGCAAGTTGCTTCAGACGTATCGCAGCACTCAAACCAGCGGGACCTCCACCAACGATGCAAACATCGACCTCGTCGCTCTCCCGCTCGATGCTCTTAGGGTCAAAACTTTCGTCAGCGGCCGCGAATAATCTCGGACGAGTGGTGCTAAATGCGCGAGGAGTCTGTCGAGCAAAGGGAGAAAAAGGTGTCGCAGCTGCAGCATATCGTAATTTAGATGCAGCTATCGAGGAATATGAATATGAAGCCTTGGGTATTCTCCTAGGGGCTTTTGATCGAATTGATGCGGCTCCCCTCCTTGCAAGAACGTGGAGCGACACCGAGGTAGACATCGTGAGATTTTTTTTCTTCTTTTTTTTCAATTTTCTTACCTGCCTAGTCTCGGCTTCGTTTAGGAAAGAAAAAAAGAAAACAAAATAGGTCTCTCGTCGTCAGATAAACGGTCGTTACTTGCTACCGAGTTCGGGACGCCATAAGGTATAAGTGGTAGCACTACGGAGACTTGAAGTGGGTTACTAATGGCTCGATTTGAAGATTAAATCGTGCTCTCTTCGAATAGCTAGAAGGCAATAATAATAGCTATGATGACATCAAAGCCACATGTATACACAAAAAGTTGCATTGAAATTTGTACAACTTTTGCGGAGATTAATTGAGCTACCGAGGTTGCGCTGATCGTTCATTGGACGACAAGATGGAGAGATGCATACCAGGTAGATAGTATGCAAAACTTTTGATAAAGACCGTCGTAAGCCGTTTTAGGCCGCGTTCGGAGCGTCGAGTGAGCCTATCATATTCTTGTGATTAGTGATTAAGAACATTGAAGCTTCAACCATTTAATGATTTTAGCTCTTTGGTGGCGGGCGTGGCTTGAGAGGTTATGCGGGTAGGCGGGGTGAGGCTTACAGCAGACATGATCCACTAAATCAGGTACAGGTTACCTAAAGTACCTAGGTACCTTCTAATAACCCGGAATAAAAAGTGATTTAAACATATTCCCACTCGTCCACTTCTAACATAAACAAACAGCAAGGAGATCGTAAAACCAAAAACTACCTGAGGTACTCGACAACACACATTGCGCGTAAAGTTACTATCCATCAGTCCACAGGCAATATGGCATTGATAGATCCTCACGATAGATCCTCATGATCATTCTCGAGACCCGGGAATCTTGCTAATACCACCATCACAACGGTGTATCAAGTCGATTAGTTTCATTCTATGATTTGCCTTGGCTTGACTTTTCGGAGAAGCTATTCTCGCATGACGAGAGCTAAATGAGGATCTTCGTTTACCTTCACGGAAAACACACGGTCCTGGCGATCACCGCTAATCGCTTTTGTGAGACACCTCACGACAAGGTCAATTCGTTATTTTCAAAAACATCATGAACAAGAAAAAGACCATAGGCGCCTACATCGACGCTCTTCAAGCTTCTGACACGTCTCGCATATGTCCGTACTATGAAGGTTGAAAAACACAGCCACTCTCTAGTCAGGCTTTGGAATTCACATTACGATCCTTATTACTACTCCGCGGTGGTTTCTAGACTATTCCCGGTTTTTGGACAAACTCCTGGCTGCAACCGGAAGTCTTATTTCCTTCGATGGTGAGTTGCCAACCCTGCATCACGCTTGGACATTTGCAGCCAAGTCAATCCTTGCCATACAGCACGCGATATTCACTGTTATTATGGAGGATGTACCAGGTAGGTATGTTCGTATGTTCGTATGTTACCTGTACGCTACCCAGGTATGTCGGGTATGGCTACCTCTAATGTACGCAAATCCCTGCTTGGTATCCCTGTTGCTGCCTTGGTGTTCCTGTCTGAGGTTCGTTTGATCTGCCCGTGCGACGTTTTGACATCCTGTTACCGAGAAAGGCGATAACCTCAAAGAAGCCAAGATATTCCCCACGCATTCTTGGCATCTCAAGTTTCAACTTTAATGATTCCCAAAGATCTCCTAATTGATCGTCCCCGGTTCCAGCCCCAAATGTGAAAGCCTAGAGTCATCTTATCCTACCCAACTCCATGTTTTGAGTGGGACGGAGATGTCTTCTTAACGTATTTGGTCTCGGTGGGTCTACAAGCTCGTATACCATAGTACCCAATCAGAGCCTCACTTACATGCCCTGTTCCCTGTGTTTCTTTAGAGCTTTCTGAAGAGATAGCTCTTAAGTTATGTCATATTTGCAAGCATCATTTTGTAACCTCAGGGGGTAGCTACTGACGGCTAGAATGTAACCATCTATCACCGACAGCTCGTGATGCTATGTCAATCATTGACATGATAGTTAAGCTCATCTAAGGTTGGATACTACTTCAGTCGTCCATAAAATGCTCGACTCCCCGTCCCGTTCAATCTGATCTTACTTTCGTTTACTCACACATCCACTTCAGCTTCAACTGTCAACCTTTCCTTTCTTGGTCGTTTCTTGTTCTTAAGAGGTGAGTTAAGTCGAATATAACCCACCCTATCGTCTGATCTCCAAACTAACTAAACGTATGAAGCTGTGCTCGTACCTTCTTTACGCTGTATTATTTTGTTCCATTCGACAACCTCATTTCAACCTTCTTTAATTTCAATTTAAGTATCTGGTTATACACTCTTTCAACATGAAGAACTTCGGTGCTATCTTGATGGCCTTGGCCACTGCCGCATCTTTCGTTGCTGCTCTACCAACCCAGCCTATTCAGGGGTCTGTCGAAGTCCGCACTCCTCGCGACTTCGGTACGTACCTACTAGTCCAGTAATCCTGGTGCCAATTATACTGACGACATATGTAGCCCTTGACATAAGAGTCCCCAAGAAAAAGCACCATCACGGTGCCGCCAACAATGGAACCGCCTCTGCCCTTGATGGCGGTGCTATCAAGAACGGAACTGGCAATGCCAACCAAGGAGGCAAGGCCGGCAAGAACGGCGACAACAATGGCAAGAAGGGCAAGGGTCAAGACGGAGCTGGTGCCAGCGCGGACGCTGGTGCTAATGACGGTGCAGACCAGCAAAAAAGCGGCAACACGCTTACCGATTTACTCAACGGACTCCTAGCCGGCGGTGCTAATGGCAACAACCCGCTCGCAGATCTTCTCGGAGGTGCAGCTGGCGGCGCTGGTGGTGCTAAGGCCGAAAACCCTCTCGCAGATCTTCTCGGGGGTGTTGCTGGTGGCGCAGCCGACGGTGCTGGTCAGAAAGCTGGTGCCGGTGGTCTCGGTGACCTTAGTGGCCTTCTACAAACCCTACAAGGTCTCTTAGGAAAGAACAACTAAGAGGTTCGGAACTCCTAGGATGAGGATATCTTGTAAATAATAGGTCATAGAGGGAGTTATCAGGACTTTCCGGGAACGTTACGGCTAATGACGGGTGCACACGGCTTTGGATATTCTAGCAAGTCTAGACATGTTGATTTGGTGTATAATTATCACCACCGAAAAACTGACAATGGTGTCGGAGGTTGGACTGGGGTCTTCGATCCGCGTCTTCCCAAAAAGAAGTTAAACAAGAACACCAATAGAAAGTTGTGGATGTGGCAAACACCTTGTCCTCAGGCTTTTGAGCCTGTGGTTCCAGTATTCGTGAATATGTTCATGTTCTCTTGTGCTATTTATTGTTCGAGTCGGGAATAGTCGTCTAACCTCTGGATTCGGAAGTATGGAATCTTAAGACTTAGTCTTTGATATACAACAGCACACCTAGGTATCTCATTACTCTTTCATAACGTTTTTGCAGCCATCAATCCTTTTCTTTAACCATTCGTTTTACCCTCTTGAGACACTTGTACTTCATACACCTGCATAATCCTGAACCCAACCGTCATAACCGTCATGAAGCCGCTAATATGCAAGAATGCTACACACCAAAGTCACACTAATTAGGTTCCAAAAGAGACAAGATGCAGCAGGAAATTACTGAAGGCTCTCAGTCGTGAAAGTCGTGGTGCAAGCTCTTCCTCGTCTCGCACAACATCCGCTGTCTCAGATAGGTTCATCCCTAGGCTCGATCAGGACCTCGTTCACAGCAACATGCGCGGGCTGGCGCAGGGCATACACGATAGCGCCGGCGACCTCCTCGGGGTCGAGGACCTTGGCGCCCGTCGGCTCGCCGTACTTCTTGATGGCCTCGGCGTCGGTCGACATGCCGAGCAGGTCGGTGGCCGTGTTCCCCGGCTGCACGGAGGTGACGCGCAGGCCGGACCCGGCGGTCTCGAGCCGCAGGCTCTGCAGCGTCGCTTCCACGAAGAACTTGCTCGCCGAGTACACCCCCAGCCCCGGGAACACCTTGCGCCCGGCGTCCGACGATATCGCCACCACGTGGCCCCCGCCCCGCGACAGCATCGACGGCACCGCCGACGACAGGCAGTGCAGCAGACCCTTGCAGTTGACGTCCACCGTCCGCTCCCACTCTTCGACGTGCGCGTTCGCCATCAGAGTGTAGTACATCACGCCCGCGCAGCAGACGAGGATGTCGACCGGCCCAAGCTGCTCCGTCGCCGCTCGCATGAGCGCCTCGACTTGCTTCCGGTCCGTCACGTCCGTCTTCTGCACTAGGACTTTGCCCCCGGAACTAGACAGCTTATTCTTGAGGCTCTCGAGAGCCTCGGTGCGTCGGGCGGCGATGGCTACGTGCGCGCCCTCTTTAGCTAGGGCCGTCGCAACGGCGGCACCAATACCAGACGATGCTCCCGTAACGACCGCCACGCGCCCAGCCAGCGGTCCTCGGTTCGAGGTCTTCGCGACTCCGTTCGTCTGGGTCCGGCGCGGAGCACGCGGTAGCCAGCCGCGGGCGCAGAAATGGCGAGTGTAAGTCTCGAGCAGTTTGTTATCGATCTTGGGGCGCTGGAGGCCGGTCTTGGCCAGGGCGGGCGCCGTGGCCGGGTCCTTGAGGACGGTGACCCATTGAAGGAAATCGACGGTGGGCATGCCGCGGCGGAGAATGTCGACCGTAAAAATGTTTTCTGCCTTGCTAGATCCCCTCTGCTCCTCCCACATGTTAACCCATTCGTCCCATCCGAGCAGTTTGGTGGGGTATCCGAGTTCGCCAAGGATATCGAAGACTTTCTTAGTTGGTAAGGGGGACGGGTCGCCCAGATGGAAAACGCGTTGGTCGGTGTCCACCAGGTCGGCTAAGGAGGTAATCGCCTTGCTGACAAAATCGACCGGAGTCATCTCAGCGTACCAGCCCTCGATGTCCGGGGCGTATCCTAGTTGGAGCGACTCCACGATCAAGGCATTAAGGAGATCGTACGTATTCGATGATCCAGAGACGCTGTGGCCGCTGATGGTCCCCGGGCGGTATATCCTCGCGGGTAAACCCCGTTTCGCGGCTTCGAGGACGAGCTGCTCTGCCACCCACTTGGTCTGTCCATATCCGTCGACCAATTTCTCCGGCACCTCGTCCACATCCAACATGGCATCTTCAGCCCAACCTTGGACAGATGGCGGCAGCACGCCGTTCGTGGAGATGTAATGAACAGTTGCGTTGCCTCGGCACGCAAGACGCAGAACCTCTCTTGTGCCGAAGACATTAGATCCCTGCATGGCAGCATAAGGATACACAAGGTTGACCGTAGCAGCCGAGTGGACAATAACCTGCACGCGAGAAGCTAGATCCTCGAAAGCTTCGGGAGCAAGGCCGAAGCGCTTTCGAGCCAAGTTAGCCGGGACGACTTCAATGCGGTCCAGGATCGAGTCGTTCCAAAGACCTAGATCAAGAAGGTTCTGGCGAATTCGCGCCACTCCGGCAGAGTAATTGTCCTTCGAGAGGTCTGCGAAACGAACAAGACACACGACCTGTGCCGAAGTGGCTTCCAAAATGGTACTCAGCAGGAAGGCTCCGAGAAAACCGGTCGTGCCCGTTAGCAAGATCGTGTCTGCGTCGCTGATACGCTGCATCGTAGCCCCTGAAGGCTTGATCTCGGGTGGAAGAACAGAGTCCGCGCGCAGAACGGCAGGGAGGTCGGCCTGTACGGACGCAGTATATCCATCACGCGCGTCGCAGACGACTTCTAGATGCCCCTTTAGCGTTGGGTTGCCCGCAAGGCGACTTAGAGCCACGGGGAAGCCATAGGTAGCAGTCAACCTAGTCACGAGGTCGACGAGCGCTAAAGAATGACCGCCCAAGTCGAAAAAGTCGTGCTCCTGCTGCATTATAGACTTATAAGGGATGTTGAGAGATGTAGCCCATATCTTCGCAATGTCCTCAATGGTGATTTTCTGGTTACGATGTTCAGGTCCCGACGCGGGGCTTCGCGACCTGCTTGGCGTAGGGAGACGCTTAAGATCAACCTTACCAGATACTTCGTGGGTGGGTAAGCTATCTAATTCAACCCAAAGAGCGGGAATCATGTAATGTGCAAGATGATCCGTTAGAACGCGCCGCGCAACCGGACTGAATCCAGCCTCGTCAATCTTCACGACCGTTCGGTTACCGGGCTCTTCATCCGGGACAATATAAGCAAGTAGCTGGCGATCGAGACCTTCCCCATGAGCGACCACGACACAAGTACGGACAGCGAGATGCTTTACGATAGCATTCTCGACGGCCGGAGGCTGTACACTATAACCCCTGATCTTGATCATCGCTCCTACACGGCCAGTAATTTCAAGGAGCCCCGAAGGCAGTAACCGCGCCGTATCTCCTGTCCTGTACATTCGTGCGCCGGGGGTCTGGTCGAAGGGGTCTTCGGTAAAAGCTTTCGCGGTCGCTTCTGGTAGGTTCAGGTACCCCCGCGCCAAGAGTTTCCCTCCCACAAACAACTCGCCGCTGGCGCCCGTCTCAACCTTCTTACCGTCCTCATCAAGAATATAGGTGTGTTTCGGATCCAGGGGAGGGCCAACTGGAACGACGCGATCTTCGTCATTGACCATTTCCCTTATATCCCCACAAGCGATCTCGTGAGTTTCACTAGCACTGTAGCAATTCAACAAGCGTGCTTTCGGGAGCGCTTTAAGACCACGCCGTGCGAGGTCAGTTGTGACCACTTCGCCGTTCAGCCATACCGTACGCAGATCGGGGAGACGATCCCCCAGCTGAGAATGTCGGGCCAGGACAGTTGCGAGCAGGGTTGGGGTCATAAGAGTTTCCGTGATATTCTTGGAACGAAGTAATCCGACCAGAGCTACGGGGTCGTAGCTCGTCTCGTCTGGAACAGTCACCACAGTCGCTCCGCGCAGTAAAGGACGCAATATCTCCCAGACGAAAAATACATTGCAGGCCACACGGTCGCCCGGTTTAAGATCACTGACACCAAATCTCAGGTCATACGACAGAACAGCCGCTCTATGCGGATTCCCGATTCCTTTCGGTTTGCCTGTGGTACCAGACGAGTAGGAGACGAAGGCAAGCTTTTCCAAATCATCTTCAGCAGGCAACGGGGGCAGCTCCTTAGAGGCCCCATTCGTTGGGAAATCCCCGTTTGTATAGGAAGTCTTATCGTCCAGAATTATCAAAGGAGTCTCGGACTTGATCTTTCCAGCATGTGCTGTGTGTGTTATTATAACGGTAGGTCTTGCATCCTCGATAACATCAGCTAGGAGGCTTGGCGGGTATGCAAGCTCGAGGACAAGAAATGCTCCGCCCGCACGGAGCGCAGCAAGACAGGAGATGACATAATCCGCACTCCGTCCGAGTAAGATACCAACAAGAGAATCCCGACCAACGCCGTCGTGACGAAGACGAGTGGCGAGCGCATCTACCTTGCGGTCGAGCTCAGCGTAAGTCAGCGCCGTAGGTCCATCTTCTAGGGCGATAGCGTCGGGGGTAGCGTTGACCTGTTGAAGAAATAGCGCAGAGAGATCTTTGCTGGTATCGATGATAGTCATCTTTCCCGCTCTTCCCAGCCAATTCAAACACACCAACACCCGGAAATCAAATCAAGTCCGGTCGCGCAACCCGTACAGCGCTCTCCGAATCAAGCAGTAGTAAAAGCCAAAAAGTCCAAATCCGGACCTAGGCAAAAGTATGGGGCTGTTGGATCGCAGGGGAGGGCCGGCAGTATACTCTGGAGGGTCACTTTAGAGGGTCTCTGGAATTAGAGTACGGCTTACCACAGTAAGATGTGAAGCAGAATAAATTCAAGGAGGGTATCTTCAAGGACTTGGGCAGATGTGGAGCAGAAGTTTCCCAAGTTTCCCAAGGCTTATCGCGGCAGCTAGTATACTTTTGGGCTTTTGGAGGGTGTCCGCCGTAAACGGAGCTTTGCAGATCTATCCCGTGTATCGTCAGAAGCTTAATGGAAGCCGAAAGAAAAGCAATAAGGTACAGAACATAGAACTTTAGCTACCTCCTCTAGAGTCTACACTACATGTTAATGCATATAGGTAACTAGCGGTGACGTGGATTCGCTGGCTTTTCTTAGGTACACGTTCACAGAACAAAAAAGTCAATTATAGAAGGATGGCCAGCAAACCGATGGGGATGGTCCAAAATACACCATGGCCAATACACACCGACAATGTGCTACTGCTATTCTCGACTATTCCATCCAGTCTGGCGTAGAGGGTCTATCTTTTAACTTACAGGTATGTATAAAGAACGAACACCCTAATTCGCTTAACACCGACTACTTTTAAACAATAACAGGTAGGAGGTAGAGTATGCAACCCGGACAACAAAAACGTGGGCGGCTCGTCGGCGAATATAAAAAATTATTGCAGGGATAACCAGGGCGTGGCCGGGGCAATCTTCCAAAGAATCCAAACGAACGTTGAGTGGACACGATTATGTTAACCAGTTACGCCCAATTGCCAATAGATAGCAATAGATAGCAATAGATAGAAATAGAAATAGATAGCCAAGTCTGGGATGGTCCGGGATGATCTAGTCTGGATAGATACCTACATACTATGTAGTAGTAGACCAAGATAGGCTGATAAAAAGTCTAGAAGCCTCAGGCTCTTCAGAGCCGTCTAGGTGGGAAACTTCCCCCACTTAATCACATCATCGCTTTTCTTTTTTTCAAAGTGCTCGCAGGTTCTCGTCAGCTCGCTCTACCCCCACCCCCGTTCGTGTACATAGTAGACCTTACCGCACACCGACGACGATCGGGGTTTGGCGTCGGTGACTTGAACCGGTCTCCTGCGGTCGGAGCTTTCGTCGCCTTCGCTAAACTGATCTAGTTTATACCACATCTCCGTCCTGGCATCGCGAACACGTGTTATCATTTCAACGTCACTACATACCCAGGTAGCAGCTTCTTGCCCAGAGCCACGCAGACCGACAACATGTTGAAACCTCGTGACACGAGATGCGGGCACCATAACCAAGATCTAGATTTCATTCATTGGGTACAATTGTGACCAGAGGAGAAGGTACCTAGCTATATCCACCTCGCTTCTTTTCTTCACACGACTTTCGAGAAAACTGCCTATACCCGCCCGCGATATAAAATTCATTACGGAGATACGGCTCGAGCGAGAAACGTCGTGCACAAATCGTAGATTGGACGTGGGGTGCGTGTGCCACGACACAGGGGGGCTCATGGCTACACCGTAACTGGCAGATCTCGCGTATCCCTGCGGAACAAAGCCAATATCAGAGGATTTCATGCAGTCTCCTTTCTTGTAGCTTCTAACGTAAATAAAATAAAATAAAATAAAATACACCGACGTTGTGGTATGATTACCAACTTTGCACTTCAGCTTTTGTACCTAGTTGTCGGAGCTTGAGGTAAAAAAGAAGTGTTATGGAAGTGCTATATGCGTACTCGTGTTCTCAAACGTTTTGGGCTTGAAATTTCAGTTCAAGGTGAGAGTATCAAAACAGGTAGTAAAGAGAGCAGATATCAGAACTTAAGACGGTACTGTTGCAGATAACCACGTGGACTTTGCTTTCAGTTAGCCCCATACTGGAACGTGTCAATAACTAGGCCTATGCGTGCTTATGGGGCTCTTCTAATATTATACCTAGTCTCCATATCCAAATCTAGTTTTGTACAGAGTTTTGGAATAAAGCTCTGTGGAGTCTCAACTTAGTCGACATGCTTGATTACGAACAAGTTTGGAATTTACCACTCAGAGTAGAACATATCTTCTTGGGTGGTGGGAACTTGATTCCTGCGGAACACAAGCTAGCAAAGCTACAGATTATATAAACTTGAAATACTTAGATATTTGGTTTATAACAACACATATGCCGGCACTATGTAGTAGATGTTTCGGGAACGAGTGTAGGTATCGTCGCTAATAGATTATATAATCTTGGAAATCTAAAGACTTTGGCTAATATATAGACCAATCATGGTTTGTTGTTATTGTTTCAAGACTTAATGTTTACAACTTTATGACTTTAAAGAGCCACTAGTTGAATCAAGTGTTTGCAAAGATGAATAACAAATTAAATGCAAAAATGAAGTATGATTTAATAATTATCCAAGAGACAATAGCTACACACTATTAATAACTAAACGAAGGTTTTTACGACTCGTGTTTTATTTGATCATGTGAAGGTTATGAAGTACAAAATTTGATATTGAGTTTTTTTAGTTTTTTTTTTTTTTTTTAAAAAAAAAAAAAAAAAAACACAGTCCGCGAATACTGGCTACTGGAGGCTACTTGCATGTTCAAAGCCGCAAAATTTTTGTGCAGCTTGCATTGTCAGACCGCCGCCCATCGTTACATCAGGTGATTTAGGAGTACCGAGCACCTGCATACATTCCATACCAGCCAAGTGAGCCAAGCCTCTTAAAGCTACAGGGATGTCACATTCTTACCAGCGCGAAAAAAAAAATTAGCGCTCAGGCAGCAGCGGCGCACAATCGACACAATTTTGCCAGCACGAATTTGAGCTGCTAATAGAATATGACTGACAGATATCATTTAAGGCGGCTTCCTATGAGTTAAATTAGTGGTGCGAAAAAGAAAGTCTAAGTTGTACTCATGTGCGTGAAAAAAAGGGAAAAAAACAATAACACCGATCGCTGCATTAAACTCTGAAAGAAAAAGGGAGATTAATGAGTCATAGGGTTGCCAAGAAGGAATGCATAACATGGAATTTTTCTTTGGCTGGACCGGCTGGTACAGCTGAATGAGGCTGGTAGCCGAGAAAAGATTTCCTTGAAAAAACTGAAAATTTTTCCTTTAGGTAGAAAACAATGCGTGTGGCCACTGGCAGGGATTTGCTGGAAGGCTACTGTGCACTACCTGAACGGGTTCCGCCTTGTGTACCGATAGAATACGAAACCGCAATAATGGTTACCAAAGTAGGAAAGGGGGGAGGGGGGTAAAACACAACAGTGGCATCAAGTATCTTATTCACTCGGTTCTCAGCCAGCTAGCTCAAACGATAAGTGCACATACAACATAAAATGAGTGTGAAGATAATAACATCTGGCTTTTCGAATAAGTTTGCTGTAGCAAATCCAGGTTTAGAAAGCTGCGAGATATTCGATGAGTAAGATTCTTGTTCTGGATTCGACACGGATTTACCATTCCTGAAGGGGTAAAGTGAGAAGGAAAAATCAACAAAACAAAGGGAAGAAAAATGAGAAAAAAAAGTGTTGGTCAAGGGTGGCGTTTTCTGATTGCAATTGCGGCTGGTACCTCCGAAACCACCGAAATGAGACCTGCACTTGATCCACGAAAAAAAAGGATCGTCACAGCCAAACAAAGAAAAGAGGGATAAAATAAAATTTGTAGGATGCTCGAGTGCGACAGGAGCAACCTGACAATCTGCCGTTCCGTCTATTTGCAGAGCGGAAAAGAAAGAAAGAGCTCGTTTACACATGTAATCGTCTCCTGAACCAGTGTTTGGGATTTTCCATTCATAACAAAAAGTGAATAGATATGCGTTCTTGTGGAGGCTTAGCGAAACCCGAGATACTGGCCAAGCGTCAATCAAAACATAAAAAGCATGATAATAGGGGTAAAAGAGGAGGTATTGTGTGCGTTTCAGGGAGAAAGAGGAGGGGATAGGATGGCAGGCTCGCAAGGTGTGGTATGGTTGGGGTTCTAAAACTCCGTCCAGCTCACACCCACCAGTCAAGATTTTTTAGAAGTCTGGACGGGACTGGCTGACTGGTGGCTTTCCAATAAGGTAGAGCCGTCCCCAGTGCGAGCGGTTAGCCGCAACACGGACTGACGATACTTCTGCATACTTCTGCGTACTATGTAGGCTGTGGATGTATTCGATCGAGTCATGGGTTTCTGCAGCCACGAAAACAGTATGGGAATGTCGTCGATAATAATGCTAGTTAATTAGCTTCCACATGCACACTGGTAGGAGTCGGGAGGGAGAGAGATAGGGTTAATGATCGATTGTGAGTGGTGTAAAGAATAAGGATGAAAAGGGTGATGGCAAAAACATGTACAGGTCCGAAGGTTGTATGGGATGAAATAGTGCCGTGACGAGGAACAATGAAAAGGACTTGGTAAGAACTTAGAGTGACCAGCAAGGAAAGAAAAAGATTAAGGAAGATAAAATAAGGGACAAGTGAGCACATATGATTGGACGCATTAATGCTAGCGTGGCCGCTAAGGAGGGGAAGCAGGGAGCAGTAGGTAGTAAGTTTCCGCCACACTAGGGCGTACCTACCTAAAAAGTCAGTGCGTACTTGCACGAGAGCGCTTGCCTCCAAAAATTATAAATTGCTCGGCTTCCCCTCAACTTCAATGTTTCGAAAATTCTTGCGCGCGGAATCTCCGACCCGAAGGTCCCCGTTTTCATAAATCCTCCTCAGCCACAACAATCTGTGCACCAGCCACACAGACCACTTGCCAGCAAAGTCAACTGCCAATTGAGTCTAGGCCTCATAATATTCTTATTTTTTTTGTTTTATTCACTCTCTCATACGGTCATATTCTCATAACCGCGTCACCATTGTTGGACCCCACCTTCCCTTCTAACGGTGATTGAGAGAGTACGTATCTCCGCGACTAACTCAACTTTAACTCCATATTTTTTTTACCCCGTACCCCGCCTCCCGCCTCCCGTTTCCCGTATCTTTCTTCCCACACACCCACATAATACATCATCTCATCGTCACACATCAGGCTGCTTGTCAACTACAACGTCTGCTTTGAGGCGGCAACGAAGTTGTCATCGTGTGACGTGCTTGTCCGCTAAACTAGGCCAACAGGCGTTACAAGTAAACCAAAGGCATCATCTTTTTGAGTTGGTCCTTTGTCTACCAGTTGCTCTCTTATCTCAAGAATCCGAGCATCTCCATCAGGAAGAATTAATCCCTCTCACCTGATCTCGAGCATATTCACGCCGCACGGGTCACGGTGCTGTGTAGCCAAGAAGATAGATCAACAATAGAAGACGAGTTTTTTTTTTAGAGAAAAAAAAGAAAAAACTACAAGGCCAAGGATTTGCCTTCCCCTCGATACCGTCGTTGCGAGAGATCCGAGTTTCCGCCGCCGTCGTTGTTGTCGAATCCTATCTAGATAACCTCGGCCTCGACCTCGACAGTCACTCGTATATCTTGCGCTTCGAATCAGTGGAAGGAAAGTTCACGAACTACTTCGATTTTGCTATCGAAGAGTGACTCTCTTGACATCTGACATCTACATCTCGTGTGTGTGCCTCTAAGATATATCGACCTCATCCCGTCGTATTAGCTGCTTCTACTGCGTGTAGGGGAGACATTTGCTTGTTTATCTCCTACACGTCCCATTGGTAAGGCTACCTTTTTTTTTCTAATCATTTAATTGCCAATTCCTGGACACAATCCCTTGGGGGGTGTTATGGAAACCGCAACCAAACCTACCTGCCTGTAGAAATTACCCCTCATTGAGCAAACCTGACTGCCTCAAATTCTCACTTTTCGCACTTTCCTTATTATTCAGTACCTAGCAACGCCCCACTTTTCGCATCAACACCTCACTGTCGCTTCGTTGCCCCTCAGCACATTCATCAATGCCTGAATCATCAGTTACTATTGCACAGATCCAATTTTTATTTAAGCACAGCGTTTTCTTAACATTTGTTTCTTCTTTTTCTTTTTCCCTCCTCAATCCATATTTTAGCACATCCTTCTATTGATCCACTATCACGCTCGTTGGATTTCAGTGCTCATTCATTCTTTGGACTTCGTTCTCTAACTGATTAGATCCTCAGGTCTACTCCAGTCCTACTCCACAAAAAGCCTTAAAAAGCTTGATTGTGCATCTGCAAGATGGAATCTATTCATACGCACCCGGCTACTGCCGCGCAAGCCAAGGCTTTTACCGCGCCCGGTTCTCTCTCCTTCCCTGGCGGTGCTGGTGAACTCACACCGCCTTCTTTCGATGCTGATAAGGCGAACGGCCAGAGACCCGTAAACGGCGCTCCTCAGCAGGCTGCAAACGGTACCGGGGTGACTCCCGCTACACCCGCTGCTACGCCTGCGGCTGTTCAAGGGGGAAGTGGTTTGACTCCTACCTTGCAGTATGTATAACCTATGTCGCATTTTTATAGACATTTAGACTCACCGCGCATGATAAAGGAATATCGTCGCCACGGTCAACCTTGAGTGCCGTTTGGATTTGAAGACGATTGCCCTCCATGCTCGCAACGCCGAGTACAACCCGAAGGTACTACGAATCTCGTCCTTTGTTGTTCAAAGCACTGAGCTAACAAACTCCAGCGTTTTGCTGCCGTCATTATGCGTATCCGCGAACCCAAAACAACTGCGCTGATTTTTGCTTCTGGCAAGATGGTTGTTACCGGTGCTAAGTCGGAAGACGACTCGAAACTCGCCTCGCGCAAATATGCTCGTATCATCCAGAAGCTTGGTTTCAACGCGAAATTCAGTGATTTCAAGATCCAGAACATCGTTGGCAGCTGCGACATCAAGTTCCCTATTCGGCTCGAGGGTCTTGCCTCGCGTCATCACAACTTCAGTTCTTACGAACCTGAGCTGTTCCCCGGTCTAATCTACCGCATGATCAAGCCCAAGATCGTGCTCCTGATTTTCGTTAGCGGTAAGATTGTCTTGACCGGCGCGAAGGTACGAGAGGAGATCTACCAGGCATTCGAAATGATTTACCCTGTGTTACAAGGTATTGTGCTTCTTTGCCTTTTATTCTGACGCTTTACTAATTTCGATTAGATTTCCGCAAGATCTGAAGTGACGAACCTGACTCGGTCATTGACCCGAGTCTTCTTCAAACGGCTCTTATCATAGACTTTTCCCCTTCGGTTCCCATATGGGATATGTAAATTAACCGACTCCCTTATGATTTTATGATCTTTGCCTTACGAGTCATGACGTAATTCTGGGCCTACCACATCCCCGGTCTCACGTCAATTGTATCATTGTCGTTTTCCCACATAGCATTGCATCGGCGTTAAACATAGGAAGGACCTACACTGGACGAAATCGGGATGATTTCACATCACAATGGAAAAACAAGAAAAAAAAAACCTCTTCAGAACCGGATTGGCGGCTTAGATTGCACCGTGATACTTTCCGGCGGCATTCGCGCAGGTCGAAGGTGCCGTCCTAATTCGACTTATAAGGTGGTAGGACTGTATAATTGGTCTTACGGCGTCGGTGGAGGTTACGATACCCCGAATTGCTTGTCAGCATCGGTGGTTACGTTACGAGGGTCGTAATAAAGTGGATATGAATTATCTTAGCGGATATAGTTCCGCAGAGCTTGAGAGCTTGAGAACAGGAGTGATGTTAGCTGTATGGCATCATGATCCATCTGGACAGCTGAGTTAAAGTCTTGCCTACTCCCACGTATAATTGCAGGCATCATTTGGACTCCCAGCTGGGTGATTGTTTGCTTAAGGTTCCTCCTTAGGGAGAGCATAACATCATTCCACACCCGATGATACATAAAAAAAGCGTTCCCATACTTTGATCTGTGTTTTTCGTGATTTGTGCCTGGTTTGTGACGGTTGTACTGATTTCAAATCTAGTTGATTTTCTTCATTTCGTTTTCCAGTATTGCTCCTGGTTGTCCGCCCCGACTTCCCTCTTCTGTTGCTATAATCTCTGTATTTCCTGTGAATTTCCATTGCCATTTTCTTCGAAGTTCTTCGGAACATTTTCCTGTGATCGTGTCCACGATTTTATCACCTATAACAGGCAAGAATTTGAACGCATGCCCACTCCCGCCTGTGGCAACGAACAAGCCCTGCCAGTATGGGTGATAGTCTATTAACCAGTCTCCCGTCACTGTGTCTGTATACCAGCAAAGTCGAGTACGAGAGAAAGGCCGATCTTTCAGCTCTGGCCATGGTATTATCTTCTGCAAACCTTCTCGCAATGTTTTCTCGGCGTCTGTTGGGATTGAGAGACTTGCGTCGTCAAGATGCGTATATGGCTGGGATATAAGCTCGGGGGCTTTTGAGCCAGGAACTCCTAGCGGAGGTTTTGACACCGGTTTAGGGTTTAAATACCCATATGCGTGTCTTGCAATCTTGAGGACGCGATTGCGTGGAGGTATCACGAAGAGACCTGTTGATACATTTAGCATAACTGGAATCTTATCCAGTCTCTTCTGTTCTTCTTCCGTAATGTCCATATAACCTAGAACTTGACCAGTAGCTACGACCTGCGACGTTAGATCCACCAGCGTGGGCGTCCAGGCACCGGCGGCCACCACTACGAGATCGGCTGATAGTGTGGTGCCGTCTTTTAGCCGCGCTCCAGTGACCCTTCTTGACGATTCGTCTGTCTCGAGACTTTCAGCCTTCCCGTTCACAAAGGTTACGCGGCCTGTTTCAGCGACACGTTCGTAGAACCATTTCATACTCGCTTCAGCATCTGCCCAACCACTCGCCGTATTCATGTATCCCCAATAAGCGAACTCGCCTCCTGTGCCAGATATCACTGTGACAATATGTTAATATTTGTTTTAGGTACGTTTTGTTAAAGAACTTAAAGCAGCATAGGTTTAAAAACAAATCCCCCCTGTGTTAGCTCGCCAGAGAAACCTTACTCTAGTAATAGGGGAAAAGGGGTTTTTAATGTTTACATACTGCCAATAGACCACGAGTTCTTTAAAACGCGAATCGAATTTAAAGGCCGTCCTTCCTTATGCGCAAGCGCCATTGCATTTACCCAGCTTTTCTTAGCATACGCAAGACCAGTCGGTGACCCGTCATCACGCACCAACGGCTCGGAGTCAGCTCCCAGTATAAATCCGGATTCCGTATACCTCCCCTCGCCCCCGAGAGAAGCCGGATCGGTCTGCCGCCAGTGGACTTGTGCCTCCGATGCTAACGACGCATAGACGGGATCTGCGTAGTCGGCGCGGATAATCCTCGACGAGTCAATAGAGGAGGCGTCACGGGACGGGAACACGCCAGGCTCCGGTGACCGGTCCAAGACCGTTATGGAAGAAGATGCGAATTCGGGACGCTTAGCCAGCGCGAGGGCGGTGCTAAGCCCAAAGACTCCAGCCCCTATGATAAGAATACTGGAGGGTATGTCACGCTTGGGATTCATATCTGTATCGAAATTGACGTCGTGGAGGACGGGCGTTGGGCACGACAGAACGTCGGCCATTGGTAGAGTTCCCGTGGACGCTAGCATTTCTCACAGCGTAGCGATCTAACTTTCAGCTAAGCAGAGGGCCTAGTTGGGTCACGAGATTAATGCTAATACTAATAGTAGTAATAGTAGGTAGTAATAGCAGCAAAAGTAGTATTGTATTCCTTTAATAATAGTGAGAGAGCTAATGGCTAATAATTCAAAGATTCGGATTTCTATTATACTCCCCGCACCAGGGCCGATATGGAAACCAAACGAACATGCCCCGCATCCGCATACTGTTGGGTCATGAGCTATGAGCTGACTGCGCGAATAGCGCCTTTGATTTGACTACGGTTTACGGTTTAGATGTGCAATGCAACAACTCGGCCAATGATATATACGATTGGATCGTGTAAAAGTCGAACTTGTGCGGTCGAAGTTTCGAGTGGGGACGTTCTCTTAGTACCTGGTTAGGTACCTGTCCTAAAGTTATGTTTTACCTAAACCGTAACTAGTAAGTTTAGGTATATGCAAGTATTATGTAAGTGCGTAAGGTCAAAAGGATAAGAGACCGGAATGTACCTAGGTACCTAGGCAGGTAATGTAGGTGGTGGATCTGTTCCAATTGGCCGTCCTTCGTCAACCTTTCTTCTAAACCTCCAACGCCAACTGCCCTTTCAGCTATCAGCTAATACTAAACCAAATCATTCACAAAATGCAAAATGCGACGTCCTACGTAATATTATATTACTCTAAATAATTCAGCCATCATGTCTTCCAAGAAACTCACCGACTTTCCCAACGTCGAGGCGAAGCTCCATAAACCCTCCAAACAATCCGCGTTCGAGAAGCAGAAGGCCGATGCCGAGGCTAAACGTAAGCGAGAAGCTGCCGAGACCGCTGCGGTATACGAGAGTTTTGTGAAGAGCTTCGATCACGACGACGATGATGATAGCAACACGGGGCCTCCTTCTCGTCAACATGTCGCGTATGGTGCTCGACCTCCTGGTGGACCTCAAAGTCGCGAAGGTGGTAGGCCAGCACCGCCAAAGAGGCATTTCGGTACCGGGCTAGGTGGTGCGCCAGGGTTGAAGAGCGGTCCTGGATCTCTGGGTCCTGGGCCAACGTCATTTAGCAGCAAGAGGAGGTTCGATAATGATCAGCAAGGATTTAATAAAAGAGGCGCGGAGAATACTCGGGGTCGACTTGGATTTCACGATGATGATGATAGTGACGACGGTCACGTCTCACGCCCTAATAAAGTCATTTCGAAAGTCTTCAATGCGAGCGACGACGAAGGCGACACGAGATCTAGGGATTTAGCTGAGCAAAAAGCTATAGCGAAGCCGACACTCCGTTTAGCGAACCTCCCGCCGGGGACATCTCCTGCAGTCATAAAGGCTCTCATACCGTCAAACTTGACCGTGGAAAATGTGAAGATGTTGCCTTCTACTACAGGAAGTACCGAGAGGAAATCCATAGCTGCTATTGTCACTTTATCCAAAGAAACCCCCGCTACGGAAATCGACGCAGCCGTTAGTTCTCTCCAGAACCGATACCTAGGCTACGGTTTTTATCTATCGCTACATAGACATCTATCCTCCGCTGTGGTGTCTAGCACGGCTACGTCAACCCTCACTTCCTCGTCTACCTCGCATCCCTTCGGCGCAAAGCCAGTCCCGCAGGCTAATGATAGCAATCCTCATCACCCGGGCGGGTTCCACCGTGGGTTTGCTCCACCGTCATCCTACAGTACGGCGGGAGGGCCAATAAGTCGAACCATCTTCCATGTCCCAGTGCAAGCGCCCAAAGACATTAAGCAGCTCCAGTTAATCCACAAAGTGATTGAATCCGTACTAGCTCATGGCCCAGAGTTTGAAGCTCTTTTGATGTCACGACCCGACGTGCAGAAAGACGAGAAATGGGCCTGGCTCTGGGATGCGCGTTGTGAAGGTGGTGTCTGGTATCGGTGGCGACTCTGGGAGGTTGTTACAGGGGGGCAGGCTAAGGTAGGAAGACGAGGAAAATACATACCGCTATTCGAAGGCAGCCATGCTTGGAGAGTACCCGAGAAGGACCTGCCGTATGAGTACGCTACCGCCATTGATGAATTCGTGTCCGACCCGGAGTACAACTCCTCTGATGAAGAAGACTATGAGGACGAAGGACATAAAACAATGGACGGTGGGGACAACGATAACACTTACTTGAATCCGCTTGATAAAGCGAGATTGACACACCTGCTAGCTCGTCTCCCGACAACATTGACAAAGATTCGGAAGGGTGATATCGCTAGGGTGACAGCTTTTGCTATTACACATGCAAGCAGGGGTGCGGATGAGATTGTAAACATGATTGTGACTAACGTCATCAAGCCATTTGCGTCGACATTAGCAAACCCAGAACGTAGCAGATCTAACAAGAATGGAGACGACAACGGCGAGTCGCATAATTCGACACCCTTCCCGGACGATGCGACTACGAAGGCTAGCGAAACTCAAGACACCAGTGCTGCAAGTCTTATTGGATTATATGTAGTGAGCGACATTCTCTCCTCATCTGCCACGAGCGGAGTTCGGCATGCCTGGCGGTACCGCCAGCTCTTCGAGACATCTCTCAAAGATAGCAACGTCTTTGAGATCTTAGGGCTTACGGCGGAACGTCTCAATTGGGGTCGTCTAAGAGCGGATAAATGGAAACGAAGCGTCAAACTAGTGCTGAGTCTATGGGAAGGGTGGTGCGCGTTCCCACACGAGAGCCAGCAGCTTTTCAACGAGACGTTCGAAAACCCTCCGAGTGCGAAGAAGGAGGAGCAGATTGACGAGACTGCTAAGAAGGGTAAATGGAAACCTGTGGAGGCTGGCGCCTCGGTTACTACGCAAACTGAAGGGAAGGGGTTTGTGTCTTTGTCCACAGCAGGGGAATTGAGACATGACGAGGAGACGTCTAAGATGGAGATTGACGACGTGGATGGCGAGGCGATGGACGAAGATATGTTCATCAATGAGGCGGACATGGATACCGATATCGATGGTGTCCCAATGGATGACAGCGAAGATGGAGAACCCATGGATGAAAGCGTAGTGACAGTCGCTGAACGAGACGGTTCTGCTGCCAACGCAGAGGACAAGGCGCGCGAAAGCAACGAAGGAAAGGGCAATGAAGGGAAGGATAAGGCCAGTTCAAGCAACTTGTCTACGGAGCAATCAACTGAGTCCCAAACCAGAAGACGTATGAGAGCTGTCGATATGTTCGCCGACTCCGATAATGAAAAACAATGAAGAATAATACGATTACCTTACGAAACGGACATATCTAACTCCTTTTGGACACCATTGGCGACAGAATTGGATTTATTTAGCAAGGTTGGGTCTTGCTTTAACGATAAGCTCTTCGTCAGAAGAGTTGGACCTGGACTGTGCTCTATATCGAAAATGCGGCTCTTGTCGAGTTTCAACCAGACCATGAACCAGATCTGATAGCTGTAGATTGTGCACGAAATAGAGCAACAGGTACCAATGGTAACGTGCTGCGACAAAGCCGCCTATTTGGTATAATACCGGGGCCTTGAGCCGGCGAAAATTCCAGCAGAGGTCTAAGGTTCACCGGTCATACGCAGAGTGGTCTATACAGGTTGAGGGATACATCTCTCTCTACGATGAACGCATTGTATTATTAGATGAAGATAGGCATGGAAAGGTATGCCATGGGAAGTTTATCGACCGGTCAAATGGTAAGCCAAACGTTAGAGAGCAATTTTACGTGCAGAGCCAGGTGGTATGTTTAAGGCGACCTGTATTGTATTGCTAAGGGAAACTTTGCGGCTCAAGGATACATCTCGCCGGCCAACTGGGACGAGAGGTTGTGTGCGAGGGAAGCAAAGAAGCTCAACCGATTTTGGTTTGCTAGCAAACGTAAAAATTCGAGCATGATATTTGCCTCGAGATGTAGAAAACAGAGGAAGATATCACCAATAATCACTTCGTTGCCTATCGTGATTTTTTCCTCAAACAGGTCTAGGGCCATCACAAATCCCGGATGTAGAAGCACGCGAGATAGCATACAGATAGATGGGCCAATGGGAATTATCCCTTGGCCTGATAAAAAAAAGTTTTCGGTTATCCATCCCGGTGGTATCGAATCTCGAATCTCGAATCTGATCGAGGGTCAGATGTAACGGGTTTGGGCAGTCTTGTTCTAAGAAAGCTTGTGCTGCTATATTCGAGCAGGTATCGGATTATAGGATTACACGGAGTTCAATAGCATCGACGAGGTATCGTGGATAAGTAACTGATAATATGGTACCTTGGTTATATAAAAGGCACCTAGACAGGTACCTAAAGAGGTAATTAAGATGTATTGTCTACATCCTTAGATGTGGATGGTCAAGTTGGTGATTTGAAACCCTCATCAAACTGAGGTCTTGTATAAGATGTATAAAGTGAGTAATCTATTATATACGTTATGTTTGACCTATCTAGGAGACTGAGTGTAGGTACCTAGTAATTACTACTTTCTACCCATGCTGTAGATCTGTTAAACTGTGTCTTAAGAAAGGACAACTAGGTAGGTATTTAGCTTTTCACAAATTTTGAATGAACAGATTCAAGGTAAACGCAAATCATGCCTCTATTTACATATATCTATCAGGATGTACCTATGTAAGGTACCTTGCATTTTCTGGTTAAAGAGCCGCATCTTCAATCATGTACTCGTACTTGTAAGTTAGTATGTGTAAGTTAATGTAAGGACTTAAACCGGATGAGGCTTTTCACACTAGGCACATACCCGAACAGGAACGGGTTGGTTCTTATTTTAGCATTTTATCATTCACACCTGCCCCAGATACCATACATAGCAAGTGCCGAAAACGCCTTGCCAGGACCCAAGGCAAGCGTAGTCGATATTTGACCTGGTAGATGACGTATCCTTCCATGTATTTACTAGGTAGGTCCGTTACGTGCACTAGGTATGACAGAAGGGTACAATACGGACTATAGTACCTAGGTAGGTACCTATATCAGGTACGTGCTTTTAGGTTTTTAGCCCCACGTTCCCGAGACCAAACTTTGCGTTTTCCTACTGCGAGCCCCAGTGTGCCCCTCCTTTCAGCCCCTCCACCGAGTTGATTCTTCTGCAGGACCCTTCAATGCTTCCGTTGCCCGCGGTTTGGCGCGTTCTGCAGTACATATGGTACATGGTACATGTGCTTGCAGTAGATCGGGTACATTAAGCATGTACCTACAGTACCTAACATAAGTTAGGTTAGGTTAGGTACTTACACAATACATAATTCTAGGCCTGAGGTACAGCCGTCTTATACACACGCACGTGCGGAAGGTACACGTATCTAGGTAGGTGATGTCTCCCTCTGTATGTACCTTACATGTATATGCTGTAGTCAGCTATAATCCCTGTCCAAGAGAAAAGGGAAAGTGAAGGATCTAACTCAAAGTCAGCAACCATTTGGGGTCAAGCAGCCAATCAAAACTTGCTCGTTTTGGACTACCCCCACAGACAACACGACATTCACCATCCCAATCATCTTTCACTTTTGCTATTTTGCTAATACCTTTTTTGACCCTTTCCTACTATGTAGATAGATTCAGGACCATAATCTTTTTTTGTGGTCTTGATTTGCTTTTGAACCGACTATCTCCTTGTAGTGGGGACCTTAGGTATGCTTCACTGGGAAAACGGTTTGGTCAATTTGCTGATTTGCCTACGAAATGAAACCGAACTTATTAAAGCTTTGATGGAGAAGAAGGAAATGATATAACATCTCTAACAGCTTATATACAGTTCACATACAATCAAATTCCCGGTATTATATAGAGAGAGCAGCATTGGACCGTCACCATCAACATTATTGCCATCACTAAAAAAAAGAAGAAGCCTCTTCCGGATTACAGCTGTAACGCTTATAAACGCCTGGTTACCCTTGGAGAACATTGACATCTCAAGAGGAAAAAAAAAAAGGAAAAGAAAAGAAAACCTGGATCCCGGTCATAATACCCTTTCTTACCGCCATCCATACCGTAAAGGCCGAGGCTTTCCCCCGGGGGTTACAAACTTCTTGTAACTTGGTCTGTCCTGTCAATCAGCCTCGATTCGAGTACAGTCTTACCTACTTGGGTACCTGACCTAACATTGTTGGCTGGGGACGTTACATGTGGGAATCAGACGAGAAACAGCCTTTCCCCTCCTCTCCCCTGGACAATTATTCTTCCTTATCGACCATAACATTTCCGAATTGTCTCTGTCTTTCCGGAGTCCCTTCTCAGAGTATTAGACGCTACTTACGCCGGATCGTCTCACCGCGGACCCTTCACTCACCCTCCACTCTCTCCAACCTGTAACGGAAGCCCGAGGTGCCGACCCCCAGAGATCTTCTGTTGAGTGACTGCCGTCATATTCCCATTTCCTCCGCCTCGATATTCAACTCATACCACTCCAGTCATATTGGTTGACAACTCTTTACCGGAAATATTCCATTTCATTGGTTTACCCTCGCAATCTTTAAGATATCATCTCTTATTGACAACATACATCTTTTATACCATACTCTCTATCCTTATCTCGCACGACCTGAGCCGTACGTAAGCTTTTCCATTTAGTCCCAGGCTCCTGTGGGACCTTGGGCGTTGTTCGTCTCAGCACATCTCGATTTTCCTGAAGCCTCAAGTTCCACGACGCCAGCCACTTTCACCTCATGCCACGGTGGTTATCCTCCTACATTTCCAAGTATAGCTTAGAAGAACCGCTACCCGCCGAGCGGCAACCCGGATCAGAAGGGTCCCTATGCGCCTCGTTCACGACTAATACGTTAAAAGCCAATCTCTATAGCAAGGTTGGGGCGAGCTGTCTCTGGGGTCTTTGATAATTCTTATATGCTTTATAACGGTTCTTGAGCATATTTTCGAGCCAGTCGCGCTGGTACTACCACGCGACGCACGGAAGATGCCTATCATCAATGGACAAAAAATGGCGTGGTGAGTTAATTTAATTTTTTTTTTAAAAAAATTATTTGTTCTTTTCGTCCGTGTCGTGTGAAGAGTTTCGGAAAGCTGCATATCGTCACGCTAAGCTTAGGGGACCTCTCCTAGCAAACTGCCTCCGTTTAACACCAGTGGTTCGTGTAACGAATGGCTACCGCAGTATAATTGAAGAAGCAACCATAGTCTTGGCTGTCTCCATCTACTAACCGTTTTTCATGCCTTTAGTGAGCCATGCATACGAGGGCATCGATCCACCAAGTGCGCGCATTTGGGTGATCGTATGTTACTACCTGTGCGAAAGCCGGGTCGACCGTTGAGTACTTGTCCTCACCCGCCGGGCAAGTCGTGCCAATGCCGGAATGTAACCGCCGCGCTCCCTAAAGGAGGTTCCTGTCGGTGCGGTGGTAGTCCGTCTACTAAGACTAACGGCACACCAGCCATCGTCAAGGCCGAGCCTTCGGACAACGCGCCTCAATCACCTACGAAACAAGCATCATTTCGAATACAGAAGTCGATAGCAAAGCCAAACCGAAAGCAGTCTGCTGATGCTTCCGCTTCCGCTTTACAGCGCATGAATGCCAACAGTTTAAACTTGATTGGCGCCAGTAGTCTCTTACCGACATCTTCCGCGAATATCATCTCCTCTTCCTCTGACTACACCAGTTATATCCCGCCCTTACAAAATGGGAACCACCAGTATCCCATTTATCCACAAATAGCTTCTCGCCTAGATAGACCGCTAGACTCCTCTCTCCTTACCCTAAACAACGGTCTGTCAAACATATCGTCACCGCAGTCTTCTAGAAACGGAATCCCGGACCGTTCGAATAATTCAACGGTTGGTTCCGAAACGATGACATCTGTCACATCTGGCTCTTCACACCATACGCCAACTTCAAGTACTGGGGATTCTTCTCAAGAACCCTCTTTAGACCAGCCTGGGAGCTGCTGTTCTCGAAGGGCACAGCAATCTCAACCAGTACAAACTCAAATACAATTCCAGGGCCAAGCCCAAGCTGGATCTCAGCAATCATCAGGTATGATGGGCTATATATCCCAGGTCCCAACGGCCAACGGCTCTATGACGGCACAATTTCCGCCACAAGTGTCAGCTGAACAACAAGTATATCCTATGAACCACTTCCATCAACCAGCTCTATATTCGGAGCAGGCTTCGTTTGGGACGTACCACTTCCCGCTACAGCAGTCACAATGGGAGCAGTTAGTAGGGAACTTATTGCCTCAGATTGAACCAAATGGGGGCGTTCTGGGTTCCTATACAAGTCACGTATGTCACTGTGGTCCTGAATGCGACTGCCTTGGCTGCCCCGCCCACCCGTACAACCAGGCAACATGCCAGTATATTCGAGATATCATGGCTTTCCAGGAAGAGCCTATAAACGGGAAGGTTGATACGAATAGTTCTTCAATACCGGACCCGCCGCTAGCGGTAGGCGAGGCATCACCACCGCCGACACATAGCCCAGCCGATACGGAGTCACCTGGCGCGAATGATTTGAATTTATCTCCTAGCGAATTCCTTTTCGTTGATTATGGTCATGGAATGTGCGGATGTGGTGATGACTGCGCATGTGTAAATTGTATGATTCACCGAGATCCTCTGGACGCGAAGATGCATGGTGGAACCCAGGACAATGCCCGAAACTAAGGGAGAAGGATAATATGGCTATTCCTCTTGCGCATGGGCTAATATCCAACTACACGACTCCTCTCTCAGATACGATAATGTGATAAATCAAATAATATCCCCGAAAATTGCGGATGAAACCCGCGAACACCGAAATTTCGGACGTACATAGCTAGGAAGCAAAGGATGTATATATTTAGGGAAACAACAACAGCGTAACATGGGATATACAAATCTTCCCCAGGAAGAAATGATAGCGACTGTCAAGGAATTAGAAGCGGTGACGGATACCAGCTATATGACACCCGCGACGGAGAACTGGAAGGAAATTTTCAAGGTTAAGCGGTTGATACCCCTCGATAAAGCAGTGGACGTTCGTCTGTTGACCTAACCCCGCCTAGTGGGGGATTCTATCGCCGACGAGCCCCAATCGGCTATCCTGGCGTCTTCTGGGCATTGATCAGATGCAGCGAATAGAATCCAGACCCAGACTGTCTACGTCTTACACTGGTTCTGTACGACTCGGCGTTCAACCGGCTCGCCCGATGCTTACAAGGAGCTCTGGTGAGACGTGACGAGTAAGGCTCGGCGCAGATTTACCAATAGGGTTTGTAATGCGGCCATATACCCGATACGCAATTTAGGAGATACGGATTGATAGGAACGGGCATATATATGCGGGTCGGAGCTATATCGATTTACTTGTGCATTTCGGCGAGTTTTTACTTCGGTAAGGTATATGTATCGTGAGATACAATGCTCCTCCATTACCTTACATAGCGCAGCGATAGAGTTTCGTACAAGAGAACTGTTGTACCTCGCATATGATATCTAGTTTGGTATCTACGTATGGACCTACTTGCAGTGAATTGATATTACAAAGTACCTTAGGTTCTTTACAGGTTCGAGTATTTTATCTGCTCGGAACAGTTTGGATACGGACATTTCCAATGGTAGATTCATTCATTCATTTTAAAGGGGCTTTTCGGTTGAGGTACCTAAGTTGGACGTTAGGAGAAGTACCTAGGTAGGTACGTATCTCTTTAGGTTAGGTACCTAGGTACCTTAAATAGGTATGATTAGGTAAGTGTCATATGCATAATCCACGTTGGCACATTCCGCATGGCATAAAAGCCCGATAGATACGATAGATACGGATGATTAGTATCCAGCTTTGCTACGTTTTTAGCCTGTAAGCTTCTCCCTGTAAAATGCACAACGCACAACGCACAACGAACAACACACAATACAACCTACAATGACCTCTAGGAACGAGCAGAAGCACCAGGGGTCCCTCTGCTGCAGTTCTAGACGCACTTGAATCCTACTCGATCGCTCTGTTCCTGTTTGAACCCGTGCGGCTGCTATCGTTGCATTAATGGCGGATGCTAGCGGCTACCGAGACCGCGGACTGGGAGACCACAGACGTCATTCGAATCACAAACGAACGCGTGGGGAAACACGCGGAGAAGGGCGCGGGGGAGACGAAGACGAGTTAGACGACGCGAAACGTGTTAGGCGGAGATACGACGATTATGAGAGGGGATCTGGAAAGAGACACGAGCATCGATATGACGAATCTCGACATACTAACTCCTCGCTAAGAGAAGGGAGAGGAGACTATCATACCAATTCTAACCCTTCAAAACGCTCGCCTTCGGTGTCCTCAACGCGGCACGGTCATTCGTCGGAGCACCATCATCATCGCCACCATCGCCACCACCATCACAGACACCGCCACTCTTCGACCACATCTACCCGCACCCCAAGCGAACTCCCACTAGGCGCTAGAGCCCTGGTCCGCTCCGATTTCGAAACATTCAGGCCCCTGTTTGCGCAATACCTCGAGGTGCAGAAGCGCAAGGATATCACAGCGCTGGACGAGAGGGAGATCAAAGGCCGATGGAAGAGCTTCGTCGGTAAATGGAATCGCGGGGAGTTGGCTGAGGGTTGGTACAGTCCCGAGACACTTTCGGAAGCGAGGAAATATGATATCGGCGGTAGTACTGGTGCGCAGCTTGAAACCGAAGACAGGGATGTCTCGGCGGCGACGTCGCCGTTATCGCGAGAAAGAGGATATAATCGCGAGAGATCTGGTGGGGGTGGTTGTTTAACACCTTCTGGACGGGAGGAAGGTCAAGATGACGATGACGATGACGGGTACGGACCTACCTTACCTGGCTCCGCGCGTGCGCATAGCCATCCCCGCGAACACCTCGACTCCAACCGCTCCACGAAGCACGGACCGGGTATACCCAGCCGGCAGGACCTCGACCTACGACGCGAGACCGCGGAAGAAGAGCGCGCGCAGCGCATCTTGGACCTGCGGCTAGAGCGCAAGGCGGACCGAGCGGAGCAGCGGGCGCGCCTGGACGAGCTGGCGCCGCGCGCGGAGCCGGGGACGCGGGAGCGGCGGCTAGAGAAGAAGCGCGAGGTCAACGAGAAGATGCGCGGGTACCGCGACAAGTCGCCCGGCGGCGGCGGCGCGGAGGTCGGGGAAGCGGAGCTCATGGGCGGGGACGGGGACGGGGGCGGGGACTCGGTAGCCGAGTACAAGCGGCTGAAGGCGGCGGCGGAGAGGCGCAAGACGGAGCGGGAGATACGCAGGGAAGAAGAGGCGAGGATTAGGGCGGCGGAGAGGGAGGAGAGGGTTAGGGAGTATAGGAGGAGGGAGGAGGATACGATGGAGGTGCTGAAGAGGATTGCTAGGGAGAGGTTTGGGTCCGGGTGAGAGGAGCGGGACGATGGCTCTAGGTACGATTGCTACGTACGGTTGGGAATAAGTCCCGGGGTCGGTATTAATGCGATGAAGGGGTTTAAGAGTCAAGACGTAGAGTATACCTTAGGTACCTAGGTTAGGTAAGGTAGTTTCGATTGTATGAGTATATATCAAGAATAGGTATGTTTTCATATATTACTATTGACTTGAGCTAAGTCTCGACTTTATTGTTGCGAGTAATAGTTAATTAGGCGGCTTACACCATTAGAATACTAAATAGTGCCTTTACGTATGAACTTCCTATACTATAGTTTAAGTCTTAAAGCGCTATCAGCTATAAAATCGTATAGGTAACTCCGGATTACTACAGAGACTCTTAAGTGTACCTCTAATATGCTGTACATAGGCAGACTACTTCATATCAACTAGTCTGTTACCTGTTAGCAAATTGTAACGTGGTGCAAAGGATCTACAGGGCGGATGGCCGCGGGATCCACAATGCGGATACACCCGCCAATACTTCTGGCTAGCTTGTTTACATTGGAGTAAGGCAATATAAGCTAACGTAACAAGTCTGGCATATCAACTGGCGTGGTGGCAGAGTGGTCTAATGCGCAAGACTAGAAATCTTGTTCCTTCGGGAGCGTCTGTTCGAATCAGGCCCACGTCGACTTTATTTTTGCCAATTTTCGCAATTCTTCTCATTTTCATGAGATGCAAAATATTTTCTTTTTCTCACCTTTTTATTCATATTCCGTCTTTCTCATCCGATCGAATTTTCTTGGCAGTTAGAAGAAACTCACAGCTCAGGTATTGTTGTTGCATCATATCATTGGTTACGCTGTTTTAGTAACAGACAGAACCTTTGCCCTTCGGAAAGGTAGACGCGAGAATATTGTATAAAAATCAGCTAATTAGCTTTTTGGTAAGCGTATTCGCAATGGAGGTAGTTTAATGGAATTCCATTGCATATTCGGAAGGGCATTAAAAGATACTAGCTAGGCGATTCTATGAAGGCATGGAGCGGAAACGGGATCCAACAGGCAACCGGTGAACTATTCGGTTTGCCCTGCATAATACGAAGGAAGTTAATGACGAAAATTTACGGAGAATACAAGATACTTATTACGCGTTTCATTCATGTTACTGCTAAAGGACTCGAGTGGCAGGAGTTGCAATGTGCATATTAAAGTGCATATTGAAGTGCCTTGATAGAGAGGCAAGAGTTCGTAACTACCTGCTAAGAAACATAAACTTCCACGCCTCACTATTACTCATTTCACTTCCACGAAAAGAAGGAAAAAAAACATAGCATATCGAGCTTGATAAGCAAGCCAGGGCGATATACACGCCTTCAAAGTATGAGTAGCTGCAAAACATTCCGCCGGTCTTCGTCTCGTTAACCTCGTTGTGTCACCCTTATCCGTCCTCAAATACGTTCCGCCTAGCTTTCAGACTGAGCCTTTGTTCCCACTAAGTACCTAGCCTGGGAATTTCTTGTTAGTGGCAGGTATCAGGTATGATATAATGTTCGGGATTACAGGTGATTCTTACCGTCGTCATTCCATCGTCGCGTACCTACGACCGTGGGGGGCAGGGACAAAGAGCTAGAATTACTCGTCCAGCTAAATGTACATCTCTCGGCCGCGGTTGGCGGAGTCGTCGAGGAACGCGAGATCCTGCTGAGGCCACGACTCCGGGTCCGGGTTGTAGCGGCGAGGGTACTGGAGCTCGTGGGCCATCACGCGGTCGACCACTCCGTTGTTCCACTGGTGGACCCAGTCGGCGACGGAGAGGATCTGCTTCAACAGGGGGTTCTGCGGCCAGTTGCGACCGGCGTAGCGGAGACGGGCTCGGTCCCATCTGTATCGGTGCTGTTTTCGCATGCATACAGAACACATTAGCAAGACAGGAACAGGACGTACCTTGAGCGGGTTTCTGGGAGATGCAGGGCGAGATATAGGGTTTACTTACCGCGACGTCGTTGCATTGAGAAAGCAGCATGGCCTCGATACCCGCGGCCTTCATGATCCAGGAGAGGAAGTAGCCGACGGCGGCCATCAGCACGACGAAGATGCAGACCTCGAGGGACTCGTAGACGAGGCCGTCGTCAATGGCCAGCAGCACGGCCACGTTGACGAACAGGGCCAGGCTGACGTAGCGCACGAGAACCCAGCACCACCAGACGGCGATCAGCTCGAGCGCGTAGATGGCGGGGCGGTGCTTGAAATGGAAATCCGGGGCGACGGTCTGCAGGATGCCGAGGAAGAACTTGCTTGCCATCACCCCGCTGACGAAGCCGGCTTGGGAGACGAGGAAGAACAAGGACAGCAGGGATACCTGCTTGATGAAGTCGAGGAGAGCGAGGTATCTACCTGACTCCATCTTGGATGACTTCAAGCGGAAAAAAAAATGAAACAAAAAACTGGGATGAAATGAACAAATGAAGGCAAGAAAATTACCTGGCAGACTGGAATTTCAAATACCTATTGTTTTTATTTGTCAAGATGTTGGAGAATGGAAGGGGAGGGACTTATATGGTGGTGGTGGTGCTGCGAAGGAGGGAGGGAGGAGGATAGATTCTGCCTTGCTGGGTGGATGTTGAAAATAGAAAGAAAGGTGGGAGGTGGAAGAGAAGAGTCATGGGAGGGGGAAATTGGAATTACCCTGCGGCTTCCTGTGCGGGAAGAGGGGTTAGCTTCGACGGCCTTGTTGACGATGAATGCTTAGTGTTGTTGTGATCAGGGGCGTCAGGGGCGTGCTTTGTCAACTCGGCACTAGAGGTGACGATACGATACTACGGAGCACGGCTTACGCGGATACTAGGACTGTCGTCAAGCTAGATCACTCTATAACGGTCGTTCATGAGTGACTATGTTTTAGAAAAGGACAGGAAGGAAGACAGTGGTGTTGATGTTACGATGTCTAACCCCTTTAAGTCATGTCTTTATGTGATATGAGGCGGGAGGTCATGTATACAGAGTACAGTTTCTTGTAAGGGGGCAAGTTGTTTAGTAGCTACGTCTTAGGTTAGGTACTTAGTTAGGCCTCTAGCTATATGGCGTCTAGAGTTATGCTGTAGTTCCGGGTAGTATATAGAGTTATAATCGGCGACTATAAATTGTGGCCACGGACAAGAGTATAGTAGAGACATATGAGCATACAGGAAGTGAACAAATAGAAAATCGTCCTGCTAGCTCCATCATATTGAATTCTACATGTCCCGGTAAATAAAAATAATGGCTTGTACCCTGATATAATTTATTGGATTAATGGTCATGTTAAAAGACATACCATGTGGCTTTTGAGGCCGTTGAAATAAACGCGCCGTATCGTAAATACGCAACGTTTGTTATGGCATGAACATGTGGGAATATAAGTCTGCCGAAGGGATAAGTGCTCGTAAACAATAAAGGCTAAGTCTTTAAAATTCAGAAGCACTCAGCAACAGCTCATGCAGAAGTAGTTGACGCGCGTGATAACACTCACTCACACCACAACAGGGTCTCAAATTTTAATGGTTAGATTATGTTGGTACTTAATAAGAGGTAATTAAAGAGAATCTGAGTAGGGCAGAGGTAAGCATCTAGGTAAAAGGACATGGAAGTAAAGAAGACTAGTACGGAGTATCAGACATGAATGTAGAGATATTCATGGTTTGGGAGTTGATAACGGATTGCAAGTTATACTAGTTCGGACTTGATATTTACGTTTCGTTTTTGCTTCTGTATATATGTGGTCCAGATAGGGGTAGCTGAATTTTGATAATATGCGCCATTTTGCGTAATTCCTTCTGTACAAGTGCACTTCATGCGATACTAAATAACAATGGTATATGAAAAGGAATGGTATATAAAAAGGTTCCGAGAACTTGGAATTAGCATGACATAGCTGGTTAAGTCTGAATAACATTACTGCTTGTGATAAATAACCTTAGGCAATTACTTCAAAGCGCTTTGGACTTTACAAGGCACGGCAAACCGCCTTTCATCGGCAATGTAAGACTGCTCTTGCTAACTCTCTCGTTTCCATAAGCCGGCGTGAAGTCAAACATTAGTAATACCGTCGAAATGACTTGAGCAGCTAATAGTTCCGCCATTCGCTTCCCAAGGCATAACCGCGGGCCACCGTTGAAGACCGGGAACTCGGTAGCACTTTTCGTAACTAGCTTTCCGTCCGCAGTAAGCCATCTCTCAGGTCGGAACGAGTCGGCATCGTCTCCCCACCTGGTTGTTGACCTATTCATAGCCCAGGTACACCAAAATACTATCGACTTTTCCGGAAGGAAAGTACCGTCGGGTAATGTGGTTGGCTTCTCGCATTGCTTGATTTCAAACGGAATTGGTGGGTATAGACGTAAGGTCTCGTAGAAGACTGCCATGGTGTACGGTAGCGATGAGGGTGTGAAAGTGGTGGAGTTGACGAACCCGTCGTTACTGCCGGATGATAATAATGTTTCCTGGGTATTCTCTAGCAAGGCCCGTGCCTCATTACGGATACCTTCGATGACGGATTCATGTTGCATAAGGAGGTATATGCACCACGTTAGTGCTTGCGCAACAGTATCTCTACCAGCAGATAGATAATTCAAGGCGGAGTCGGATACGATTTCTTGGTTATCGCCAAAAACTTCCAGGAGCGACTGGATCAAGCTGCCAGACACCTCGTCTAATTTATCATGGGTCGATTCCGGGGTAATATGGTCACCCTGTTTCTTGGTTTTTGGATCAGCAGCGCTGTGTACAATCTTATGACCAAAACTGCGTATCGTATCGAGTGCCATCCTGAACTTAGAACCGGTAAAACGTTCCGTAATAAACCACAAGGGGTTTTGGAAGCGTTCAGTAATCACGCCTGAGGCGTAGTCAAAAGCAACGGTGAAGTCATCATTAGCATGCATCTCCATGTCGTAAGCCATCTTTCCCATAAGCTGGCTTGTAATTTCGTGAAACACATATTGTAAGTCAACCACTTTTCTGGCACGAGCCTGTCCTTGTAGGTATTCTACAGCGTGGCCGAGATACCGCGGTAGCGCGATGTCTGTTAGGACTCGTAAATTGGAGGCATTGAGAAATGCTAGGCCAGCTTTCCTCTGAGCCTTCCATAGTTCACCATCCACATTGATGATCCCATTCCCAAATAAGTCCCAAGACAGCTTTTTGAATAAGTCGCCTTTAGAGAAGATACCTTCGTTCTTGAAGATGTAGTCTAAGTTCTTAGGATCGTTGATGACCACACCTGGAGGCAGCGTGGGGACGCTAATCTGGAACGTCTCGTTGCCAAATTGCCTTTCGCACTTGACGAACCAGGCAAATAGCTTCTGGCGTGGCCGGAGGAAGAGGATTCCATTGCCTACAATGGGTAGTGTATTTGGTGGCTTTCTATATCGGGGGTTAAAGACTGGGCTGTAGTCTCATGGAAGAAGAGTACCTAGTATTGGAAACATGTCTTACCTTAAAGGAACACCATTTCGTGTAATAATTGGAGACCGTAATACGAGTTGATAGCATAGAAGAGCCCCAAGTAATCCAAGCCAAAGTAGCCCGTACCCTTCTAGGAGAACCATATTAATCAACCCTTGGGCGTTTGGGAGTAGCCTCGGTGTTATATACTTTCAGTACCTATGTAAATAGCTTCATGTGATTCGGTCTAATTGGAGGGGCTAGCTCCATTCGTAAAGCGACCGGGATTTATCTTTCTGAATAGCAAAATTTGAATTGAGATGGGATTATATATCTACCTTGTACCAAAATCTTTATAAGGATTATAGCATGGCTTGCAATTGGTGTTGGGTGTAATTAGTGTTGGATGTTCGCAGGTCACAAAGCTGCTGGCTCAATGACAGCGTTGTAAGCGTTACACTCCCAGGTACCTTATCACATGCCGTCAGGCACTTTTTTACATAATACTCCTTGATAGTTTCAGCCTTACGTCAGTGACGCAACAGATCATAGGGTATTTATTTTCTTACCCCTGTTGTTTCTTCCCCTGGACCATACAAGGTACTTTATAATCCGTAAATCTCATTGGCTCGAAGCTCCCGTCTTGCCCCCTGTACCTAGGTACCTGCTTTTCATCGCGTCAAAGCTCAACTCGAAACTCAACAAAATTGCCAAATCATGAAGCTGTCATGATATCATGACGGCAAGAAGGGGGGAGCTACACTAACTTCTATATACTCATCCCCGCTCCTCGTCTTAAGGTCGTCCGAATTCCGATTTTACTTATTAAAAATAGCTTTAATTGTTAATTGTGCTGGTTCACGAGAGACATATCAGGTTGTTTATCTGCTTTATTATTTGACTTATTATTCAGTTCAACCTTGAGACGACACAGTCTACCAAGACCAGCACAATGCCGACCCCCTTAATCCCGCGATTACATCTCTGGGAGATCGACGACCAACCGTGGTAAGCCTTCAGCCTTCCCCGAAATTACCAACCAATGAGCTAGCACACACACACACACACACACACACACAGCACGTTGGGCCAACAGATTTTGCTTGGTTGATATCTGCTGCTTACATCCCGCGGCGGCTTGCTGCAGGTCTATCTTGGCTGGCTGACAATCTCATCCCGCGTCAACGCACACTCACCTGACTGGCTGGCTGGACCGACTGACTAACCAATCCTCCTCCTCCTCCCAAAATAGGTTCCCCTCATTCCTCCGCGCCTACGTCCAAGACGGCCTAACCCACGCCTGGACCGTCCACATCCCCCTCCTGCAACCCAGCAGCCCCGCGACCATCGAAGCCGAGACCCTGCTGCGCGTCCTCGGTCCCTCCGCCTCGCGCTACACCTACATCGACTTCTGCGCCGGCGCCGGCGGCCCTACCCCCCAGGTCGAGCGCGCCTTAAACAGCCAGCTCTCCCGCGCCCGCAACAAGGACACCAAGGATGACAACAACAACAACAACAACAATAACAGCAACGAGAACGACCAAAATGAGAACGGCAAGAACGACGACGACGACGACGACGACGAGAACAGCCAGGTCGACTTCGTGCTTACGGACCTGCACCCGCACGTCGAGGCCTGGTCCGCCGCCTGCAAGAAGAGCGACCGGCTGACCTATGTCGCGCAGCCCGTCGACGCCGCGCGCGCCCCCGACGACCTGATACGTCGGTACACCGAGGACAAGGAGAACAACAAGAAGAACGGTAGAGGCATTTTCCGCCTGTTTAACTTGGCGTTCCACCACTTCGACGACGACCTGGCGCGCGCTATCTTGAAGAACACGGTTGAGACGAGCGATGGGTTCGGGTAAGTACCATAGTTGTCCCTTTCCCTTCGCCCCCCCTTTTTTCTTTTTCCCCCTTCCCTTCCTCCCAAATTAGAAATAATGCTATTTCCTTTGCCGTTCTATTATATTTCTATTTCTATATGTCCTATTCATATAGTTAATCCATCTTCTTCCGATACCAACCAACCAACCTAAAACGTCGTTCTTATGTTAACCCTCCTCCCCCCAAATATAGTATCTTCGAGCTCCAGGACCGCACCCCCACCGGCCTGCTAACCTGCTTCGCCTTCGGCTTCTTCATCCTGCTGATCGCGCCGTTGCTCTACTGGTGGTCGCCCGCGCGCCTGTTCTGGGTCTACGTCATCCCCGTCGTCCCCTTCGTGCTCGTCTTCGACGGCCTCGTCTCCTGCCTGCGCACCCGCACCGCCCACGAGGTCGAGGCGTTGCTGCGCACCTGCGGCGCCAACACCGACGGCTGGGAGGTTAAGAGCGGGAAAGAGCAGTTTCTTTGGCCCTGCGGGTATTTGCATTGGATTATCGGCACCAAGAAGTCTACATGAGGGCCGTTAAATAGGGGTTATGTCGGCGTAAAGCATAGTGTATAATCAATTTCGAGTTTCTGGAATACCCGCTTGTATAAAAAATAATTCATGTTGCATTCTGCAAGGTAAAAAAAAAAAGAAAAAAAAAGATATATGAAAGCTATGGATGATTATGTACGAATGGTATTTTCCTCATTTCCCCGTAAATGACGTTGATAATGCTTTCCCATGATAACCGCTAGACGCCCCGAGTCAATTTTTCTACCTAGATACACATAGACATTTATTTAAGTGAGCTCCAAGATAACACAAAAGATGGGGTAAATCAATACCCGAGGCTGACAAATTATTGCGTCAACCAACCAAGATAATCCACAACAATTAAGGTCACCATGCTGTAATGTGACGTTAGCAACCTCCTTTTCCCATCGATTCCGATTTTCGGGCGAGATGAACTTACGCGTGAGGCGCGATGCGCATGTAGTAGGTACCGAATCCACGGTAAAAGCGTGTGAGACCTTCCTGTTTGGCCACCTTGATGAAGCAGTCTGTCATGCTTCGATATGGAAGTTTGCCATCCGGACCGCGGTGCTGCTTCTGCAATCTCGTCTTTACGAAGTCAAAGGGCAGACTAAGGAATGAAGCAAAAAATCCCGCGATAGCACTGGCCGTTAGTGTTTGCGACAGAGGCGACCACTGGGTGTGCGCTTTGAGCTGCGCCTTAGCCTCTGAAAAGAATGCCAGTTGACCCACGTTAAGTGCCATAGCCCGTGCTACCGTCGGTGTCGCACCGGACCATAAAGCGGTGACGCCTTCGGATTTGACGATCGACGATAACGCATCAATAACTGATTTGTAGTTCTTCCGTTCCGCGACAGGCTTGAGACCATCCGATTGCATTCGAATAAGCGCGAGATCGGCAGGGTTTCCGATAAAGGCCGCTATTCCACCGGCCGCGAGGCCAGCACTCGCTCGTTCAACAAAGGTAACGTCTCTACCCTTCGCCTTGGCACGTGCTGATAGGCCCTTTAGAAACGTGTCGAAGAAGCCCAGTCTCGCTGTAGTATACACTGCCTGGCGAAGGAGACCAGCTGAAAGACCAGTGTATAAGTCAAGAGCCTTGCCTTGTGCAATAATGTCCTTCGTGACGGATAATGGAGAAGGCCTTGGTCCAGTAGTACCACCCTCGCCAGCGAGTTGCAATCTGACCTTGATCATGTCTATGGGCTGGATAACAATGGTCGCAACCATTCCAGAAATGCCGCCGTTAATAAAGGGAAGGGCAGCCCGCATAACAGGTGTGTGTAAGAAATCGTTTTTTACGGCAGAAACTGCCTCCGAGCTTTGTTTATTCATGGCGGACGTCTTGGATCGTGCTGCTTCGGCGGCTTGCTTGAAGGTGTTGGAACTCATAATTCCAGCTGAGAGGTAAGATGGCAGGGAATCGAAGAAATGGTATAGATACAAAGCTAAGACCCGTTTAAACTCTGGGAATGACCACAGAAAGGTGGGAAGCTAGTATCGACAACATATAGTTAGCAACATGTCCGTAAATATCATTTTGATGAGACGGTTTTTTAAGCTTATAAAAAAGGCCGGACTAGGTAGGGAACTCGAGAGAAGGTCCGGAGAAGCGCCATTGGCTGAGGCGCTCAACATCTGCTCGAAAGCAAGGTAGCCATAGCCATAGCCACGACCGAGGTGTACAGCTAATAGCCGATGTTGTAATTCGGCACCATTTAGCGGGTATCTAGTGATAGATACAGATGTGGACCGGTCGGGAATGATAGGAAGTGGGGGTGAGTGTACTTATTAGACCCCAGGCAGAGGGCCAAAGAGGTTGGAGATTCATCTCGGATACCGCATCCATACCCTTACTCAAGGCCATACTTGCCAAGTTGCACCAATAGGGTATTAAGTTGATAATAGCGTAGCGGATAGTAGTTGAACCGTTGAGGATGGCGTTTCCGTGACGGGGCAAAGAATGAATGAAATGGGGGGCACCAACATGTGCAACAATGTCTCAATAGAAAAACTAATAGATCACCCGAATAAAATAGGATTATGTTCTGCCCCAACTAGAAGTTGAATTATTACCTACAACTTCTCAGCCCTAGATCGATAAAGTCGAACAAGCCACCGAGACCGGCGGGGGATCACAAGTTGAGCTCAACAGGCGAGGAAGAGCTATATGGGAAATGCGAAATGCGAAGTGCGGAAATTGGGACGCCGGTGTGTATGTAGCCGGATGATGTCAGCAGAAGGAATATTCCGGCTCGAAAAATCGAAGGAAAAGCTATCGGATCTGGTGGGGAGGAATCAACAGAATGATAATCAGCGAATTCACAAAGCCATGTAATATAAAAACCACACGATCGAAATTGACCGCGTGTCTAGGAACAGGGATTTAAGCGAGGTAAGTAGGTAGGTAGTTTGACGACGTGAAAAGATCAATTTACTACCTCTACTACTATGTAGATGTAGATGTAGATGGAAGGAGTACAACTTGGCATCTGAAGATTTGGAGGAGAAAAGGGGAGAACGAAAACCTTAATGAGTTGGATTAGATATACTAGGTTAGGTACGTATCTAGGTTAGGTAGGCCACATGTGCAGGATATATGTATTGTACATAGATACCTGGTACCTATGTAGTACTAATATAAGTGCCAACGTAGGAAGAAAAAGGAAAGCCCAATGAGGTATCCTTGAATGAATCTTGATTAAGGAGGGTGACCTCGGGTATGCCTCGTTGCTACTTGGAAGAACGTTGTTATACCTACCTAAGGTAGGTACTTTGTATGATATGTCGGCCAAGTGTCGACTGCCTACCTTCCCCAGTATGCGCTCAAGTATAAACTCTAACCTAGGTATATGAGACGAAGGGAGAAAAAGGAAAGAGAAGGGACAATAAAAGAATCCCGAGGCGAGTGCGAGGTAAGGTAACAGGTACCTGTGAACAACTACCCGTTGCCCTTTCCTCGATTACCTATCTCTGGTATAGGTAGAGGTAGGTTAGGTATGTAGTTGTACTACCGAGGGGGATCCAATGCGGAGTTGACGCATACAATTCATCATGCCGACATCAAACAAATTAGTTTCCTCCTACTCCCTTCACCTATCGTTCAGGTTATACCACTTATACGCTACACTATATTCATATCTAAGGTGCCATCGTGTCGACAATTCATTTATTTGCGTACCATTGCGTACCATTGTCCAACTTCGGTCACGGTGAAACTACCCAGGCAGTTATTCCAACTGGTTGTAGTTATTACTTGGTGTCGCGAGGAACCTATGGATCATAAACTTGTTATGATATACTACATAGTATGTAAGATATAGTTAAGCCAAAAGAACAAGAGAAGAATTCCCTATTATCATCTATTATTAGTTACTTGCTAGGTAATAACTAACTACATAAGGTAAGGTAAACGCTCAAAAGTGGTACCCTGCGTAAGGTAAGCTTAGATGGAATGGGTCTCGGCATTACGTGGTTTGGGGGGGAAGGACTTGATTGTTAATCTTGCGGAAGTCCGTGAGGAATAATAAGATAAAGTAATCCAGGGATCATATGCTATAGTTAGGTAGGTATATTTAGTATATCCTCGGAATGGTCACGAATTAACTAATAAGTAAAACATGAATTATCACCCCATCTTTTCTATCTGAACCTTTGTCCTTTGCGAAGTAATGAATGCCGTAATATCCTCGTCTCTTGTCCCGAGAGTTGGCGGATTGCGGGGTAAAAGTCCCTATGCACATGTACTGTACACGCAGTAAACCGTACCTATTTTAGCGCATGGACCCACGTAGCGCAGACAAGCTATTAATCGATAAGCACGTGCTAAACATTCGGTCTTTTGAAGTTGAACAAGTTTATCCCTCTTTGCCGTCCTTCAAGAAGTCTAGTAGATGTTGCGTAAGCTGAAGTGAATTGCTTTGAATACGTTGTTTGGTAGTACGCATTGATTATAGAATCCATTCGAAGAGATATATATGTTTCGTCAAATACCAAGAGCGAATAGCTATGATAAAGCTATTACACAAGTGACGTCAAGTCGCTGGGGTTTCCATCGCTTTAAAAATTGGTAGAATCTGATAGGTACAGACATACAAGCAAGGACAAGGGCCGGCAGGGGTGAATCACCTCCCAAAAAGGACAGCTGCATTTCCGTCCTCCAGTCTAGAACACCAGAACACCAGAACACCAACTTCTTCGTTTCGCTCGGAATAACAAGTTCGGCTATAAATGCGTCTCCAATACATCTAGCTACTACTTACTTGGCTTGCTGGGTTTGGGGTTTCACGAAAGTAACCGGCAGCTGTCTAAACACGGCTTGCTTAGACCGGCTGCGAGAAAATAGCCAGGTTCCAATGGTATCACGTATGAAATCTTCAGGATAATCGAGATTGGCCAGGTCTACTATCAAACCACCTCTAGAGAATAGGCCGTTCTTTTAATGCCGTTTATTCCCGGATATATGGTATGTATTTATGATTGGCCTAAAGCTGTGAGGACAAACAGTGCATCTATTAAAGGTGTTCGGCAGGTATAAGCCGTCTAAGCACCTGGGTGTTTTTATTGATTCATTTCGACATTTCCCCGGGTTGTGTTTCACATGTTGATTTGCTGGGCATTTCTAACAGGTTGCCATTGCAGTGGATATGGTTGCTTCTATCCGAGATGCTGCTCCATTATAGCCTTCGTCACAGCGACCTCCTATCACGTACATAGCAGTGCTGACGCGCCGTTGACCACAATGCGGTGAGCTGGCCTCAGGGGGATCAGCCGGGATAACTTCCTAGGACTAAACTACAGACGATGCATTCATGTCCTTTGTAAGACCGCAATTGGTCCGTCACCTACTAGCGACAACTAGTTTTAACTGACCTCGGGTATCGTTTTATAAAGCACCCGGTCGTAGTTTCGGGTAACCGGGTGGCCGGGCGACCGTGATGATAATTGCCGCAACTTGCCGCCCATATTTGGTATCTCTATCCACTCCCATCGAAAGGGAGCTGTGCACATTAATGTGTCCTTTAAGCTAATTTAGCATGGCATTAAGGAACTGCGCTTGATGTCCGGTGAGGCGTGCGGCTCAACTATGGAGATCAAACATTTCTCAGGATCTCCAACTATTATCATCCATCGGTTGCATACCCTCCACTATATGTGGTTAGGCTTAGAAGGTAGAGGGGAACGTAGTCAATCTTCCTCCATCGGTGAGTAGGATAGCGCCATTGCAGTAGGCACCGGCTCTGGAGGCGAGGTAGAGAATAGCGCCCGCCATGTCTTTTTCATCTCCGGGACGCTCCAGAGGTACCATGCTTTTGCCGATTCCTCCTCTTTCGATAATAGGGGCCGACATCTCGCTTGGGTATACTGCACATGAGTTAGTATAGTGTAAAGCTTAAGCAACCTACTCTGCCCCTTTCCCCCCCTTCTTCCAGGAATTATTTTCCCTTTCTAAGGGTCAAAACTTGAGTTTGGACGGCTAGAAATACTTACGGCCAGGACATATGACATTGGCTCTGATATCCCACTGAGGTAGCGACACGCTCAACTGCTTCATAAGATGGGTACAAGCGGCCTTGCTTTGCCCATAAGCAAACCCACCAGTGTTTACCTTGTTAAAGCCAGCTATACTGCTTACAGCAATCACCTGGCTTTTCTGCTCCACGTTGCCTTTCTTGTTTCCAGCATCCAAGAGCTTTAGAAATGATATAGCAGTATACCATACAGCGCTCGAGTTGACCGCGAACGTGTTAGTATAATCCTGAATGGGCACAGACAAATTGGCCTCTATAAATTCGTCCAGAGTGGTTTCGGGCGTGGGACGAATCCCATACGGACCAGTAACGCCCGAGTTACAGACTAGCAGGTTGATCAAGCCGGCATCCTGCTGGATTTGAGCGACGGCTGTCTTCAGGGACTCCTGAGACGTCACATCGCAGGTGATCGGAACTACATTACCGGTATCGATCTGCTCTGCGGCTTGTTGTAGGACTTGAAGACGTCGACCTAGAATGTATACTTTAGAGGCGCCATTGGCAGCTAGAGCCTTAGTTATCATAAGCCCGATTCCTAAAGCCGGTCTGTTAGGAAATGTTTCATTGTATGAAGTACGAAGTATTTGATTAGTCCGGGTATCATGACATGCCTGTTCCGCCGCCTGTAACAACTGCAACAATATCCTTGACGTTAAATAAGTTTTCTGCGCCGAGCATAGCTAACGTTGGCTGTGAAGTCGCCATTTCTACCAACTCTTAAGTTATACGTTTCTTGATATCCGATCTTTATATCTCGTAGACGGACTGCTTAGTTGCTCATTGGGGATTTTAACTGACACAGCTTGGGGCAATAGGACTGCAATCCGAAGAACCGCTGTTATACTTTATCAAGGTTTACCCCGCCATCTCATCAATGAAATGAGTCTAACTTCTCCACCCCTCGGTGGATCTCGATCACGATATGCTTACCATACCTAGGTACCTGGAATAGAATGAATTACTATGTAGATGCTCATCCTTGAATACAAGATGGACACCATTCGTTACGGGGATTTATATTCATTTCGGCCAGAGTAGAATAGCGAAAAGATGAACAATTGGTTGTATTTGGTAAAATCCTTATTCAACTAATACCTACGGGAAGTTTCTGCTTTGATTATTGTCCTGGTGAAAGTGGAATATAGCGTAGTAGCATATACCGTAATAAATACATACGAGCCGATAGGAAATATGCGTATCTGCGATAGCGTAAATCTATGCACGTAACAAGCATTATATCTTTAAAAATTTCGAGCTTTACAATTTCGAGCTTTACAATTTCGAGCTTTACAATTTCTCAAGATTCCCTGTTAACCAATCATAATAATTAATAATTCACATACCCGTTCGACATGCCGAAGAGAAAACGCGAGCCTACCCTCGAAGAGAAGCTGTCGCAATGGCACAAGGAGCTTGCGCGCGGCATGAAGACCGCCAAGGGCTTCGAGCGCCAGCGATTGAGCAAGCGCATCCGCGAAGCTCAGAACGATCCGGACAAGACGGCGAGGCTTGAGAGGGAGGTCGCCGTTCTAAAGGTACGAATGCTTTTTTTTCTTCTTTTCTTGAAAATTAAATGCAATAGAATAAACCCTGTACTAACGTTAAAATCCTACCACCAGAGTCTCGATCTCCAACAGGCCGCGCACGCGCACCTCTGCTCGTCGATCCTTAAGATCAAAGGCGTAGCCGAGTCGCCCAAGATCCCCGCCGATATCATCAAGCCTGTCCCGAAGCCCGAGGGATTATCCGAGGAAGAGAAGGCCGCGCTGCACAACGTGACGAGCGCGCTCTGCAACCGCAAGCAGATCCGCGACGTGATCGAGGAGGCCGTCATGGGCACCTGCATCGCGCTGAGGGTGCCCATGCCGGAGAAGCTGAAGAAGGGGAAGGGCAAGAAGGAGAAGAAGGATGGCAGAGCTGATAAGGAAGAGCAAGCCGACGATATAGATACTGCGAAGACGAAGGCAGCGAAAAGTAAAAAGAAGAAAGAGGAGGACGAGGAGGATGAAGAGCCGGGGCTGGTGCTTCTCAAACGAAAACGAGAAAAGGTTGCAGATGATAACGAAGAAGACGAACTTGGTAGTGATACGGATGACGTCGGGGCTGAGGATGAGCAGCCGTTCGAAGGTTTCTCGGACAGCGAGGCTGAGGAGCAAGCCTGGTCGCGATACGACGACTTTGTAGCTGGTTCTTCTAGCGACGAAGACGAATCAGATGGTAACGATGAGCTCGTCGCGGATAGTAGAACGAGATCACTGAAAAGAGCACCGACTGACGACATATCAATATCATCAGCTGGATCATCCGAGTCAGAGCAAGAAGAAGATGACGAAGAGGATGAAGAGGAAGATGCAGACAGCCGAATTTCTGCATCTGCATCTCCACCACCGACTAAGAGAACCAAAGTCGCCAAGGCGGTAGCCCCGATATCAGCCGGTAACTCAGCGTTCCTGCCCACGCTGATGGGCGGCTACATATCCGGTTCGGAGTCCGAAGCCTCGGACCTGGACCTGGCGCCCGCGCGTAAGAACCGGCGGGGCCAGCGGGCGCGGCAAGCCATATGGGAGAAGAAGTACAAGGAGAAAGCGAAGCACGTGCAAAAACAACAAGAGAAGGCCAAAGTGGGCCGGGACCAAGGGTGGGACATGCGGCGAGGCGCGGTAGGAGACGAGGAGGCATCTAATAAGCCCTGGAAGAAGGGTATCCGGAACCCCTTCGACAACAAGCATGTCCACCCCGAGCGCCAGCAGCACCGCCTCCAGTCCGACGGAGGAAGGAATTCCGTACCGGATAAACCGAAGCCGAAAGCGGTGCCTAAGAGGGATGATACGGGCCCGTTACACCCCAGTTGGGCCGCGGCTAAGAAGGCTAAGGAGGAAGGCCAAAAGGTCGAATTTCAGGGGCGCAAGGTTGTTTTTGATTAAGATTCTTAACAGATACCATATGTTACTATGCTATGAAGAGTACTAGGAGAATTAAAGTGCATTGTAGAAGAAAAAAAAAACATCGATTGATATAATTAGAGGTACCTAAGGTAAAACTACTTCTATTTATGTAGTCGCATCAGCAATAAGATCACGTATATTCGTCATGTCAATGATGATGAAACTCATCATATCTCAGTAGTTGGTTCATCTTGGTAAACCCATGAGTGTGAAACTTTTCGCAATAGCAAGACTCTAATGTAGCGACATGTTCAAGGTTCCTTGACAGGTACCTAGGTAGGTAGGTAGTCTGCAGACACGCTTTCGCAGCGCAGCGGCCTAAAATGCTTGGATTGCGCACCTATATATAGTAGATATTAAGGCGACTTTCGTGAAATCTTCCATAGTGTTTGGAATAGGTAAATAGAGAAGAATTGATCCTGATATCTCGCATGCTAGATTAGATAGAGATGAAGTATGAGTATAAGTGGATTCAAGATTAGATGTCGGCGACCATGCCGGGGTAGTTTTTGAAGACGTCTGCAAATCAGTTGTCGATAGTTGAAGTACGTATTTCCACCGCATCCGGCAAAAACGTGGCTCGTGCTCTTGCCCGGTGTAATATTGATTGCCATGAAAAGGTTGGGTAGAGAGAAAACAAACGCGAAGTTGTGAATTTCAGTTGTTTCGATAGATCCGTTGGATGGAAAGTAAAACCAAATGGAGAGTTGTGGTGAGAACTAGGAATGAAAAGCTAGGTCAAACTGAAATCATGACTCCATAACTGCGTCGTAGATTGTATAAGATGAAGATGCCGAAATAATGCTTCGGATATACCTCATCTTAGGAGCGAAGAGGACGTGTCACATTGGTATCTCTTACCCTAGTTTGCGGCGTTTCGCGCTGGATGAAGAACCAGTGCTTGAAGGACTAGGATTAGGACGACGAACGTTACAAGGGCCCAAAGGGAAATCGTCGTCGTCGTCATCGCTGCCCGGAGGAGTCTCGTCTCTGGCGTACGTCTCTTCTTCGGGATCGGAATCGGAATCGGAATCATCGGTCACTAGACATCCAGGAGCTCCATTTATTCCAGGGTTATCGTTGGGCTCCGACTTAATAGACTTGGTTTTTGGTTCTTGTTCGCTAGGCCTGGAGTCCGGCTCTGAGGGGACAAAAAGCGGTGATTCTGCACCATCACCATGATCATTATCGTCGGCTTGGATTCTGGACTGGCCTCCAGCCAGGTCTATTACCTCGCTGTTTGCCTGTTCCGCAGGGTCGTCGATATCCATTCGCTCGGATGGAGGGCCGACCGAACCAGAGCCCGAGGGAACGAATAAAGCGCTGGATCTATCGTCATCGATATCCATCCCATCTCCCCCATCACCATTCCCATCACCATTCCCATCGGCTTGCGTCTGATTATTACGCCCTTGGGCGGGCCTGGGTACTGTAACAGTATTAGCACCCCGCGATGGGCGTGGTACACTACGGCCGCCAGCATTATCGTCGCCATCATCATCGTCATCCTCCGAACCATCAACACTTGAGCCGTTCCATGAAACAATATCACTACCGTCCCCATTAGCAGATCCGGTCGTCTCGGAACCGCCAACTAAGTCCATGCAAGGTGTCTCGTCGTAAAACTTCTTAACGATCTCCATATCCTCTTGCGATGGCCTGGAATCTTCCAGGTGGCTCATACGGAGGTCATATTCCTCCTTCGGGAGAGTCACGACGGTATTTATGTCTTTTAGAAACGACCAATCCCGTGCTGACTGGCGGTGTATAGGACCGTTGCTCTCTTTGAAGCGAATCCAATTCATACCACGCAGTTGATAGAGACAATCGATCCCTTGGACTGTCCGCATTGACCGATATTTCCGGTAATTCGGGTGTGTTCGCGTGCGGCGAACCATGGTCTTGAAAGCGTCAAAATGTTTGGCTAGAATTCGATTCCCACTATCTTCAATATCTTCAGGCCCGTTGTCATCCGATTGATGTTCGCTGGACTGGTCCTCGGCTGGCTCACTTCCATCCGTGTTGTTGGACGTGCTACTGAAAAATGGATTTTTCTTGCCTCTTCGAACTTCATACCCCCTTCTTGTTCGGCTTTTGCTACACTCAGATATGTGTACGACGACTGTGCGCAGTCTTCTGGTTTCTGTAAATGAATACAGACCTAGCGTACGTTGTGAGACATGCGTCTCATGTGGAGGCATCAGGGCCCCATGCCACATCAATTCTACATTCACCAACCGCTGGACACGCGCCTTGCCAATGCCCTGCCCAAAGCGATGCCATTCCCCGAGCGAGCTGAAGGCAAACGTGTTGCCTCCGTAAAATGCATGAGCGCCGATGAAGTACCAGCGCTTGCACACCAGGAGAGGGCCGAGCACATCGTTTGGCTTGCGGGTTAGGATGATTTGACAAGGAGATGTACCAAAATGGAATCTCGTGGGCAGCTGGCTCTGTCCTTCAACATCCTTGTCTGGAAAACCAACTGGCGGATTTTCAGGGTCCAAACGAGAGAGACAATGGATGAGGCTGTTCTTGACAAATAGTCGTCTAAAGATTTTCACTTGAACCTTCAAAGGAAGCTTTTCAAATGGAAAGCTGGGAGCGGCTGGGTAACTATCTGGCTCGGCCACACTTTGTGCTCGCTCCTGTACCGAAGGTCGTGGGGTCCTATCTTCCAACAGTCGCCTCTCTTCTCGTCCCCGCTTATTGTCCGATATCGTATTTTTGATCACAAAAAGGTCAGGATGAAATATATCTTGTTGGGACATATTCTCCTGCTTGCAACATCTGCGATAAACCTGATTGTAGGAAATATCTCCTCCGCTGAGATACGATCTGAGTAACTGACTCCATGGCTATATCCGAGTGTTAGCAGGTTCCTATATGAACAAGAGGTCGTAAGGAGGTACTCACCACCACAGGCTTACGAATCCCTTTCAGACGGTCCTGTGCTTCTTCGAGTTCCTCCTCAAGTTTTTTGATTTTCTTCTTATCCTCTTTGGTCTCTTTATTCTTTTGTTGGATATACACCACCAACATGTCCATCCAATTCTGCTGGCGATCGAATTCGCTCTTGAGCAGGGCATAGTCATGACCGTGACGGGTTTCGTCGAACCCGATTTCACTCATGTCATCGAGGATGCTTGGACTGACTGATTCATCGGCTGTAAAAGTTAGCTTTATGCTGTTTAGAGTAATGGGGCAAGATCCTACAACCACTATCATCTGTTCCTTCTTCACCCTCGGCATCGTTTCCAGCCTTGTCTTGGGTAGCATTTGGGGAACCATTCCCATCGACAGGACCTTCCTGTTCTTCTGATTCCTGTTCTCCCAATTCAGGCTCATCGTCACCATGCTCCACATCATCACTATTTACGGAGGGCATATTGACGTATTCCGTTTGAGAGAGAGGAGTGGAGCGAAGAATAGGTACTCTGGTAAAGTCGAATGGTGCTTATTCTCCTATAATTAGGCAACTCTAGCCCAATTAATTGTCAATATCAGGTCCTTCACATGAAGTTGTTCATCGCGAGAGAAGGAACTAGAGGTGAGAGAGGGAACAAGCGAGAGCAGCGAAAAAGTTAGGTTTTAAATGGAATCACGATTGGGCTTCAGACTCAGGGTTGCGGTACCTAATAAAGTCACAATTTCACGAGTATGGGACGTAGATGTCAGGATTAGGGCAAATGGACGAGGGTACCTCGAAAGATATCAAGTGTGGTAAAAGAACGGTGGATATTTCTTGGGGACATAATCCCTTAATGCCAATATATGAACGTATCTGATATTGGAAGGGCCTTTGGCCTATGTAATGGTGGATGGAGACGAGTCAAGTGCATATGAGGTGAGAAGCATGGGAAAAGAAGGCAGTAATGAACATCGGGATAGCAACTTACCAAGTTAATTAGGAATATTGATTTAGGTAAGTTGGATATGAGTACCTACTACCTCTGGAGACGTGAAAACGATGCGAATAACCTGCCTAGCGTTGTGGTTAGACGTCGAACAGGTGGTAGATAAATATGTAGGCGAGTAGGGTGATGATGGGATAAGTATGAGGGAGGGGTGATAGATGAAAAATTCGTGTTCAAAAGCTGAGTAAATGAAATGGCTAACGATTTGGCCGCCCAGATATGGCCAGATAGAAAGCAAGGGGAATTATGTGTAGGGAACGAGAGAGTGATACGGGGTTGTATAAGGAAGGTGCTTCTCAAGATAGTTGATTGTGGAGGAAAGAGTGGTAACAGAAGCATATGGTGTAGATGATGCCGTTGAAGAAGTAATATGAGAAGAACATACCTGGGGACGGGGTGCCCCTACATAGATTCTTAGGAAAGAGAGAATCTAGAAATAGTTAGAAAAGAAAAGTGGAAGTTGGCCGGAAGAATGGCCTCAAATAATTAAAGAATGCAAAGGTTGGTCTTCAAGTTGTGAAGTTTAAGAAAAGAGGCTATCGTGAGAGTAGACGATAAGAGTGCCCTTCAACAGGTATGCCGTGGATGATGATGTGTTGGATACTGGGGAGGAGGGGGGGTTGAAAGCTGCAAAATGAATACGGGGTGGTGGGTCAACTGCAGTGGTATTCAAATAGGAAGGGAGATCCTCGATATTGCTGTTGTTATTGTCGGCACAGGAACATACATGAGTTGAGAAGTTGCACTCTTGTGACTTGAAAGATCTTTCAAGGTGTTACCTCCCACCTACCTAGCATCTTTCAGCAAGGTAACTGCTGTATTACATGGTTGGAGTTTCAATGTCCACCTGGGCATACTTAGGTAAGCGGCCCTTACTGAAGATATTCGTGCAAGAGCAATCTCATGTCCATCTTATAAGATGTAGAAGGATGGTTATGACCTAAGTTTTGGTCAAGACGTGTTAGATACCTAAGGTATATACCTAATCTTCTTCTTTCTTGTCTATGAACACATGAATTGTAGTCAATGTACAAGCTGCTAATCAAACAGGGCGATGCTAATGCTTAAGCATTTTTTCTAGAGCATCGAGATCATTCTAGGGTTCTATATTTGCTTCATAGAGCGGAAGAAATCCTATCGGGTATATTTAGTAACTTATCATATCAACTTGATTAGAGAACGACGTAATAAAACTTACCATAACGCTAGTGAAAACAACTAGTAAGATACCTCCTCCGGGGCCAAGTCTTAGGACTTTAGGCAGGAAACCCTTGTATAGGGCACCGAAGCCCTCCTCCTTCATCACAGTGGCGCAAGCACTCCAAGCCCAGTTGTACTTGGGGGTCTGTCCGGGAATTCTGGGGCTGTTTTGGATGCGCGACTTGACAACATCCATGGGCGTGTTAACTATTGTTCCGACGGTGCCACCAATAGAACCGGAGATTAGACCATTCAAGATCTCGCCCTTCTTGGTCTCGGCCTTAGGGAGGAGCTCCTTAACCTGGAAAATACATCCAAAGTAACCGGCGTTCCATAATATGTGACGCCACATGGTGCTCTCAAGACCATTGTACAGGGCTAGGATACCCTCGTTCTTGATAGTCTTGGAGACGACATCGATCATGCCAGTATATTTGCCCGCGGAGGCCTTGTCTTGCAGTCTGATCTTGACCAACTCAAATGGTACGACAACGAAAGATTCCGTAGCCCCGGCCGAGGCACCAGTCAAAATCGATAGTGATTGGTTCATCTTCTCAGCACCAAAGACCTTGCGGTAGAACTTGCCCCATTCGTCGTTGGCAGCGAATTTGGTGGCACGCTTCGGGGCTTCCATCAGAATGGGTGCTGTGATACCTCTGTATAATCTCGAAAATCTGTGCTAGGGGTGAGCCTGGAAACAACAGGTTCTGGGTGGCTACTGTACCCTTCGTTGCGAATGATCTTCTGGAAGCAGTCCAGCATGCCATTGTATGAATCTGCGCCACCCCCCTTGCCAGTCTGGAGTTGTCTATTCTATGGTAAGCTTCGAACAAGCTGACTGGGAGGGTCCCGTTCTTGCTCACACTCGGGTCTTCACAACGTCCAGAGGGTACCTAGTCTATGTCAACGATGCGCACGCGACAGACTCAAGCGGGGTATGGCATAGTATACATGGTCAGAATCTGGAAGACGAGAGTAGAATGTTAGCTCGTCGTTTAAAGGCAAGGGCCTGGAGTTTATCACTTGCCTCCGAGATGCCGGCGACGGCACCTAAAAGGTGAGTTGTCAGTCCATAGGTACTTAATGCATACGACAGAATCATTAGCAGAGATGGATAAGATGCAACAAACCTGCGGCGAAGGTGTATATAAAGGGAAGGGGTTGATCCTGAGCCATCTTGGGCGGTGGAATTTGGACCTTTAAAAAACAGTAATGAGCGACTTTGCGTTAGAACTCAATTGAGAATTTGAGGGTTAGAATTGTTGTGTTTGGAAAATACGTACGTGCGGGTACTGGCGGTTATTTGATCTGACGAGAAACGAATTTCGAATTATTATTATTATAATTCGTTTGCGATGACGGCGCAATTACTTTAGGTTAGGTACCTCTTTAACAAACTCGATAACTCGCTAGCCCGCTAACCCGCAGAGTGCCTTTATGCCCGCCGGATCGGAGTTAGGTATCAAGGAACCCCACAAGTCGAACGACCCCAAATCTCGAGGGACTTGGGACCTACTATGTAGGTACCTAAAGTCTTAAGTAATCCCTTTATTTAATATTACGTTTAGGTACTTCTTTATCGTTACTTTAACGCGTAAATACGTCTATTAGGTAATATGTTTTGTTTTGTACATGTAAGGGAGGGAAGTATAAGGGGTAAGTACCTAATAAGGTGAGTACCTAAGGTAACTGAGGTAGATTTGAGGTTTTGAAGATTTTTATTCCAAGATTTTTAATCACAAAATATTTTGCGGTGATGCTTGGTCGTTTGGACGTTCCCGTCCTCGGCCTGAAAGATCGAAGACGGATCATGTAGTGTAACTGTAACGGGTGAATGAAGTTCGTAGGATCTGGGGGAGTTAAGACATGTCACTTGAAACTTACACGGCTAATAACCATACTAAAGAGGTACCTTAGGTACCTCTTGTGATTTGGGGCAGACGTACGCTGTCTATTGTCGGCGTTAGGCGCTGCTTTTCATATGTTAATATTACCTTAAGTACCTGTAGGTTAGTGAAATTCACAATCCCTTCATTGAACTTTACAACTCCTGTGAAGTTAAGAATATATAGAAAATCATAATGCATATTTGAAATTAGATGATCTAAATTACCAAAGGTAGATCATACTTCCCGGCGTAACAATCTCTACATTGAGGAGGTAAGAAGTAGTTATGCCAAGTCGATTCCTCGGTACGGTTTCCTATTCGTAGCCCTATGGCCTGGCTGAGAGCCTGCCGTTAGTGTTGCCTGTTCATCCGCAAGACCGGAGCTTCTACTAAAGGTAGGGAACTTGTTGGGGAATATGTATGTGAACTCCACAGCATCCAATGGAATGGCTTGTTGAGCCGTAAGCAATGACTTATAGTTGGTTCGTAGATCCGACTTCATAATAGGAGGTAGGTACTTAGATTATTTAATAGCTTAAAGAGTTATTTGTGCATGCAGATTAGGAGATAACTCTAAGGTACCTGGTATAGTGGCTTAAAAAGCTCCGGCGCAATTTGTATTGTACAAAGTACCTAACCTGCCATTACATAGTAGGTACCACCTAAGTGGTCTCGATGCCCTGAGGATTCGCCATGCCCTGCCAGATAGAATTGTGATTGGTCCAAATTTAAGGTCTGGCTTTTTCTATAGCATGGTTCCGTCGCGGGGTTTGCGCACAAACCGCAGATAGACAGGTATCGCAGCTACCTTTACCTAAGGTAATGTACATGCTATTCATATCATTCATATCCCGTCCCTTCCTATCTTCACTTATTGCTCTTCGATTGTCATCTTCCATCATCTACGAGTCTATGACACATACTCTCGAAATAAAACACCATATTCTCAAGAAAATACCTTGAAACATCTAGGTGGGCTACCATAAGTGAATAATATTTGTTGAATCTTCGAGTGGCAACTCCTTAACGAACCCAAGTCTTATCCATCGAATATACCCCCCTCCCTAGTGGCGGCCGTTGATAAGAACAATTCGAACCGATACAAACTCACCTACGACGCTCGAAGCGCAAAACTTTATTTTCTCATACTCTGTTCAATACAGTCAGATCAAAAGTCGAAATATAACGCTGTTGCCGATTCTCCCCTTCGTACTATTCCGCATCGAACCCCTTAGCTAGAACCTGCGCATACGTCGGCGACCTATAATCCTGAGCTCCGAGTGATAATTCTTAGCGGGATAACCCCCTTTCAACACCTTGTCAAGTCGAAGCGCTTCCGATCGCACCTTTAAATAAGCCGTGGTCCTCTGAGACTCACAGCGAGGTGCAGTTTGAAGTGCTTTGGACGACGCCTCACCATATAATATACACATGAGTCATCTACTTTGGAAATATTATTGGGAGAACGATGTCGACAAATTTTGTCGGCTGCTGGCCCCGGCCGGTTATTCCCAGAATCCATTAAAGGTTTCAGGTCCGGGAGTAAGTAGTCCTGGCCCATCTGGAAGTTCTCCTCGAGCGACTACCAAATCACGTAAAGCCTCCGGTTTTGGCGCTTCCGTAGTTACGCCCAAGAATGTCGGAAACAATCTTGGAAAGAGTGAGGTTAATAGTCGCGATCACTCCGGTTTGACCATTCTGCTCCGAGCCGCTTCTTCGACTTCGTCGAATGCCATCACTTTCGTTAAGGCCCTCCTCGACCATCCCGCTATCGATATATACGTTCAGGACTACGAAAGTGGCTGGAATGCCCTACATAGAGCCCTATATAACGGCAATATTTCGATCGCGCGATTACTGCTTGATAAGGAACGTAAAGACTTGACGAATTCTCTTGGCGTTGCCACTACTACTAGGATTGCACAGTTGATAAAGACGAAGGACCATGAAGGAAACAGCCCTTTTGACCTTTACAATGCTAGTATCGCTTTGCGAACTTTGAAAGTTTCAGAGGAGCGCGCGAGCCTGGATGATGATGACTCAGATAGTGATGAAGGTTCGGCAGGCGAAGAAGCGAGGTAGGATAGGGACGACCTAAATTGTGTCCGAAGTTCTCGCTAATAGCTCTCATAGACATCATAGCAAATATGTTGCTTTGGGCGAAGAAGTCTTCACCTTCGGCAGCAATAATAACTTTTCCCTTGGCCTTGGCGATGAAGATGATCGACAATTTCCAGAGCGCATCTATTTGAAACGTCCCGACCGTCTAATTCAGTATTTCTATGATCAGTATCTCGAAGAAAGGAAGCGTCAGTCAAACGTGGAGGATTCAATATCTCGCGATTTGTCGCAGATCCCAATCCTGATTCAAAATCGACCTTTAATGATTCAAGATGTAGTGCTCTCTAAGCTACATAGCGCCGTACTTACGACCGATCCCATCTCCAACCTCTACATTTGCGGAATTGGGCGCGGTGGTCGCCTCGGACTTGGCGATGAGAATACCAGGTTTAACTTTATACCTGTTCAGAGTGGGTTGTCTGACAAGAAGGTGGTTCAAATATCGCTAGGCCAAAATCATTCGTTGGCTGTAACAAGCACAGGAGAACTTTGGACTTGGGGGTCGAATACTTATTCACAGCTTGGGATTCCTCTCCCTGCGCTGGCGAAACCTGACGAGGAACCAATAAGTACAACTCCTCGCCAAGTATTCGGTCCATTGAAGAAGGAGATTATACTCGGGGCTGCAGCTTCTGCTATCCATTCTGTAGCACACACAGGATCCTCTTTGTTCTGCTGGGGAAAAAATGTCGGCCAACTTGCCTTAATGGACGCGGACTCTAGATCCCTCGAGGTTCAGCCTATCCCTAGGAAAGTTGCCGCGACCCTTTTATCTAGTCACTCTTCAATAGTTATGGTCTCAGCTATCGACCGAGCAACGTCCTGTTTGTTCGAGGACCATACCGTGTGTGTCTTTACGAGTTACGGCTATAACATGATAAAATTCCCCACGTTTGATCCGTTCACAAGTTCACCTCTCCAGCGCTCAGTGCAACTCTCCACGTCATCCCGTTATGACCCTAGACGCCGTGAGATTCATCATATCACATCAGGCGGAGATACTATAGCCGCGATTACAGGCAATGGCGACCTCTTCACCATGACAATTAACCACAGATACGATGGAAACCAGTCCGCAACATCAACAACCAATCCTTCAAAGATCAAGGATGCGGTGACGACACCACAATGCATTTGGAGTTCCAAGAAGGACGGTGTCAGGTCTGTGAGTGTTGGGGAGAATGGCTCTGTTATCATCTCTACGCAGTCGGGGGCAGTCTGGCATCGCGTTAAGCGGACGAAAGCTAAAGACACTAAAGCACCCGCAACGGTGGACCCTAAAAAGCGCAAAGACTTCAAATTTCAGCGTGTACCCTACGTCACGGATATCGTTGCTGTTAGAAGCTCGGCTTTCGGTGCGTACGCTGCGGTTCGAAAGGATTGCGACGTGACGCGTGAGCAACTTGAGATCGATGAGTCTACACTATGGCAAGATATTGCTCCCCTATTCCCTCTTTCTGGATTTAAGGCTCTGAATTCCCGAACGCGAGAAAATAAGGATACCTGGAGGTTCCAGGACCCAGATGTACTGAAAGGCCGAGTAGACGCGCTGGCATACGAAGTGTTGACATCAACTGACCTTGAAGACGATCTACGAGCGCATCTTAAGAATTGGCATTTTCACAACGATAGTCTTGGCATGGTCATTCGTGCTTCTGCGTTCCCGGATCTGGCCATTCCCATACACTCTTGGCTCTTATCAGCCAGGAGTCCGTTTCTTCGAGCTGGGTTACAACAATTCAGAGAAACTGGAGTTTACGAGGTCCCAGATCTACTCAATATTAGCGAACAGGACAATGTTGTAATCGTGGAACTCACTGGCAGCGTCGACATAATTACTCTAATGAATCTGGTCGTATACTTATATCGCGACAGAGTTATCCCTGCCTGGAATTTTACAAGGCAATCCAAACCCCTAGCATATAGGTATCGCCAAATCCGCACGGAGCTGATGAAAATAGCTACTAAATTTGGCATGGTCGATTTAGAAGCTGCTGTTAGAGTCCAGAGCTCACCGCCGCGTTCAATGAACAAGGATTTCAAAAACGCAATCGAGGATGCAGCATTTTTTGAAGATGGGGATGCTCTTTTGGAACTTGATGGTGACGAGATACTAGTTCATAGCGATCTACTTTGCCAAAGATGTCCGTGGTTCCAAGGTCTTTTCAAGGGTCGTTCCCGTGGTATGTGGCTGGAAAGTCGCCGCGCAGCGCAGAAAGATTGCGATTACATTAAGATCGACTTAAAGCATATGGATCCGGAATCATTCCATTATGTTCTTCAACATTTATATGCCGATGTTGGAGAGGAGCTTTTCGACGATGTTGTCGCAGAAACTCTCGATGAATTCTCCGAACTGGTTATGGAGGTTATGGGCATTGCTAATGAACTTATGCTCGACCGTCTATCACAAATCTGTCAAAAGATCATTGGCCGTTTCGGTAAGCCATCTTTCCCTTGCTATACCACGGCAAATTATTAATATAAACAGTCAATACTCGGAACATCTCGAATCTACTGAATATCATCAGTCCGTGTTCAGTTACTGAGTTTAAAGACAAGGGGCTAGAATACATCTGCCTCCAGATGGAATCAATGCTTGAAAACCAGTAAGTGATCCTAGCAATTAAATCAATGTATCAACCCCCCTGGTGACTTGTACTCCAATATTCTACAATGTCGCTCGCTATAGAGAGGCTACATATCTTACTATACGAGTTGAAAAGCTTTGCCATTAGTTGAATAGTTCAATTTGATATCATAGATGAACTGTAAAACTAACACATAGATAGTTTACTCGATGACCTCGACGAGGATCTTCTCTTAGAGTTAGACGAAGTTGTCAGAGATAATCAACTGGCTAGATGTCCGTTTGCTCGGAGTGGAAGAGCTGATCTACTCCTTCACGAACGTAACCCTGAGCTAGCACAAGACATTGAAGAAGAAAGGCATAGGCGAGTAAAAGAAATGGCATTTAAGGTTTCACAGAAAGAAGATGAGAGGAAACTGTCAACATCGTTCAAATCTCGTGTTGGGAGCTTAGATGATTCTATGAATGTTTCACCAATGCCAGACAGAAGCAGGAAAAAGCCAAAGGCGGTCGCGAATGAGCCTTTTACTCCCGAGCTTCGACCAAAAGACTCACACGCAGATCTCATCTTTGCTATGGACGAAGAAGGATCGCCTAGTGGCACGGCTCCTGCTTCTCCAAGTCCGCAACCGTTACAACCTAGGGAGCGGGATGAATTGGATCAGCTCTCAACGCTTGCTGGTTCTTGGAGGGGTTCAAAAGGAAAGATTGTCGAAGACCAAGCTGCTCTAAAGTCTACCACACCACCTCCGATTCCAAAACCAAAGCCTGTCCCCACCACATTGCAGAATGATCCTACGAGGCGTGTGCCATCAGGAGGTAATCCATGGGGGCCATCTTCGCTACCAACTTCGCGTCTAGATCTTCGTGAAGTGTTATTAGCAGATTCTCGACCAGCCCAGTCGGCTTTGTCTGCTGAGATAGCTGCCGAGAGAAAAGAGACAAGTAGTAAAAGCGCACCACAGAAGTTATCCCAAAAGGAGAGAAAAAGACAGCTACAACAACAGCAAGCGGAGCTAGCAGCCCGACAAGAGTCTCAGCCTCAGCAATCGCAATCCCCGTGGACAAAGATTGGCGAAAAGAAGGATTCGCCTTGGCAAAAGACCCCGCTCGTCCCAAAAGCATCCTTTACAAATATTTCGGAGCATTCACCAGGATCATCCGCAGACCCACCAAAGCCAAAGCCGCTTCTTGCTGCAGAGGCATCGTCCAGCAAGTCTATACCACGGCGGACGGCATCTCCAGATACTAGATTTCCCGGTCAGAGGTCGAATAGTGGGATACAAGGGACCACGCCTGCTACTCAATCTACGTCTCAACATCTCACCCCTCATTCGAAGTCTTATATCAAACGTGCACCTAAACCGGAACAGGAGATTGGGCTTGGGCTGGCCGATATAATTGGGGAACAGCGGCGTGAGCAGGAAATTGTACGCGAAGCAGTAGCCAAGCGCAGCCTCCAGGAAATCCAACAAGAGCAGGCGTTCCAAGAATGGTGGGACCAAGAAAGCCGGCGGATGCAAGAAGAAGAAGCAAGACGAACTGCACGCGAAGAAGGCAAAGGTCGGAAAATGGAACAAAGTAGCAGTCGAAGAAGTAACCGCAATAACAAATCAAAAGGGGGTAACGGCAATCGAGCCAATGACAGTGGAGTTAGCAATAATAGCTCAATCCAGACCGCAAAGGCCGGACCCAGTTTCAGTTCCAGAGGACGAGGACGCGGACGCGGAAATAGAGGAAAGGTAGCATGACAAACAGGAACACGTCAGGTCAACCAAGGTTAAAGGCGCATCAGGGTCTATAGGCCTTATATTAGGGACACACGGAGTTTCGGCAATAAGTCGTGGCGTATATCCTAAACTGGTTTGAGCAGACGAATTGCTTTTTGTCGGAATTGTATATAAAAGGGAAACACGGATTAACGGTCGCATTGCTACACTATATCGCGAGTGTATATATATCTTTCAGTCCTGCTTATAACGATGTCCTCTCTTCGCTCTACTGCTACTTTACGAGAAAAATTTCATAGAGAGATGCTCGTTGACGTTTTATATCAAACCTAACCGAGCTTTTGGAAGTCTCGTATGTTTATGTTCGTTTTTCGTACCTACTTCCTGTGCCACGCTGTTCTTCCCGTCGGGATTAAAATAGGCCAGTATGCAAGCCCAGGATAACTTCGAGTTATAAATTCACTCGGAATACGTAATTAACCCTTAGGTGGGTTCCTTTGTAGATGTATATTGGAGGGTATCGTAAACAACGGTGATTTGTCGAAGCTTTTCGTTACTTCCATGATAATGTGAGCGAAACTGAGTGAAGGCAACTTGACTTGACAAAGGACACTTCGAATTTATTTAGCCATCTCCTTGTCTCTGAATGCAAGCCTTTGAGTGGGTTCTTAATCATAAACAATGGGATTATAATGGGATTGTGTAAAACTATGTCGTACATTATATGTGCCCCCCTTTTTTTTCTTCTTAACCTTAAGATCCGTATTTGGATCAGAACTCAGGTACTTAAAGTTTAACAGCCCTGCTCTAATATAATAAATAGGTAGATCTGTTACCAAGATACTAAACCTAAGAGAATCAGTTTGCACCATGGAGTATACGATGTCGAATCAAAGCTTGACTGCAAGCTCTTTCCAGAATTTCCCTGTCGAGGTGGTTCAACGGACCCTGTGCCATTTCAGCTGGGAGAGTCTCATAAAGTTCACGGCACTATCACCGTCATTGCTTTCCGTATTTGAGGGAGACAGAAAAAAAACATACTCCACCGCATCGCCGTGAGGGAACTAGGCATCGAGATCTTCGAAGCGGCTGTAGTTCGATACGCGTGCACGGTTCCAAGTCTCAAGGAGGCTCTAGATATTATAGTAGAATTCCCCACGGACCCCTTCAATCCCACGATCTACCTCGACGAGAAATGGACCTGCGACTTCCGGAAGTTCTGCCTGCCGTCGGAGTTCTGGACGATAGCCGTGTTCCGCGACATCATGGACTTCCACGAGCGAGTTCGAGAGCGAGTCGCGCTGTACGAAGGGTGGATACGCGAGAACGCCGGGAAGTCCGACTTCACCGCGGAATTGGCGACCCAACGCACGCCGGAAGAGGTACGGCGTGTCCCCATAGCCGTGTATGCGATGGAGATAGCCAGGCTCATGTACCCGGACAAGTACGCGGCATCCGGTGACGATGCTCTTATAGTTTGCTTCAATGGCAACTGGAGGGAATGGGTGCTTTTGGCCTATGAGGCGAGTTTCGACCCGCCTTTTATAATTGGCGGCCAGAATATGCTCAATGCTTGGTCCCTTTATATTCCCTCTGAGGTCACGGAAGGAATGCAACACTAGAATATGAGATTTAAGAGCCGGACTTGTGGCAAGCTGCTAGTAATGTTACCTTTTACTTAGTTAATTTGATTATAAATTTCAACTACCTGGCAGTCAGAAAAAGGCTTTAGGCACCTTGTATTCAACTCAATAGTGATAGGCACCGTAGTTATTATAACATACCTAGGTAGGTTAGGTACCTCCTATATAGCACGCCTGTTTTTGGGGATATGATGCTTTATGCAAGAACTGTCTGCAGTGAAACGCTAAGTCGGGAAAACTGCCAATGGTCGGTCGTATGATAGTAAGGACTGTATGACTGCAGCAGAGTTTCCGTGAAAACAAAGCACCTCTCGGAAAAGGTACCTTACCTTACCTAACCTATGGAGATGAGCTATTCCCATCCTCTAGCCCACGAGTATTAGTCGTGTGGTGGGCGAGTTATAATAATTGCTCTCGAGGAGTTCTTTTTACCTCAGCGCACTATGCGCCGTATAATTCAGTTTAGTTCAGTTCAAATGACGTTGATGATGAAATTGTCGGGCTCTACTGGCCAGATTATAAGTTGCATTAATCGAGGTACTTTGATGGACTTTAGTTACCTCTCCAGGGTTAATATCCATTTGCATAACCACATGTTTTGTTTTCTCATACACAGCGGTGTGACAGAGCTTTGAGCGAACCATCCAATAAAGTCCCCAATGAACCCTTATTATATAAAACTGCCCCTGACTATAGAATTAAATTGAGAAGCTTATGCAGGGCTATGCAATAGTTTAACCTTAGGTTAGGTACGTATTGTACAAGTAGGACTTAGTTTAGGTAGAGGTACCTTTTAGCAAGTTAATATGCTATAGACGTAGGTATCTATAACAAACAAATTTTTTTTTTCAAACATTTTATTACAATTGGGTGTAACTTCCTGATGCAATAGCCTACCTTGTGACCCGTCTATTCCGATTATCGAAGTTGATCAGCTCAACGCTACGGCTTCACCGTTGGGAAGGGAAGAAAAAAAAAGGAGACACCTGTATCATCATAGAATTCATTGCCCACCTCTGCCACTTCTGTAGCGCAACAAGTCCGGCTCTAGTGCAACATCTGGAGCATTCCTCAGCCACGATTTCATCTAGTCCAGTCGTTCGGGAATGCCAAGACCGCACAGCCACAAGACCGACTACGTTAGGTTAGGTATTCACTGGACTATCCGGACTACTAGCCGTTGCAGCTTTGTGCCGACTATCCGTTTTAATATCCACCACTGGCACCACTGGGCACCACTGGTTCGAAAATATGCCGTTAGTACCGGTTAGTACCGACACGTGCGCAGGTGCGGTGAATTGTAGAATTAGGAGGTACATATCTTAATTCTCTCTGGTCAGAGGCTGTGTTGTATGCCCACGTCACACAACGTGGCATAGCCGAATCACCTAGAACGTAGAGGTACATACGAGTAATAGGTGTATCCTTATTAGTAACAGGTAGGTAGGTACATATATCTATCCCGTATCCCTCCTGTCGTCTTTCTTGCCGTCTCTCCTATTATTCCTTCAACTCTTTACACCCTATAAACGAACAGCCAACCAATCCGGTTTGTAAAACTTACATTTCTATCATCACATTTCCATTTCCTCTGAAGAAACAAAGCTACCTACCAGGTAGTTACAGTAACTAGGTACCTAAGGTTTATTTATCAACTCATACTCGGCATACCAACATGGATCCTCGTTACGGCAACCAAGGTTACGGTGGTGACCGGCCCCAGGGTGAAGCCTCCTCTTACTATGGTGGTCAACCCAACTCTCAATATCCCCCTTACTCTGGCAGTCCAGAGGGACAACAAGGATACGGGCACCCACCATACGGACAACAAGGACACGAACAGCAGGGCTATGGACAGCAAGGATATGGGCAACCAAGTTATGGTCAACAAGGTTACGGACAGCAAGGGTACGGTGAACGACAGGGTGGAGGACCTTATCAGTCTGGCCCCCCAAATGCTGGCCCGGGAGAAGATGGTGAGCGTGGTCTGATGGGAGGCCTTGCTGGTGCCGCCGCTGGAGCTTACGGTGGACACAAAATGGGCCATGGAGTCATCGGAGCTATCGGAGGTGCTATTGTAGGCCACAAGCTGCAGGATTTCGTTCACGATCGCAAGGAAAAGAAAGAGGAAGAAAAGCTACACCAACAGTATTCCTCACCGCCGCCTGGCTATTCCGATTCTCACCATCACAGTGGGCGCCACTCCCCAAGTCGTGACAGGTCCATCGGAAGCTACGCCGGCAACTTTTCCTCCTCGTCGCGCGATATCCACCTCGAAGGAGATTACGATCTTCGCGCGACCTGCGAGCGCCGCGAAGGCGGGAGCCACGTGAGCACCCTGAATCTGAACGAAATCCTCAGTAACGAGGATGGTCACTTCAGGTGGGTAAGCGGAGGATCGGGTGCCAGCACCGTCACAGTTCAGCAGGGGGACACCCTGAGAGATATCGCCCGGCGGCACAACTGCAGCTTTGATGAGATCGCCAGGAGAAATAACCTTGCCAACCCAGACATGATCTACCCGGGACAAATCCTCCAAGTGCCTGGTGGATCGACCGGAAACTTCAGCTCTTCTGCTCGAGACATTCGTCTAGTCGACGGCGGACGGGTACTAGAGGCGGAGCTGCGTAATACCAGAGGCGAGTGGCATCGCAGCCGCATCAATTTGGACGAGCGCATTGGAAATTCGGATGGACATTTGCGCCTGGTTTAAAAGACTGGACTATGGGATGACATCAAATTAGGTACCTCTAGCCTAAACTTTGGGGGATTATAATTAAGGAATTTTAGTATGTTGTTCTTTATGAGAATGAAACTCCTCAGTCAGTTAGCGAATTTTTACTACCATGAACATCATTATTGGCCGATTATAAGTGGTGTTTTTGTATGTTGTGCATGATTTCATTGGGAACCCCTCTTCAGCTGTAGGGGCTTTTACTGGGTGCCCCCGAACAGCCACCCCCTTTTTGAGAATCCATCTTATATCAGTGATCACAGTTATACACTAGTTGGCAAATAAAATATTTAAAAATCCACATCTTGTAGTTGAATACTTAGGTAGTTAAGTAGTAGTAGTTAGTCTTGATAACCCGCTATGATTTAAGAGGGAGTTATTCTTGAATGAAGTTCCGCCAAGACTAACATAGGTTAGGTACATACATCACAGGTCCAATAAAAGGCAAAGTCAACAAATAAACCAAACCAATAGGTGACCATACCCGAAGATGATCAACCGAGTAAGCACTTATAATAACAAGCCTCTTATTACCAAAGGGGTTGTAAATAAGTTCTATCTGCTTTAAGCAACTCTTACGGCAAACCCCGCAACCAACATCTCATTTCTCACCAACCAGGTAATTCCAATATGCCTTCGGTAACGCAGCCCATCCCGTACATCCACCTCCTCTGCATGCATGAATCGGCCTCGGACGCATTCGTACGCGCGGCGGCAGAGCAGGGCCTCGAGCCGCCCTTACTCAACTTCACCATCCACAACACGTACCTCGCGGACCTGGCGCCCTCGGTGACCTTCGACCTGGTGGTGTCGCCCGCGAACTCGTACGGGATCCTGGACGGCGGGTTCGACGACGCCATCTCGCGCGCCTTCAGCCCGCGGGGGGACTATGACGCCCTCACGCGCGTCGCCCAGCGCGAGCTGTACCGCCTGCACGGCGGTTACCTGCCCCCCGGCTCGTGCTGCCTCGTCCGCATCCCCGAGCCGTTCCGCGGGACCTTGCGGTACCACGACGGCCGCGGCTGGGGCTGCAGATTCCTCGCGCTGTGCCCGACCATGCGCGTGCCCGCGCCGTGCGATTGGGACCGGGACGTCGTGTACGAGTGCGTGTGGAGCCTGCTGAATGCGATCGAGCGGCATAACAGGGGAGTCGAAGCGGAAGCAGAAGAAGAAGAAGAAGAAGGGGGAGAAGGAGCTAGTAGTGGCTCTGGTTCGACGAAGATAGGATCTATCCTGATGACGCCGTTGGGCACGGGGACCGGGAAGATTTCCGACGACAAGTGGGCGAAGCAGGCGGTCCTGGCTATTAAACATTTTATCGATGCCAAGCAGCATCCCGAGACGTGGTCGGCTATGAGTTGGAAGGAGACGGGTAAGATCGATATAGAGTTGATGAAGACGCAGAGCCCGAGTGAATTGGCAAGGTACTTTCAACGCTAGGTTAAGTCGTTATGCAGCTTTTACATATCAAGTAAAATATATCCGGCAAATATAAAGAATTCACTTATTATCGAAGACCTCGCTGGAAGAAGTATAATTGCTAAGTTAGGTTTGGTAGGTATCTATTGCTCTACATAATATTCGTGGTTTGTTGAAACTTTGCTGCTTGATGGTTGACCTTGTCATAGACTCGTTCAAGTTATTTCGATAACCGCCAGCGCAGTTTATAACTCCCGCTCAGATAGCTTTAACCTGCCCTTGGAACCTGGGAATTTGTTTCGTGAATTTTGCAGGGTCATCTCTGGCACCCTCTTTCCAGTATTCGTACTCGATCCACTGCGACGCCAGAGGTTAATACTTTACTTAACTTTATAGGATGCTTTCGACTTGGGGTTTTGAATACGGGTTTGAACGTAACATCCCCCAGAGATTAGGGGCGGGGAGGCTTGGTGTTGTTCAATGTGACTTACCGCGTTCTCGGGCATCTGCTCCTCCATAGCGGCCATCCAATTTCCCAGGTCCGGGGAGAGCGGTATTACGCCCGTCTCCAACACATACTGATCCCAAAGCTTCACTAACTCCTTAAGCCTCTCGGGCTCTTGCTCCGCTAGATCGTGCACTTCGCCGGGGTCCTTCGCGAGGTTGTAGAGTTGCCATCGCTCGGGGCCCTTGGGCTTGGGAATGAAGACGATCTTCCAGTCGCCCTTGCGGCATGCCGCTCGTCCGCACGTCTCCCATCCATTGATAAATTCTTTCTCATGGATGCTTTCCGCCTTCTTTTCCAGGTACGGGACCATCGACTTGCCTCGCATGGAGACGACTTCTCGGCCTTGGTAGGTCGGCGCCGGGTGCTTGACGCCAGCCATCTCGAGGATCGTTGGGGCAAGATCCATTACGGTCGCGAACTGGTGCGTTATGCTTCCCGGTTCGAATTGCCCATTGAAACTCGCTGGGGGCTTCATCATATACGGAACCCGGACGCCGCCTTCGGTTGTGTATGCCTTGTATAGTCTACTTGGTGCCGTGGCAGCCTGTGCCCATCTCGGCCCGTACCATATAAATGAATCGCTGTTTCCGAGGTTGTCGATGTGGTTGTTGTAGTATTTCTTCAGGTGCTGAAGCATGGTGCTTTGGACTATGGGGTAAGCTTCGTAGGCGGCGCCCTCGGCACCATTGTCGGAGAGGAAGCACACGAAAGTGTTATTCAGCTCGCCGATTTCCTCAAGATAATCAACAACCTTCCCGACGTTGGCGTCGATACACTCTACCATACCGGCGAAAGACTCCATTGCGCGGCACGAGTTCGCTCGCTCTTCGTCGCTCATGTCTTTCCACTGTTTAACTTCATCGGCTACAACTGGGTGCGGCTCGACGTCTTGAGGGACCATACCGAGATCTTTGAGGCGTTGGAGACGCTTCAGACGGAGAGCATCGGGGCCGTCGTCATACACCCCGCGGTACTTCTTGATGTATTCCTGAGGAGCCTGGAGAGGCCAGTGAGGGGCAGTGAATGGGAGATAGGCGAAGAACGGTCGCTCATCCTTGTTTTTCTTCCAATCTTTTAAGTATTGTATCATCTTGTCGCCGTATCCATTTGAAGAATACCACCCCTCAGGTAGTTTCTTAACATACTCGCCGTCTTCGCTGTGGAGGGCGATGAAGCTCATTGTCATGAACTCTGGTATTTGATCCATGCTCTCTAACTGGGGCTCGTATCCATAATGATTACTACACGCCGGTAGATGTGCAAAGCTCCTCTCAAAACCTCGAGCTTTCGGGCTTCGTTCCGGCGTTAAGCCTAGATGCCATTTCCCTGACATGAGAGTCAGGTAACCCGCGTCACGGAGTAGCTCAGGTAGCGCAACCACCCGTTCGTTGAGGTATCCCTCGTACCCGGGCATGCCACGCTGGACTGCCGTCGACATTGTTCCATTAGGGTCGTTCTGGCCGGATATATTAGTCCATTCGACTAGATTTCCGAGCCCGGCGATGTGGTGATCCGTGCCGGTCATTATCATGGCTCGGGATGGCGAGCACGCTGCCGCCGCGTGGAAATCCGTAAATCGGATCCCATTCTTAGCGATATTATCGATGTTGGGCGTGTTTATTTCGCCGCCGAATGACCCAACATCTGAAAAGCCCAGATCATCGGCCAAAGCGATAAGAAAGTTGGGCCTTTTTCCTGGAGCCATAATAATTGAGTTGTGTATAGATATTTCTATAATGTTACGCTCTAAGTACTGAATACCTTAGATAGCCTTTCATGGCCCCTTATTTCTCTGGAACCTCACAACAGAAAAGAAAAGAAATTCCAAAACAAAGTCGAGGTATATTAGTAGCTATATAAACCATCCTACGAAGTCATAAAGGCGTCTGTCCTTTTTTCCGATGGCGTCGCTTCTCACAGCGATGTCGCAGTTCACTATCAACGTCTAAACGTGAAAGGGGGTTACATGCAAAACCCATACTTTCTCACATAGCTGATGATAATGAGCTGACAGGGAATACTGGTCTCCGAGATGCTCGGTCGCTGGGCCTATATCAATTCTTATTGGCTGTCGCCTATAGAATTCCGCTTAGGGACGGAAATAGACGCGGTCCTAGATTCTAGTCCAAGGACCCCTATGGCTCCCCCGCAAATATCAAGACAAGGGACTTCTTGGAAGCTCGGCTGTCGGTCGCCCAAGTCTCTGAATGGATGCAAGAACCCCTGTATAGTAACACTTGGCTGGTCGATCGCAACTGACGCTCCAACCTACTAATCACGTCATCGCCGTAACTTGTCGATGTTCGAATTTCTCGTAGCTATAATGAGCAGTGACAATCCAGCTTTACTAACCGAGGCAGCCTGGCCTTATTTTCGAAGGGAATTGGAGTTATAAGGTTAGGAAACCCCCAGAATGTCATGGACGAAATACAGCCCTTGCTTCAAAGACCTAGCGAAGACGAGCTGGTACTACCTACCAGGACGAATATGGCAGGTACCACGTTAGGCAAGATCAGGGCCTATTGGCTGGGTTCCGTAGTTTGCATGGGTGGATTTCTGTTTGGATATGATAGTGGAATGTAAGTGCAGTAAGCTAATATAAATTTCGTCGTAGATAGACTAACATCAATTATAGTGTTGGTAAGCAATACTATGCTGTTAGAAAAACTAGTGAGGCGATAAAAAAATGTTAACCTTTTAAATTACTCTAGGCGGTGTCTTGACTATGGCTTCTTTTCAGTCCGACTACCGGTACGGAAGCGCTGACAAGACGCACACGAACTCGCTTTCAGTGGGACTTCAACAACTAGGCGGCTTCCTCGCTTGCTTCCTTGCTTGGCCTCTGACTGACAGACTTGGACGGAGGAAATCACTGATGATATCTTCGTTTATATTCTGCATTGGTGCTACTGTCCAAACTATCAATACTCACTCGCTCGCCGCATTCTACGTTGCAAGAGTGGTCGCCGGCATTGGACTTGGCGCAGCGACAGTAGTGGTGCCAATGTTCAATAGCGAAATGATGCCAAAAGAGATGCGCGGCCAGGTTGGGTCGTTCTTCCAATGGTTCTACACTTTTGTAAGTATCGACACACGTTGCGAGGCACACCAATCTAATATCTATAGGGGATATTCGTATCATACTGGGTAGATTACGGTGTAGCCAGGGGCATCTCATCAACCAGTTCCTCCCAATGGCAAATTCCAGTTGGGCTTCAGCTTGTGCCCGCTGCTCTCCTCGGCTTGGGGATGCTGACAGTTCCCGAAAGTGCACGATGGCTTATGAAGAAGGGCAGACATGAAGAGGCTTGGAAAAGTCTCCAGTGGATCCGGGCTGATAATTCTCAAGCGACCACCGACGAGATGGAAGAGATACGCTCTGGCGTCATAGCAGAAACTGCTGCCACTGAGGGTTTCCAAATACGAGGTAAGTAATTCTACTCTGTGCTCCGGCCCACGTTGAGTAGTCCAGCAAATTCTCACATACCTGCTCGTAACGCAGAACTCCTAGAAAAAGAAAGCTTCAAACGAGTATTTGCCGCTTTTGCTATATTTACAGCGCAGCAAGCTACTGGGGCAACGGCCTTTGCTTACTTCGGGCCCCAATATTTCAATCTTATCGTAGTTAACGAAGAGCAAAGTCTCCTATTAACTGCTATATTCGGCGCGGTGAAAGTGGTAGCCTGCGGAATCTTCGTTATGTTCTTTTCGGAGCGCCTTTCGCGGCGCCAGGTCTTAATTGGCGGTGCTGCTTTTATGGCCGCTTGTCAAATCACTACGGCCGCCGTGGTAGAGTCCTTCCCAGCTCCGAAAGAAGGGGGAAATGCGGCCGCCCCATCCGGTATTGCTACCGTCGCTCTCATTTACTTATTTGTTATCGCGTATAACTTCAGCTGGGGCCCAATGCCTTGGCCATATGTATCCGAGTAAGCGCATACCTGCTTGGCCTTTAGTAGCCCCTTATTCAAAGCGATTAGAGTTTGGCTGATATCACAAAGGATTTTCCCCGCAAGGATTCGAGAGCCTGGCGTTGCCGTCGGTGTTGCGTCACAGTGGCTATTCAACTTCGTCTTCTCATTGACAACTCCGTACATGATTTCGTCTCTAGGCTGGGGGACTTTCTTACTATGGGGTAACTCAATAAATTCCGCGATGCATACTAGATGCTGACTGTTTCGTAGGAATTTTTGACGTAGTTATCGCAGTTCTTGCTTTCGCGTTCCTTGAAGAGACTAGGGGGTTATCACTTGAGGCTATTGCACAGCAACGATTCCAAGTGAATAGTTCACTAGATAAGAGGGTAGATAAGAGCAAAGATGTGTATCGAGGTAGGTAGAAGATCATGAGGGCTAGCACCCTCCTTCGAGATGTTATAGGAGAGGTCCCTCGTAAAGCGGACCTAACTGTATTAAATCCCAGGTTCTGCCAAGAATCCAAGCAGATGGTATTCAAAGCTAGTCGTTAAAGTGGTATTTCGGTTTATTACTTACCGAATATTGTTTGACTCCAAGGTCTGTGATTTATCCATTGTATTAATAAGACATATAGGTATATTTCTTGGCTAGAAGGTATTTAGGGGGTATTCTTGGCATTTATACCACTAGCAATGGCTACAAGGGAGACACGCCAGCGTACTTCTCGAAATGCCGATATGTTCCGTAGGGGAAATTCAGAAACTAGGCAAGAGTAATATTACCATAGGTATGTATTCGCCGTGAAGTTATCAAAAGTCATATTGACGAAACTGAATATAAGCATCCACCGAACCTAAGAACGGCCAAAGTGCCGGAACGGGTTCCTAAAGCAATGCTGAACACCGAATGCTATAACATATGACACATTACATATCGCTGTGGTTTCATTCTATTAGCCAGGTAGGCAGAGTAATGACGGTGTTAGTGATACCTGACATGCTTAGCATGTTTAGAGGCCCATACTACTGAAGCAACTAAATATTTACGATGAATTGCCTGATGTTGTTCTAAAAGAAGAGTCCTTTCAACTTACTTCCTTAGTTACTTGTACAAAGTACTTCATGCAAGGTTAGTAGCGCCTATATCAGCCTTATGCAGCATAAGCTTTAGCGCTACTGCACGGTAAACCCTTTTGCATTAGTGCAGTCTAGGCTAAATTTAGGAGGTACCTAGGTACATGAACTAAACAACCTTCATTCAGAGCTTTAATCATATTATGACAATTCTCCGGACATTTAGCACCTTTAATATGACCCTGGTTTTCGAAGTAACAATCATTCATAAAAAATTATAAATCTGTTGAGCTGCGGAGAGGTTCTTACCAACCTTACATGATCACTAATGAGCTGAGAGTCGAAATGATTATCCTAACTTTAGTAACTTAGATGTTCTTATTAAATCTCAATATCATATATGACCAAGAACACTTGATATACTGCTTAATACATGATAGAATGTATCTTTAACACGGACGTGTCTCTATCACAATTGGGAATTGAGACGATTTATAACAATAAGCCCCGTTTATTGCCGTAACGCTTTCCTCCACTGTGATTGTGGCCTTGTCTAGTCCAAAAGTCTGAACGACTGCCAAGATAAGATTTAACAAAGCTGTCAGAGAAATTAATCAAGATAAACGATCTTGTTATTGACACATGTATATAACCTACCCTGGGTCAATGGGGAATGCTGGAAGCCACGGCTCTTCACTATGGATGGCCTTTGTGGCAGCATACAAGGCGTTCTGCAATGTGAGCATGTTCCTATACACAAGGTAATTATCCTATACACAAGGTAATTAGATCAGTTAGGATACCGAGATAAGGATCCTAGGGGTTCACTAAGTTTAAATCTTAACTTTCGACCAACTTATGAATGAAGATTAGCATTAACTCCTGGCATTGTTGTAGGCTTTTGTGTACCTAGTATTACGTAATCTTGGTAGGTACTTAGGTACCTAGGTATGTTTGCCCCCACTGTGATTACCTAACCTAACCTAACCTAATCGCCATCGAACGTCTTTCTCCACTAAAGGTTGTTTGAGTCCAGACCATTTCATAATCCAAACTCAAGAAATCAATCACCATATTTTAAACTCTACCCAAGCAAGGTCGCCGTTATTTCTTATCCCTCTTTATCTAATATTCGAGGCTTACAGGCCCATACTTTCGCGGAATTCCAATACCCTTCTTATTGCCTTTCGCTTTTAGACTTTTCAAGACCATACTGTTATAATGGGCGATATCGCAAGCCTCGAGGAAGACATCAAGCAATACCAAGAGCAGGTGAGTTGGACTCAGGTGAACCATCGCTTATTCCACGCGCAGAGATTACTGACCAAGATACCTACAGCTCGATGTCGTTAACGCCGGCCTTAAAGACGATTCTAGTAACGCAGAGCTTCTTGCTCTCAAGTCTGAGTTAGATGATGCGCTTGCGCTATTGTACGAAACCCTTGCTGAACTAAAGCCGACCAAGGCACCTCCGCAGCCGAAAGATCCATCCCCACCACCACCAACCCAGGAGAAATGGTCGCGAGAGAATCATCCCGCATTCAAGAAGAATGTCCCTGCCGAAGATAAGGAAGGCGACACGGTTCCGGTGAACTACAAGGTCAATGACACTGTCATGGCTAAATGGGTATCTGGTGATAAATCATTTTACCCCGCGCGCATCACATCCATCACCGGTTCCTCTACCGCCCCGATCTACGTTGTCAAGTTCAAGAGTTACGATACCACCGAGCAATTACGCGCGAAGGATATCCGCCCTATCGCGCAGAAGAGGAAGGCTGATGGCACCCCCGTCAACAGCGCCAGCCCGTTTCCGGCCCCATCCCAACCCGCAGCACCTTCAACCTCATCATCTAACCCCGGAGTTATTTCTGCCGCCGCCAGCATAAATCCCGAGCTCGCACAGAAAAATCGCGAAGAGGCGTTAAAGAATGCCGGTGACGTAAAGCCCAAGGCTAAGAAGATCAAGGCAACGAAAGAACTCGAGGCTGGCAAGAGCAAGTGGCAAGAGTTCAACACCAAGTCGAAATTCGCTAAATCCCACAAGGCCAAGAAGGACAGTATGTTCCGTACACCTGAGGGTGTGAACGGCCGAGGTCAGCCATCCAATTGTATTCGCGTTATTAGACTAGCAACTAACCCCCTTTGCAGTTGGCTTTACTGGCTCAGGCCAGGCTATGCGGAAAGATCCCACAAGGAGCCGCCACATTTACCAAACCAATGAGGAATTGGACTAATATCAGTTGCAGGTGGCCCTTACTGCGTGGGTGATTGCATGGTTCACGTCTCCTCTAGGAGAAAAAGAAAAGGCGGAATTTGGGAATGGAGGTTTTATAGGCTTTGATCCCCTTTGTCCCTAATTAGGTTCTACGGATGCTAACATAGCCCCCCGGACTTAGACGCTCTCTTTAGCGCATCGGCTCTTGTAACCGCGCTCCTGAGCATGAATATAAACGGATTTCTAGAACGGAGAGTTTCTCTTGCTTCATAATGACCCTAGCATTATCTTTGGGCTGATTTGCTAAAGTTTCGTAGTCACAGGAACCCGATCGCCTAACTTCCCGCCACTTGATGCGTTTGACATCATACGTGTAGATATGTGTCATTCAGTATCAAGTTAGTTACAATGTAGGCGGGAGATAGATTGTATTACTTTGGGCTAACTGGAGAAGTGTTGTCTTAACCCGCTTTTTAGTATGTGGCATGGTGTCTTAACTGCCTAGGTAACTACCTACCTAACCTAATGTTCTGATATTATAAGTTCACCTTTGATGCCACGAGCTTAGCAATATTCATGAAGACACGTGCTCTCTCACTTTCAGGTTCCGAGACCACGGTTGGCTTCCCCCTTTGACCGTCGTCACCAACGTTCTGATGTAATGGAATATCACCGAGTAGGTCAATGGAATGTTCCGTGCAGACCTCCTTAACCCGTTGGCTGGATCCGAAAATTGTCGTATCGTGGTGGCAATGTGGGCAGTTGAAGAGTGACATGTTTTGTACCAAGCCAAGCAAAGGGACATTTACCTTTTTAAACATGTTAATTCCCTTAACCGCATCCTTTACCGCAAGGGTATGCGGCGTAGTCACGATAATAGAACCTAAGTACGGGGTTACTACAATTTGCGCTCCCCAGAGTTAAAGATGGATTGTGTATACACTAACCATCAAGTATGATTTGCTGCGTGATGCTGAGCTGCGTATCTCCCGTACCAGGTGGTAGGTCAAGTACTAGGATGTCGAGACCGCCCCAGTCGACCTCGTGGAGAAGTTGTTGGAGGGCCTTCATAACCATGAGGCCACGCCATACGACAGGCGCATCCTCGCCAACTAAATAACCCATAGACATAGTTTTGACGCCGTAGTTGGACATGGGCAAGAACTGGTTATCTAAATTCTAGATGTCAGAGTTTCGTTGAAACGTGATGAGTTCAGGGGATAAGAAATGCGTACTAGCCGATAGTCGCGGCTCTCCGCTCAAGTCAAAGAGTGTGGGTATGGACGGCCCAAAGATATCAGTGTCGAGGATCCCAGAGCGGTAGCCCATCCTTGCGAAAGCTAGCGATAGGTTCGCTTCAAGAGTTAATTAGCAAATGCTAAGCTTAACCAACAGAATATCAAAAGACTTACCAGCAACGGTGCTTTTACCTACGCCACCTTTCGCAGATGATACAGCGACCACCTTTGCGACATCCTTGATCTTGCGCCGCTCCGGGAGCCCGCGTTGCATGCGCGGGATGGAGCCGGTTCGGGGTAGGCCCTGAGAAAGTAGTTAATTACCTCTTATTTCCCCAAGATACAAAAATGGACGTTGCCACTTACAAGTGGATTCTCATGACTGAGATTACGGATGGTCTGGTGAAAAAGACGGCGTTGAATAGTTGCCATTATATATAATACAAGCTGGGATTTTATATGCTTGTATAAGTGCTGGACCAGGTGGTTCAAATGAGAAAACAAACACACATCTTATTAGAAAGAGGTACGTTTACAATTATCTTAATGATGTAACTATGTGCTCACTAAAGAGCAAAAACAAGTCTCACTGCAAAAGCTGAGGCTTGCATTGAAATTTGCAATTTTCTCTTATTATGCTATTGGTTTTTCAAAAATCAATTAATTCTATGAGATTATTTCCAATTGACTTTAAAGCTAGAGTGCCCGACTTTTGAATTGATTACCTAACTCCCTTAGGTACATAGGTAGGTACCTATCCCATAGAAAGTTAGGAGGTACGTAGGTACCTAAGGTACCTATTTGACAGGATCTTGGTTGACTTTCAGGGGTCCTCTCCAACTTTTTTTCACGCGCTAAACCGCTAAATGGATACTGCCGGTTCCCACCGCCAAAATTTTTCAGAACTTTCTTGTCGCATCGTGGGGCCGGCGTATGAAATGAACGCCTTTTCTTTTACTCACTATTAGACAATTTTATTTATTGTTGACAAGACGACTATGTCCAAAACGAAAGGTCGCGCACGGCAGTTTGCCGAATGGGTAGATCAGCCAGTTAAGGGTATGGCGAATTTCAATTTTATTTAATATGCATAAAAGCTAACGCTCGCTGCTTCGTACAAGATTTCGATCCTGAGGCAGAAATCCTAGACGAGGACGACGCCAGTGGAAGCGAGGAAAGCATCGATGAAAATGCAGGCACAGAACATTATGTCTCTGTAGGGTAAGATGCATTATAACCAAATTTAATTTCAATTGGTACGAACTAACACGTTTGGCAGCAAGAGCAAGCTTCGTCGCAGAGACCCTGTCGCATTAGGGCCTCAGTACCGAGGCGCTCCCGTGAGCCGAGAAGCTCTCGAAGATGAAGATGAAGACGAAGGTCAAGACGATGACGACGAAAGTGGAGAGGATGAAGAAGGCGATGAAGATGACGACTTAGAAGGGTTTGATGACCCCGATACCGCTGACCTCGAACGTGACCAAGACGACGAGGACGATGCAGAGATTGACAGCGAAAACGCCTTCGACGAAAGCGACGAGCAAAAATTCAAAGACTTTGTATTCAGAGGAAGCTCCCAGACCATTCCCCACAAAGGAAAGAGAGTCGCAAGACCTACCGCTGCTGATTACATGGTATCTGACGAGGAAGATGACGAAAGCGACGGGGCGGAACTTAACGGTGAGGTCTCTGAAGATATGGAAGATGAGGATGATACCTCTGGTGAAGAAGGGGTCGATGGATTCATAGACGACGAGGCGGAAGAATCTGAGGACGAAAATGAAGACAGCATGGATGAGGACGAGGACGAGGACGAAGAAATGGGGGATAGCGACGAAGAGTTAGATGAGAAGGAAGAAGAGGACGACGACGACGACGACGACGATGGTACTAAAGGGACATCGCAGATCAACGAGGCGAACCGTTCCGCGATCCAAGAAATGATGAATGCTGGCCAGCGCACTGTGGCTAGTACTTTATCAACGGCAGCCCAGAAAGACGTTGCTAAAGGGAAGGCAGTTCGGCAACAGCGAAAAGCATTTGATGCGCTGCTTAACATCCGCATACGACTGCAAAAATCACTTGTCGCAGTAAACTCATTCAGTACTCTTGAGGAGCTCGGAGATCAATCAGAACCCTACGAAGCAGCTGAAGCGGCTGCGCTCAAGCTTTGGAATACTATTGATGGTTTCCGCACGAGTATTCAGTCTGACTCGTCGGGAAAGACTGGCCAAAAGAGGAAACGAGCCGCGGATGCAGATACGTCCAGCCAGGATATATGGGAAAATATGAAGGTTATTGAACAGCGCGCAATTGTTCGCCGCAGGGCCGTTCTGGAGAAATGGTCGCATAGCGCCCGAAACATAAGAATGGTGGATAGGTCGTCGCGTAAATTTACCAGTATAACAGAAAAGTCCCTGACTACGAGGTTGGATGAAGAGCTTGATGCACCCGAACGGCTTATCAAACGGACACGGACACCGCGATCATGCGCTCCGGCACAAGTCGCAAAGAAGATCAACGAAGACCCGACCATCTACGATGATGCTGATTTCTACCAGCTGCTATTAAAGGAGCTCGTCGACCAGCGCACTGGAGATGCGTCCGGCGCCCCGGGCGGCCCCACAGCAACGATCCGGTTCGCCGCCGTCAAGGAAGCAAAAGCAAAGCGACATGTGGATACCAAAGCTAGCAAGGGCCGAAAGATGCGCTTTAACATTCATGACAAGCTGCAGAATTTCATGGCGCCGGAGGATCGCCGGAGCTGGGAGCAGAGCGCCATCGACCGCTTCTTTGGAACTCTATTCGGCCAGAAACTTGTACTGAACGAGGACGAGGAAGACGATAAGGAGGCGTCTGACGAGGAAATGGGCGGTGCGCCGATTAACGACGGAAGCATTCGATTATTCAGAGACTGACTTAAACAATCACCCTAATATCTCAACTGTCCAATGATTCCAGAAGACAGAATGTTTATTGAAATAAGTATCATCGCGTAATTTCCCAAAGAGAAAGGATTTTCAGAAGTTCGTATTGCGTTCCTTAGAGTAACCCGACTTTGCGCCGAGATCGACATCCAACCTCGTATTCTAACACGAATGCTGGGCGAACTAGGGTACTAACAAAAACCATAGGCATCATTTTCTATTCTTAAGAACTACTTTTCCGATGCCCCTTCACTTTTCTATATCTCTTCTTTTTCTTCAAAGTTTCCTATTGTCTCTACACTAGTAGTTTCCTTACGCAGCACCAACAGTTTCGTTTCGAGGCCTAAGACAAATACTTCTAACCTTTGACTACGATGATATCTATTATCACCACGACCACTATGTTACATCTAAGAAATCTCGGCATGACGGACTACCTAAGTGCACGACTTGCCGACATGATTCCAAGAGAAAAATAGCGCAGATCAACGTACGAATAACAACCATGTTGGAGACGGTGATATCTTGCAACTGGATTCCAATTATGATTCGCTGTTGCTTCTCTTAGGCTATATTTTTCTAAGTAATCGCTGCTGATATGTTAGCGATGTATTATTCAAGACGCGCTATGGAAGACTATCTAGACTACAGTCTCAGAATCACATGGGACTCAATGGTGAGGTATCGTTACTATTACCTTGGGTACCTAGGTGTTCTAAGAGTTTCTACAAGCACTGACAGGTTTAAAACAGCTAGTTATCTTTGCCCACTGGTTGCGGAAAAGCGTCGATTAGGCTAAGGAGGCCTAAAAAAGGAAATGTCGGATGGATCGTTACACTATCGACTACGTAAAGCCTAATCGCAACGTCGGCCTTTATTGCCTAACTCACCGTTGTTCCCATGACATGATGAAGGCCGACGAATATCATGGATGCCCATGCTTGCTTTAGTCACTCCAATGAGGCGCCGGTGATTACTTCTTATGCCAGGGTTCTTCGTGGGAGACATGTGCAGAGCATGGTGTCATTAACTATCTGGTCTACTACATGCAGCAGTATTGGATATATATAATGCATATACAACACTATATTTGGTTGAAACAGCCAGTCTACTCCATGGAAGCCAAGGCTCCAGGAGACAAGCTAACAAGGTCCTTTTCTAAGCTGTACAATGCTTAGCAATGTAATTACTAACGGAGATAGGGGCGAGCAACACATAAGGACAAGCTTCACTTGTGCAGAACCGGAGATTACTCGCCGCGCGGCCCCGCGACGGGTATATTTCGAGCTAGAGTGTTTTGCAGAAGATGGATTCAAATACCGACAACCGCTGATAACACTGGATACGTTACGTGGGTTTAGTTATCTGGATAACCTGTGCCCTATAACCTGGTTCAAGCGTGCAGCTGTCACCCGCATGTCGGCCTCCTGTATGACCAGCATATACCTGTAATGAATGAGTTGGAGTTAAGTCGTGGCCCGAATCAGCAGCTTTTCTGGGGAGCATCGAATTGGCCGTCACCAGAATCTAGTGGAATTCCTGTAAGCGGTTTACATCATTTTATCAAGTCCCTGGCCGGCGCTTCCTCGGCCTTGACGAACTGCCCGTTTCGGATTAAAATAAAAGTCAGGTACCCAAGATTAAAAATATCCGCCATCTTGGGCTTTGTACATGTTCTCCAATCACATCGCGTCCATCTTATTCGCAGGAAAATATTTCATCTGAAGTCAGGATCCCCTGTCGAATTAAAGCACGCGGTCCGGCGCAGGTACAAGATCAAGCATTATTCCAATCAGCTGCTGCGGTGAAAATCCAAGACATGTTAAAAAATTGACCCACACACCATCTGGATCCTACCGCATGTGAATTCAACCACGGGGGCTTGGAGCAGATAGATTCTCCGGTCGGGATAAGCCATAGGATAGGATGGTGAGGTTTTGTTTTGTTTATACCAAACAAAATAGCCTTACATCCGTCATCTGCCTATTTCCTCCTTCATCTCGATACTCATATACTGTATAGTCGAGGCTGACACGTTAGTTGATGACTAGGTCTTGGGCAAGGTCTTGGCTAGGATGATAATATGTCCCGCCTCCAAATGTTCGACTTCTTTAGCATGCGGGGCATCTGTCTGGGGATCTGCCACCAATACCGATCTGGTGTACCATCTGCGATTTGGGGCCTTGCGCCGCGATCATATCGGACTTTTTAACCTTCATTGGAATGCTGTTATAATTGACACATGCTGGCGCCCAATCACGTCCATCCGCGTTACCGAGCAGCTCTTGTGTAGCCATGTCCAGTCGAATATCTGCCCAATCCTATACCCTCATACCCCTTAATCACCCCCCCATGAACCGCAACGGTCACGTCGGCCTACCACGAAGCCACGCGCCTCAACTTTAAACTTTCTCAGGTTAGGTACTCGCTTATAGACCACTACTTGCCGACGACTGTTTCTGCTTTTTCCTAGAATCGCAAAGTAGGGCCTGGGGTCCGGGAATGCAACTCGAGCGTGTAACTTGACTGCTCCTGGACTATTCTATTATGCCTTCCCGACCCCGTCTACGCAGTCTCAGTTCTAACATAGCCGTTATTCGTCCTAAATCCATACTTGTGGTCTAGACGCGTGTATAGCTCTTTGCCTCCTATCTGTGCTCTGGTGATGATACATGGGCGCTCGAGACCCTGGTCACCTTCCTCTTCCAAGCTCACGGGAGCTTTAGTTCTTCAAGCAGGTTGGCGCTAGATTTCTCATTCTTGGAGACGGCTTGTTCGATTTCCTTTCGATTAGCTTCTTACCCTACCTAGGTACCCTGCTCCAAAGTACTACTCTCTAGGTATAGACTATAATACTGTCTATCACCATGTATATATAGTTAGAAGATCCACCTCCATCTAGTGATGTAGGACGATCGCCGTCTTAATTAGGGCATAACACAATCCACACAGCTGGTCTATGACTTACACTCCTTATTACCCAATTCAGTTCTACAAGTGTACATATTCTTACAACCCTGATACGTCTATCATCTCCATATAAGTCGATCCTTACCTCATCAACAACAACAAGATGTTCACCAAGATACTTGCTTCTGTACTAGCCCTAGCAGCAACGGTGTCGGCCGAGGGCGCACCGGCCTACGGGGGCTTCAGGACCGTCTGGGTAGACACCTTCGACGGGCCGGCAGGTTCTGCGGTCAACAGCAACAACTGGAACGTCATAACAGGCCTCAAGGTCAACAACGAGTGGCAGGACTACACCACCTCCTCGCAGAACCTCCAGATCAGCGGCGGCGCCACGGTGCAGATCGTGCCCCAGAAGGACAGCAGCGGCAAGTGGACGTCGGCGCGCATCGAGTCCAAGTACAAGTTCACGCCGCCGGCGGGCACGCAGACGATGGTGGAGGCGAAGCTGCGGTTCGGCGACAACAGCATCGCGAACAAGCAGGGGCTCTGGCCGGCGTTCTGGCTGCTGGGCGACTCGATCCACAACGGGGTGGGATGGCCGACGTGCGGCGAGCTCGACGCCATGGAGACCGTCAACGGGCAGCTGACGGGCTACGGCACGGTGCACTGCGACGTGTACCCGGGCGGCGTCTGCAACGAGTCCAACGGCATCGGCGGCACCGTCAGCATCCCCGACCAGAGCTGGCACAACTGGCGCATCGTCTGGGACCGCCGCGCGAGCACCTGGACCGGCGAGACTATCACCTGGTACATGGACGGCAAGCAGTTCCACCAGATCTCCGGCGCGCGCATCAACAACCAGAACGTCTGGAACTCGCTTGCCAACTCGCCCTTCTTCTTCATTCTTAATGTGGCCGTTGGTGGTGACTGGGTAAGTTTATCCACCTCTAATTTTTTTTCTCTCTCTCTTTTTCTTTCTTTCCTTTTTCTACGTTTCCAGAAACCTTGAGATCACCTTGCTAACAGAGCATGTCGTTACAGCCCGGCGCACCGAACAGTGCTACTCTGGGCGGATGGGGCAGCATGATGGAGGTCGCGTACGTCGCGCACTACATCGCAAACTAAGAAATCCATTATACATAACTACTATCTCCATTAGAATTTAAAGGTGGAGAGGGGACGAGGCTGGAGGGGAGAGGGGGAGGAGAGGAGAGGAGGAATATTCTTGCATTCTTTGTCCTTCGCTGCTGCACATATTTTTTTGACGCTTTTTGCATACCTTTCATCGGTACCTTGCATACATTCGCTTCTTGTATATACTTGCGGAGGATTTGTATATAGTTACTTACCTCTTCACATACTTTCATATTGGGTATTCTTACCTAGGTACCTACCAATTAACCAAACCATTGCAATTATAAGCTGGGTACCTCCTATCTTTGACACTGCCGCATGTTGATGATTTACTTTCTCTTAGAAGTCATAGCCAAGGCAATAAAGACTTTGTAAAAATTGTCGAATTTTTACTGTTAAATTTGCCAAAAATAGCATCTTCTGCAGTAACAAGTCCTAGTTACATGCGCCCCATCAAATTAGCTCGTGGGAAACCTTATAATGATCCCCCGGATTCTTACCCCACTGTAGTTTACCTAAGGTGCCTGCACTAGCTGCACTATAGGAGGTAATTCATCCCCATTCATTTTTCTTAGGTTCGCCGTTAATTTTTCCCGTTCGAAGCCCATAACAAGATTATTTATAGTAATTAGGATGCTTTTTGGTGAGCAGCATCCTTTCGCCATTCCATCGTCCCTAGGTCGCCTAGATGTTGATGTAAGCCATCCAACCTCGGTGGGTAATGGAGAAACAGCTTCGTTTTATCGTAGTGTTGAGTGAAGTCCCTCATCTGGAAGTGCCAATTCTTCTGGTTAACAAGTTATTCCATGGTAGGCAGTCGGGCCAAATTAGGCAAAAACCTTGCGTATTATTCATAATCCCGTGATATCGATAGTTTGACAACAGGCTGTACGTCCGTAGTTGTTGAGTGAAGTTGAAAATTTTGAAGTTTCACTCACTCGCTTTGACTTGTATTGGCATGCAGCAATATAAGCTCAGCCTCCAATCACCTCGACCCTTGATATACCCTCCGGTCTCGTTGATTATAGAAGGGATGTCCTAAACAAAATCGACCGTTCCTTTTTATCCATTTCTCATTTCCATACCTACGATCGAAAGACCCGTGCCGAGATTTCGTCATCAAGCAGGTTCTTGCGATCCCGGCACGTTTGCTTTACATTGGATAGTGATGGCGGTTAATCGTGCCGGCTAATGACCTCGCGTTCCCCCGCTGATGCTTAAGATAGCTGACTTGTCGTCGTGGGAGCTAGTCCCTTTATGCAGCTTATAGAGCCGCACTTTAGATAAAGGGTAGCCATTCTCTTGGCCATTAACTTTGTCTATCCAACCTGCCTATCTGAGGCGGTCCCGTGAGCCACTTCTTGAATCTTGTTGGGATTCTATACGTTGGGCTATAAATATCCCGGTTGCGTTCTATAGTGCTATAATAAACTTATCTTGCCGTGTGCCGATTAGGGGGGGGGGCGTATGTTGAAGCAGAGGACAATACAAGTACCTGATTTCAGCATCTACTACATGGTATAAAGAGGCGGCGTAGACGTGTTGCTCGTGTTTAAACCGTATATCCCTGTAAACATCTGAAGATATATCCCTACTGTTGCGAGTATGAGCCGCAAGATCATCCCAGCGCTAGCTTTTGCCTTGTGTGTCGCTGCTTCCACCGACGCGTCTCCCGGCGACCCCGATTTCTACAACACGGTCGCCGACATATACTCGGGGCCGGATTGCGGCGAAGAAAGCTTTGTTTGGACTGACCCTATATTCGGGCGCGGCGGGAACTGTCAACCCCTCGATAGACATGGGAATACCCCTGATATCCTCAGCTACAAGCCTACGGATATCTATCCCGATTGTATAGGTATGTCGAGAAGTCTCCCGATACTGTCTTATTATGAAGTTGCTAAGGCATTCCAACAAAAAAAAGTCACGTTATACACGGATACCGAATGCAAAAGTACACCGTACCCGGCGGAGGTGAACCAATGCGTTCAAGCGGGTATTCCCTTCGTCAGCGCCTTCGTTCAGTGTCCTTTCTCCGACAGCCCGTGACATACGAAGGCTTCGGACTACTAACCTGGATTTATGACTGAAGTGTATTGTCGTGGATCTCGCGGGGTACGGCGTGGATAGCCGGAAATAAGGAGGTACCTAGGGATGGAATATTATCGTAATTCCGATATAGAACTACAGATAATGCATAGAGTGATAATTCCTGTGTAAATCTACCTGATATACATTCGGCCATCGAATAGTATAGAACCCATGCCTGAGGTTTCTGTACCTGGTTTGCGATGTGTGGGGATAGGAAGAATAAAAGTTGATAAAAACTGCACAAGGTGGTAGGTAACTAACGGGTAACTAATGTTTTATTACCTTAGGTACCTTTGAACCACTGAAGTTGGTCTTAGCTTGTCTAAACCAAGCAGATAAAGTAAGTGCAGCCCGAAACAATCCCAGGTGACTGTGCTACACAGATGCACCATGCCCCCACAACACAAACGCTCTCGCAGATAACTTTACAGGTGCCCCTCTCTCAATGACGTTATGACTTCGTTTGTTGCTGCAGGTACAGCTCTGGGAAGCTATGGTGTAATTAAATCGCCATAGCCTCCCACATTCTTCCTCGGATTCCCATCTTACCATTTTCACATTTTCATCTTCTCTAACTAACTACTTCTAACTTGTACCGAATTGCAACAATAACATCAACATCAGCATCAGCAGTCATCATGTCGATTCCAACCTCCACATCCGTTGTTGAGTCCGCCGTTATTCAGGCGCCACTTAGTCACGTCTGGCATCATATCAAGCGTTAGTTCAATCCTCTACCTAGCGTTACCTCAGGTACCTAAGGTAATCAAGAGATATCTAATCAAATACCCCTTTTTAGTCCAGAATTTCAGCAACTTCTGGTCCGCTCTCAAGTCTAGCCAGTATGTCAAGGGCACTAGCGATGAGGCCGATGTTGTGAAGTGGACTTTCAAAGATGGCAATGAGCTTGAAGTGAAGCAGGAGGAGCACAGCGTATGTTTCTCTTCATCCCGTTTATGATTATCTACGTGTACCGTTACTGATGATCAACTATATTCAAAGACTATCAACCACTACATCACCTACAGCGTCATCACTGCCAAACCCGAGCTTACCTACTCTTCGGTTCTCTCTACCATCCGTTGCTACCCCGTCACCTCGGGCGAATTTGAGGGAAGCACCTTTGTCGAGTGGACCGGAAACTTCTCCAGCGATGCCGACGCAGGTGTTATTCAGGATGCGAAGTTCAAGCGTCGCGAGGCTCTAGCCGACTTAGCTAAAGCTGCAAAGAGCAAATAGATTCGTGGTATTCCAAGTAGCAGACTTAGGTACCTACCCTCTTCAGAAGGGATAGATGGAAGTACCAAGAGTGACGTCGTTGCGTCGCTATTAATGTAGCATAAGTGTTCATGGCAGAAAAAGGTGTGATATGCAGCAAAACATTGGTAGCAGTAATTGAAGACAATGAAGACTAACGACAAACAACTCGTAACAATTCTTTTGAATACGAGTTTCCTTCGCCCCATTTCCATCATGCCACAATTCCACGGATCCAAAATCTAGAACAATGGGCGCTCTTAGTATCTATAGGTAGCCACTGGGTATCACGCTGAGTTGGGAATCTTTTTTTTTCTTTTGCCGAACGGCAACTTTCCATCGACTTTTGGTTTTGCTACGTGGCAAAGACGTAAGGGCTGAAACTACCATACCGAAAAACCAGATAGTCTGCTATGGGTTTTCACGTAGACGCTTTCATCGCAATGGCGAGTAAGGCGTCGCAAGAGAATGTGAGGCCAAACCGGGCAAGGTTCCCCGAATGTACCTGATATACGCTCTATGCAGACAAACAAGATGACCATACCCTACAAGAAAATCCCCGTGGATAACGAGATAGTCTCTACGAGTTTGGCTTCAAGACCTCCACGTAGGTACCTTAGGTATGTGCCTAAGGTACACAATTCTACAATGTCTTTGTATGAAACACTGAGAGTTCGCCAGTGTTCCCCTAGAATGATATCAATTTATTTATCAAGCCCATATTCGTAAACTACGACGACGTTCACTTACAATAAAAGTCAAACGTCGTTCATAAAGTAGTATAACAGGTCACTTGGCCTCACCCATCTTCTATTCTTCAATAATTTCCAGTAATTTCTTTGGAGACCTTTCTAACTACCTAACCTAAGGCAGCGAGCATAATACTTCTGAAACCATCAGTTGTTCACTATGGCAACCCCTCAAACCTCGGGGAATGTCGATCGACCAATATTCACTAAACAAGCCTTCCTCGATCTAGAAGTGGAATTAGAAAGAGCCGGTCCACATATCCAATACACGGGCCGCAACGGGTCGAGATTTAAAAAAGTGAACCCTCTACCCGGTCAGGGTTTTGTCGAGGCACCACCTAACTCTATGGTAATACGAAATTTTATAGAGTTTAAAGGTGAGAGAACACTCAAATTCGCTAAATCAAAGGGGTGGGACCAATGGTTTACGCCCGTGATAGTCTCAACGAGACCAATTCATGGGCCCAACATTACCGCTTCTACGGCGATGACGCACATGAAGAATGAAATACGAGATTGGGAGTCGAATGAAATATGTCGAAGTCTATCTAATACATTGAAGGCAATATTGCCATCTACTATCAACAAGATCATCGCGTTTGGCCTAGGAGCAATTGGTAATCTGGATTTGAGCAGCCCATTCAGAATATATGATATTCAAAGCTATAGGGAGCATGCATACGTGCTAACCATAGCCAGGGCCTTGAACGAAATAAAGGGTGCAAATGAGGATGAAGTGGCCATCTATCTTCAAGATCCTACTTATACAACTGTATGCAGAGAGGTTCTGACTGGTACTTTCGGCTTCAATATCATCAATGGATACGGTGCTCGGGGCTTCGCAATGGTTGATGAAAATACCCTTATGCTAGGCCACCATCCTAATTTTCCCCTTCGGGAGATTATCGCAGATATCGCCCGGCCAGCCGCTATGTGTGTGCCTTTCTTTGACAAGGAGAGCTTTGATAAACTCCCCACGCGGAATAAAGTGATTCTTGCTGACATCCCATCGGCCCGCGTCCACGCAATGCTACAAGAGTACGAAGAGGAATCTATTCCAGGCTCATACCCTAAGAGTAGTCTTCCTGACCTCGCTGAGTGGAGACACGAGTGGATGGAGGAGCCATTCCATGATAGTAAGTGGTATGTGCGAAAATCAACCGGATCCTTTCGCTAACTAGATGCCCAAAAACCCCTACAAACAAGGATAGCGAAAGAGGAGCCAGAAATGAATAACGATCCAAGGCCCTCTAAAGCAACGTTATGTTTGGATTGAATGCCTAACTTAACCTACCTACCTAGGTAAGGTAACTAATTGGCCTTATGGTGAGCTTTTAGTTATAGATTAAGATAAATCGATGCAAGCTTTATATAGACACTTTCGTAATACCCTGCCAGCCACACCAAGAGCTGACAGCTATAAACATTATTAACCTATCTCCTACCTCAGGCATTATAATGTCAAAATAAGTTACTCTCAGGGGTATGTAAATAGGGGTTTGGAAGCGAAGGGGGGGGATCTTTCAAAGGGGCCCTCAAGTCAGTAGTTGCCTCACAAATTAGCCTCCATACTCCTAAACTAATAGGGATTTTTATTATAACTCCCACTTGTTTTAATGGACTAGTGATTTCCAATATCATAATTCTTTACTCCGCACGAAGGCACAGCTCATGCAACCCCCCACTTAGACTAGGACGGTATGTGGATTGTGCACATAGAAAAGATGCCAACATTCGTAGATATTCCTTTGAATTAGACCCTTTCTACATCCAGAAGACAGCTTATGCCAAAATGAGGAGTGAAAAGTTTCATGGCGCCGGGGTAAGTCAGTATGTCCTCAATGACCAACAGTACATGTCCCATTTAAATCAACAAATCAAAGCCTCAAAAAGCCTCAGGAGATGCCATGTTGAGAATAGCACAACGGAGCCGACCAATTGAATTTGGAAATTCACGTACTGTAGCAAGTTTGTATTGGAAGAGAGAGCATTGCGGAGTATAGATTACCTGTACCAGGTATATATGATAGAACAAGTAACTAATACATTGAAACATTTCTATCTCCTGAGTACCTAATTCATATAAGTCTTCCATAAATTTTCATGCGCATATTGCTTTCGGTGCACGGTAACTAAATTCATGATACTAAAAGTCTATAAGGAATACGCTAAATATAAGACAAAAGACGGTATAATATCCACCCGAATATTATCGCAATGCTTGTGTTCATCGTTGCCATCATCATGGCGTCTTACCCCGAGCTCCCTCCCTTCTAGTAACACGATTGGCGTCTAGAATAAAGAGGGCGAAGAGAATCAGCTTTGTAATGTCATCCAAGCGGAGCCCAATATAGAACCCGTAAAAATTCCTGAGGATAAAAGAGGCAAATGTTGATAGAAATACGCAGCACCAAAAGAAGAGGCGACCGTACGTACGATACGATATTCTTATGGTTACCTCCCGGTCCAATCTTGTCCTGGGGTAATGCGAGAACAAGAATTTGATGAAAACTATAACTTTTAAAGAGAAAGTAGCAAGCTTCCGGGTACAGTCGGCTCGATGTGCCACCGAAAGAAGCAATAGAAGCGCCGAGAAACCCAAGGTTTTCATTCGCGGCGCATGTATATATGGATTCCAATAGGTTATGGGAAGGCGGTCGATAAGGTCACATAACATGTCGACTGCTACTACAATGGAAGACAGCAGCCAGACAAAGGTAAATTTGAGAATGCTAGCGCCGCTGGAGTATACGAACCACGCCACGAAAAGTACCTGGATGGCATTCCATGCTCGGTTAGCCATACTTAAGAATGACCTATCTCTAAAAAGATTTGACGGATCAATAGCGAATACATCCATGGTCAATAGCTATAGAAGCGAATTATAACCTGAGCAGGTAGGTAAGTTGACAAAACTGATGTGTGCTTCATTGTGTAGTAGGATATCTCCCTACTTACTTTATCTTTAAACGCACAATGCACAAGTGCAGTCTGTCCAGTAACAGCTAATACATAAACGTTCCAGATATTGAATCATAAAGAACTTTGTTTCTATAAGAGGACCTATGTGCAGGTATCTATTACATAGATTGTGAACAATGAGTGACCAGTCCATTGGACCACCACAAACCATTTCGACTGAAGAGTATCTGAACATTGAGCTCTCCAAAATGAATTCGGCATTTCTCAGCTAACTTGAATATATGAGAAAAGATTTTAGATTGGGGTTTTTAAGTTAACTTCTAACTTCAAGCAGGTAGGAATTTGCTAGATGCCTAGTATCATATAATACCCTCTTTCATCAAAAGACAGAAGAAAACTTAAAAGTGCTGCTGATTCGTTTCTAGATCGCAAGAGCGCTTGGAACTAAGATTATCATAATTACAGCCAACCATCTTTCCGCGGAGGAGGTATTACAAGATCATATTTGGAATGCCTTGAAAGATCTCTCCGACTTCGGGTCCCAAAAGGACCCAATTATCAGCATCGCCTATTCGTTTACATGCGACAGTACTATTGTCAACAAATGGCAGATGGCATGGGACATCGTACAATCGATCGGCAGATCCAACTTCGGACTTTGTCTGAACACTTTACATATAGCTACTAGTTTTGATTATGATAGGAAACACAGATACGCGACCAACCTCGTCCATATAATGAAAACAATACCAATCGACAGACTATCGCATATCCAAGTTTCCGGTGTTACTCCACTAACAGACCCGATAGCAGGGAACCATCCTTGGTATCATCCTCGTGAGACTACTTGGTTGAGTTGGCCAAAAAAAGGGGGGCAAACGCTTCCCATTCAAGAATAACAAGTCGAGCCAAATTACCATGGTGAAAGTAGCAAGGTACGTGATCCGCGGTCTTCGTTACAAAGGCCGTGTGACGTTGGAAAGATCGACTACAGTTGGGGAAAAGGGGTCGAACGAGCAGGCATTTCAGGCCAAGTTTATGTGGTAGATTCCGTAACTCTCACCAGTAACCCCTTGTCCATAAGTAAACCATGGGAAAGGGTAGACATAGGGGCCTGAGGGTCCAGAAGTTGGAAGTCAAAATACCGAAGCAACTGGGCATGTTAAGTGTAAGAAACAAACATCGTTATGATGCTAAAGTCGTTAGTAGAAAGATTATTTACCTCAAAGTAAATTTTGTTCAGCTCCATCAACGCGATGAGCTTTCCCGAACATATCCATCGCCCATAGCCGAACATTAACTCAACATGTCGCTTCATCTCGGCTCGAGTGCCTTGGTCAGCTTCCAGGTACCTTTCAGGGCGGAAGAAGTCGGCATCTTCGCCAAATACCTCCTTTGAGCGTAGAAGCATCAAGAAGTTCGTGCCGATAGATGTCCCTCCGGGGATAAATTTGCCGTCGATAATGTCGCCGCCGCGGGGCACTTCTTTCGCCAACATACTGGATGTGACAGGACGGATCCGTAGGCCCTCGTAAATGACTGCCTATAAATGTAGTTTTGATTTGTTAACTTCTGCGCTTGACGTGACTCCAATCATCAGGATTCAGGGGTAGAACCTCTTGCTTACTTGAAGATACGGCAATCCTCTAGCTTCCGAATATGTGATCGGACTGGAGACTTTGCCTCCCTGCACAGCTGACGAGATTTCGTCCTTCAATTTCCGATATACCTGTGGTGCTGATAATAAGTAGAGCAGAGTACCCCTGATTCCAGCGGCAGTTGTATCGGAGCCAGCTGCAAACATGAAAAGTGTCTCCACTTCGCATTGTGACTGCGGAAGGCCATTACGAACGAACGACCCCTGTTACATTACCTGTCATCAATGATACAACGTCGCCACTCGATAACGGGTGATGTGTCAGGTATAACTGCTTACCAGTAATGTCTTCTCCTCTCTATCAGCCCCTGGTATGAATAACTTTCGTACGGCCTTGTTCACTAAACTGTAGTTCACTGATTAGTACACGTCGCGCGACAGATTTAGGGGGAAAAGGGGCAGATTTTGGAGTCTGTGTTACTCACCCCATAACCTTCCCTATCCCTTTGGGGTCTGTTTCCTTTGGGCCAAAAAGCTTCAAGCCAAGTGTAGAGTACACTATATCTCTCGCCCACGGCACGTCGGCCGTGAAGGCCATCTGAGGTATATGTTTACTCACAGTGCCATAGAACTCATGGCAATCGGAGTCGCTTTCAAGGGAGCCAAATGCATTCCCAAGTGCGATCTTGGAGACAACGTCTACAGTAAAAAAGGATACGGCTTCGGCCAAATTTAAGGGACGAAACTCGCCTTTGTCGGAGTGCCCTATGTACTTCTCGCGAATCAACCCGATCAAACTCTTTACTTGGGCATCGACATCCGCCTCGGCGCCAGGGTTGTCACGTCCACTATAGCCGGGTGTCATTCGAGCTTTGATCTTATCATGGGCTGCTGGGTCCAGCGTGATAAACATAGTAGGGTAGTACGGGTTGAAGCGACTGCCAGAATACCAATCCGACTTCCAATACTTGCTCTTCGCGCTAGACATACGCTTCACGACCTCCGGATCATCTGTCAGGAGCTCGTTGGGACCAATCCGAACAAGAGAACCGTATTTCTTGGTGGCTGACCCAATAGCCTCGAGCTGTGTGCCGTTCAAGACTTGGCGGCCAAGCCATATGTATGATAATGATGCTAGGAAAGGACCAGGGACATGATGGAGACGATACCATAAGTAGGCGGTTGACAGGACATAATAACCGGTAGCTAAGATGGCCAGAATAGCTCCGAGTCCAACTGAGTCCAGAATATTGGCTAGAAAAGGCATGATACCAAGTAAAGGAAACTATTTCAGTTTAATCTGGGCTGTCGATTAACAGGTGGCATGAGAAGGGGAAATTGTAGACGGAATGAGTGTCATCTTTTTCTCCACGACATGCGCCTCTTATACACCCTAACGCGTGTATAAGAGGAATAGGACTGATAACAGGGGAGCTATAATCACGACACCATCTTTTACCTTGTATAGAGCAATGCGCATTCGCCCTCGTTACACAGCTCTCATAGGAAGAGATCCAAAGACAGTTGATTGGTGTATCATGACAGCCACCAAACGCATATAAGACTTTAGGTACCTTTGCTTCAACGCCGGTCATACATACGAAACCAAGATCTTAACTGCGGGGAAGCTCTATGGTGGTTGCATATGAATCGTCATGACGTTAGGTACCTGCCTTAGGTAGTCATGCCAAAAGATCTCGATAGATCGCAGTACCTTACAATCATACCTGATACGTAGGTAGGCAATACCTGCTTCCTATCCATATCCTTTACGCCGCGTCATCTAAGCGAATCTAGGCTGGTCCGAGACGCAGCCAAGGTTGGTATGTTAGGGACGTTCGAGTAGATAACCTGCGACTGACCTTCGGACTTCCGCGACAAGTTGTTCTATCAGATCAGGAAATCACGACATTGTCGGTACTTTGACACTCAACCAGAACTTCACGAAGGAAAACCATAAAATTAAGAGTTTAAGTTTATCGTAGATATGATTAAGTTGATCTAATCTTCCGCATGGAAAATCCTGTTATATACCTTTATTTACCTACTATATACAAGATATTCTTTTACAAGGAACTCAATTCTGTCAATTCTCTATATTCTACAGTTAAAAGATTGATCTGACTATTTTTATTGGTGAAGATATCACAGAGTGACGAGTCTTATGAGTGTTGACAATAAGTCCTAATAGATAGGGGTATAACGGGTCTTGACGCAACGTTTGATACTTCCATAACGACAGCTCAGTTGCTTTATTCTTTCTGTTTTTTCTCTAAATCATAACAATGCAACTGCTTTATCCTTTAGATTTACTTAGTCGAGATCTGTATTATATGTTCCTTCCTCACCTTCGAACGGATATTAGTCTACTTTAGGTAGGTATTCAACTTTATGTTACCTCTGCGTACTTTCCTTTCGTCCATCATCACCATTTTCCGATGCTCTACCCAAGTTCCTATCAGTAGCCTCTTCATCTGAAAGTCCATCTTATTTTCTGCAGACAAGTTTAGTTACGCGACCTCGCCTCCAATTACTATTAACCGACAATAAAGGGGCACGCATTCAAATATAGCGGACTACTACTTAATCCATCATTTTCTCTCTACCTGGTTCACTCTCGTTTCTTCTCCCTAGGCTCCTTTGGATATCCGCCTAAGGACTTTAGCACAAAGCAACTTCCACGATGGATACCCCCTATCAAGAATTACATGATCTTTACGTTACCAGGCCAACTCCTTTAGATTCGGTCGAGGAGTTGTTTAGGGATCTGGGGAATCCACTGGACAACGATAAGAATTATCTTTACTCGATCGATAAGCTCGACGTCAAGTACAGATGGGTTCTGCAGGAATTTCTTATAAAGGCTGCTTCTTCTCCCCCGGATCATCCATATCTCCAAGCGATCAAAAACGCTGCAAATCAGGTCCTAGAGTATACCCTCCGCCTACATAATGCTTTCGTTGAACGCCTAGCCCATATATCGCTATGCTATGAAAGGGATCCCCGAAGACCTTACGAATATCATTTCTTTTGGACTTGCAAATGGGTCTACCAGGGCAGGAGAATTGAGAAGCTAATGTCACCTGGTAAGAGGGCCCACCGGAGTGAAGACGAAATCACCGGCGGGAGCAATAACGAAAGGGACAACAATATGAATGCCGAAACAAGGATCGTCGATGAAAAGAATGGCAAAGGTGGAGACCACGACGGTCCGGACAACCAGAATAAGGATGATAACTCTGCAGACAGCAACGACACAACTCCAACTTCCAACCCCAACAAGCCTCCCACGTTACCAACAGGGCAATGCGCCAGATGTGGCGCTTCAGAAGCATCACTCATTTGTACTGACTGTATGTTCCCATGGGAGTCTCAACCTGTCATCAAGACATTCTAGTGTAACCCCACATGTCAGGCAGTAGACTTGCCAGTCCACACACCGCTGTGCCTTCGTCGTGTGCAGCTTTCGAAGGTTTCGCTGGTCCTGTGCAAATTCATGTCTGTCGTGGAGTCTCTAGCAACTACCTTTGTCGTCAATTCATCCTGGGAAGAGAGTGACATGATTATGTTAAAAGAACGTATTCCATATCTAGAGGCTATGTGTGGAAAATACATCATGCATAGGTTTCCTAATAGCCTCCCATCTCAATCAATAGGGTCGGGAACAGTCTTTGAAGACCAGTATGCTCGGGAGGTGATATACCTAGTTCGCCCTCTGAAAGAGTTTATCTTAGACGGTAAGTCAAACCAGTCTCTTTCAGGTTACTCACCGACTTATCGTACCAACAACTCTCAGAGCTATGTCAAGACTTTAAGATAGTCACAGTTCTCGTCAAGAATGCCAGCAGCTCGGTCTGTTACCAATACGATCATAGCATAAGGAAGTCCAACATGATGGATCCTCATTATGTTCTTCGACTGACACTGCTAGGCGGAGAGAAGTTCGCTCTTGATCTCGCGGCAAAGCGTTTCGGGTGGGGAAATTATCTTATGCCCTGGGACGTTTTCGAGAACGAGCGAATCTGGAAAATTGTCGATACAACTCGTACGGCCCCAACTGACTTCAGAGACCCCTCCGTCCCCGCCGCATACTCGGTCAGCATCCACAAGGAAATGTTAGGCGACCTAATCGACGAAACACAAATATACATGGGCATAGCCACCAGCGGAGAGTCTTTCTTAGATGTACTGACAAGAATCAGTAAGGTAGAGTACAGGATCTGGGAAGCGGGTTACATCGAAGCTTTGATGAAGTACTGCGTGGAAGTGGCCGAATTGCGCCTCGCCGAGTGTCGTGGCTACATGTACCTCAACCCGGATTGCGGCTTGCAAATCACAACTCATAGAAAAGACCATGTGGCCTTGGCAGATGTCTGGCTGTCGGAGGAAGAAGCCGCAGACCTCAAGGACGAGCGGGAAGAGGCGCTGAATGCAATATGGAGGGACCGTATCAACCTATGCCGTGTGAATTTCAAGTGCGCTCCGCTGTGGACTGGAGAGTGAATAAGGGTTAGGCATGGTCGCATGGTCTAAGACCTAAGAACTAGCAGATGAACCCTACCGGAGACAGTGGGACTGCAACACAAATGTATCTTAATGCGGAGTCTCTACCTTTTTTTTTCTTCTTCCGGGACGTGATATGTATTTTGCAAGGAGATATCGAATGTCTGAATACTCAATGGAGTCGAAGGTACACGTATAGCTCTAGATACGTGATTACAGTCTTCAACCCCTAATGATTTACATTCTTCCGTGCTCCAGGAGATGGAACCTATGTTGTTATTTCATTATTCATCTGCGTCTCTCTACGATAAAGCGAGTCAAGAGATGTATTACAGTGGACAAGGAAACGTCAATAGATAAGTAAAATTCCGATGAGATGCATATAGCTAAGGCACTGCGATGGTGAGTCTTGAGCGAGAGCGCGTCATATAGTTGGTATCACATTAGTAGAGCAGTTCGGATGAAATTCCAAACAAAAAATATATAGTCAATTCGTTAACTTCGGTTTATAATCAATTCAAAGTAGTAAACCATCAATATCCAGTAAAAATAGGTCGAATCCAAGAAGACGAAAGAGGTGGTATCTCCCATAAGGGGTACTTAGAGAGATGCCAGGATGGAGCACGAAAGCTGCTCCTATAATTGAAAGAACGCCAACCACAGGAAAACAACCAGCTCCATAACATATAGGTTGTCGACATAGACAGGAGGTACCTAAATAAGAGAACCAGTAGAAGGGTCATTCTGATACGGGTTCCATAGAAACCTCGGGTCAATCAAGCCGTCATCAGTAGGTTGATTTCCAACGCTAGAATTTTCCAAATTAGAGAATTGAGAGCCCACCGAAGTAAAAAAAGAGAAATCATCTGAAGCCCGGCCTTGCGCTTGTATCCACGCCTCATGGCCAGCTAGTTGATTTTGTAATGCCTGGCTTGCTTGCTGCGACTCTCGCATCTGTTGCGATAGCACCTGCATCTGTTGCTGAATCCCTTGTAGAGGCTGGAGGGACTGCTGGAAGAACTGCTGAAGCTGTGCTGATATCTGTTGCTGCTGTGGTACTTCTTGTTGCTGTTGATGTATCGCCTGGGGTTGTTGCGGTGCTTCTTGTACTCTATGTTCTGCATGCTCTTCCACGTCTACGAACGCCGATTAGTTTGAATAACCGAACATCGATGGTAACTTGTAACTTACATGGGGAAATCTGACGAAGCTCCTCTTTAGTAACCTCTGGAAAGAGGAGCTTGTAGATTTTATGCCACCTGTCCCGTTCCGACATATACTGCAAGCCCTCCCGGTTTCGTAACAACCCGAGCTTTTTTCTATTTGCTATAAGAACGGGTACATGTTCCGGAGGAGACGGAGGCGCGCAGGAATTCGTCCGAACATGGACTTCGTATCGGTCGTCCTGTTCGAAGGTTATTCCGCAGCGTCGGCATTGGTATTTATCATGAGCTCGGTATATGTGCTCTCTATCAAACTATAAGAATAATGTTTAATCCATAGGACTGGAACTTGACGCACTTAACTCGTGACGTGTTGGGAAAACCATCACGACCGCCGCATTGAAGAGACGAATGGGGAAACTTCTTGAGAAACGGGCAGGCAAAATTCGGACCGTCGCCTTTCGAATTAGCGGGTTCCTTGCTGCCGCTAGGCGTGCGCTCGTCATCGTCGCCATTGTCGCCATCTGAATTATTCTTCCTTCTTTTCTTCGACTGTCTCGCATTTGAAGAAGTCCCGGCCTTTACTTGACGACTGGCTGGTTGAGCACTATACCCCCCACTCTGACTTGAACCAGATGTGCGTTGAGGACATGTACGATTGGTTGTGGCTGAATAGGTATTCAGCTGACGAAAGAGAGGACGTTTAGCGCCAAGGGCAGCCAACCGAACCCCGTGGGAATATTCTTTATTGACAGCCCGCTCAACATCGCTGCATCTTGGGCCGAGATTTTTGCCAGGGATTTTGGTTAGCCGCTCTGAAATTGACTCTGTCTCAAGATAATCCACGAAAGAGCCACGACTACAATAATGTCCGAGTTCCTCTGGCGTACCAAGCATGCCCTGAGAATTGGCCATAATCTACTTTAGGTACTAAGACCCTTCTAATAGACATGGATAATCCAAGACCGCAACGAAATCCCAAAACGTAAGAGCCAGGAAGGGTCGAGGAAAAGAAGACTCAATAATTTAGTATTTAGTATATAATATACAGCTTAACCGGCGTTGTTAACCTGGAATTATTGAGGAAAGGGGGAAAAAAAAAGAACAGGAGGAGGAGTAAAGTATGATCCAGAGAATTCTGCAATTCCCTAGCTACTTCATACCTTTATAGAGCTCTTGGATATTTAATTCGCATGCGAATAACTCCAGAGCAGTAAAAACAATACGCAGCTATCTGGGCTATGTAGGTACCTGCAGTAGCGTTGGCAGCCATCCAAAATCTCTACCATTGGGCAGCAAGTCTGACTGCCACAGAGGAACTAGCATCATTGCACTGATGTCCGCTTAGGCGCATTAGATACTTCGATAGACGTTGGACAGCGGGCAAGAGATTCTAGCAGAATCTTAAGAGCAGCTGTAAACCCCATATTTAGACATCTGTATAGAGGTAATTCGCTTCTATTAACCATGGCCCTATTATTCAAGTTAGTGACCGCCTCAAATACGCGCGTTATGTTACATAGCAAAATACCTTGGTAGGGGGTGAATACATCAAGACCAGGTAATCAGAACCAGGTCCGTGGAATCTAGACCCAAGTCACCGACGCGCATTTTGACTGTCAAGGCGCGAAGAATATCCTTCGAAGCACTTTAGGTGATGCCAACATAATTCAAGCTGGTTAACCAGGCACTTCGTATACGCTGATATAGGACAAGCAGTACAATTGGGGACACCTATATAAAGACTTCCAATCTCGAGGCAACTGGAACTTTTATTAATCCCCAGGTAACTTTAACTCCGAAGTCTAATAAAAAAAATATACTTACTTTGTATAATAGTACCTAGGTACAGGTATGTTCACCGAGGCTTAGGGCTATGACCGTGTATGTCTTACATTAGGTATTTGTACTATGTAGCACATCAAAACAATATTTTCAAGTCAAGTCGTAAATCGTAGATAAAAGAATAGAAGATAGAAGACGATCAAAATGCGGAGACTAAGATAAATCGGGCTAAGATAAATCGAGGCTAGGTACTTGCGGAAGCTGGGAAGTTACTCCTTGGCTTGAGATGGGGAACTGGGGAAGCTTATAATGCATTACTACTATTGTACTATGTATGGTTACAGCGTTGCAAAAGCATGTGCCAGGTAAAAACTCTGGGGGAGGCCACTAGCTTAAAGCCTTAAGCATGTGAAGAAACATTAGGTAAAAACTCCCTTATAACAACATAGATACCTCGGGTCATTGGTAGTTGTGGGCCCTTCTGACATCAGCGTGAAAGAGTTAGCGTTATTAGCGCAGAAGTTCAGACTGCGTACCGGAACTCTACAAGCGCGACGTTAGCTACCTGCATCCGAGGTTCGAATTAACTTTCCGCTGTCATCATTATCATCATCATCATAAAACTCCGGGTTCATTCCTTCTACATTCTCGTTTTTAACTGTATATCTACCTACCTAAGGTATATACCATAGCCAACCAAGTCTTAAACAACTTAACACAAAGAAAGTAACAATGGGTGGTTAGTACATCTTCGGGTCCCAATCAAAACATATAGCTAGGTACCAGGTAGCTAACAAAACACGACAATCCCAGCCCTCGAAAGATTAACACAGATCTCCGGCCAGATCTCCAGCTCCAAGTCGGCGCGGGACAAGCTCCTCGAGAAGAACCCAGACGACGTAAGCCTCTCACACTCTCTCTCCCCAACTTCTCTATATTTCCAACAACAAAGCTAACAATTCCGGGAAACAGGTCGTAGTAACAGCATGTCTCCGAACGGCGCTCACGAGAGGCGGCAAGGGCGGGTTCAAGGACACGCAACCATCCGACCTGATGGTGGGAGCTCTGAAGGGTCTTCTGGAGCGCTCTAAGATTAACCCGGCCCTGGTAGAGGACGTGTGCGTGGGTGAGGTGCTCGCGCCGGGCGGCGGCGCTACCGAGATGCGCGCCGCAGTTCTTGTCGCCGGCCTTCCCGAGACTGCCGCCGTCCGAACCGTCAACCGCCAGTGCTCGTCGGGCTTACAGGCCTGCGTCGACGTCGCCAACCAGATCCGCGCTGGCATGATCGAGGTCGGTATCGGTGCCGGTGTCGAGAGCATGAGCTTGCAGTACGGGTAAGTTTCTTTTTTTTTTTTTTGTTCTTCTTTCTTTCCCCCTCCTCCTTTCTTTCTCTTAACGCTACTTCATAGAATACCATTGAATGAATGCTTTTAGCTGACAATTGCCTCCCCCCCTCCCCCTAAAAGTCCCCAAGCCGTGACCGAGTTCTCCGAACTCCTCGAGTCGCACCCCGAGGCCGTCAACTGCAAGGTGCCCATGGGCGTCCTCTCCGAGAACATGGCGCAGGACCTCAAGATCTCGCGCGAGGACCAGGACGTCTTCGCGGCCTCGTCCCACGAGAAGGCCTACAAGGCGCAGGAGGCGGGCCTCTTCGACGAGGAGATCCACCCGCTGACCGTCAAGTTCACGGACCTCAAGAGCGGCGAGACCAAGGAGATCACCGTCAAGAAGGACGACGGCATCCGCCCCGGCATCACCGTCGAGTCCCTGGCCAAGGTCCGCCCCGCGTTCGCGGAGAACGGGTCCATCCACGCGGGCAACGCGTCGCAGATCAGCGACGGCGCCGCCGCCGTCCTGCTCATGCGCCGGTCGACGGCCGAGCGCCTGGGCCAGCCCGTCATCGGCAAGTTCGTGTCCGCGAGCGTCGCCGGCGTCAAGCCTCTGCTCATGGGCCAGGGCCCCTGGAAGGCCATCCCCAAGGCCCTGTCCCTCGCCGGCGGCCTGACCAACGACGACGTCGACATCTTCGAGATCAACGAGGCTTTCGCCAGCCAGTGCCTCTGGTGCGCCAACGAGCTCAAGATCCCCATGGACAAGATCAACCCCAAGGGCGGCGCCATCGCCTTCGGCCACCCCCTCGGCTGCACCGGCGCCCGCCAGGTGAGCACCCTGCTGTACGAGCTGCGGCGCCGCGGCCAGAAGATCGGCGTCACGAGTATGTGCGTCGGTACGGGTATGGGTATGGCTGCCGTCTGGGTTGCCGAGTAGGGTCGTTAAATATTCTAAATTAGTTTTTTAAGTCCGTGTTCTAATGCCGTCGCACACCGCGGTGCACTTCGTAAAAAAAACATGATCTTCGCCCTTGGAAGGGGCCGTTGCATGTAACGAGCCATGTCTAACGTACATGACAGAAAGAGTGATCGAAGGAACGCAACAACAACCATGTACAATGTATATATATAGGGGGCGTTTAGTATATTTATATGAATATGCAATTACTATAAGATTCGTTGCCATCCATCTCTAAAATACATTGGGAATATGTCATTCAACCACATGATGCATATCAAATTCACTATTCCCATGCCTCTCTTTTATGCCGAGACGAGCCCCGAGGGAACGTAGACGACTCCAAATCATCGAAAATGGGCGCTAACGGTCTACAATCCTCGCCCTAAGAGAATCCCTCGACATGACTGCCCAGCCCCCTTTCTTGTGCTAATCGCACGACCTCGAATCCGACTACGAGGTCCATGAGTCCTAGTCCCACACTCTTATAGATGACATTTCCGACTGAGAGCCAACGCGCCAGTTGGTGGTCATGTCCCGACTTGTGCTGCTTATGCCGCTGCTCATCTACGGGCCCCTGACTCGAACTTCGCCTATGGTGAAAAGGTAAGGAAAGGCTACTGCCCTTCCGGCTCGGGCTGCGCGACGAGGAGCGCCTACTTTCGTTGCCCGGCACCGAGTTACCCGATTCGGACCCGGCAAGAGTTGAACCGGGTGATGCGAGGCTTTCAGTAGATTCATTGATGGAAGAGGTTTCGGCAGAACTCTGAGACATCAGCGATTCCTCCTCTTCCTTTGCCAGTCTATGAATCATGACCAGCTCACCGAGTCTAGTTATTGTTAGTTATTTCGCTCATGTACTGCTAGATCTGTTAGGTTAGATGCTACGGGACTTACTCGACGAGTTGGTTAGGCTGCAAGCCTGCTTCGATAATCTCACCCGCCTCTTTCAATGCCCCGTCCAGAGTGTCCACAACAATAACCCCACCTTCAATTGCGTGTTTATGAAAATGATGTCCGGAGGTTTTGCTCTTGGTGGCCTGGAGTAACAGCTCTCGAGGCAGCTCACGCATATACCTTGTATAGCTCCCTATCGCAATGATCAACCTACCCTTCCTACGGCCTTCGTGACTTGTCAGTATGCTGGCCTCGAATAAATCTACGGTGCTAGGCGTGCAACAGTAGATGACATCTGCCGCCCTCAAGTGCTCCTTTAGTAGTCGATCATATTCCCTGTAGCTAGGAGTTAGGAGGCCGAACTCCGTCTGCTCCCATCCCTCACGTTGTTTGATGCTCTGGGGAATTCCATGTATCTTCTTAAAGGTTTCTTTGGCGCTTTCGCTGAACGTCTTATTGATAATGTATACATGGCGAATGCCATCACCTCGCAGCATCAATGCTAAGCGCATATGCCAATAAGCTTGTAACCCCGACCCAAACACGACAAGGGTTCGGACCGAGGCGCGCTTAACGATGAGACAGGAGGAAGCAAGCGCGGTTCGGAAAGCGGTAAGGGTCTTCGCGTGGAGGAAGCCTATAGGAGATCCTTGAGGAGAATAGAGGGTTACGGATCCGGTAGGTCGGATAGCCGGCAACGCTGTATCTACCAGCTTGTCTGCTGATGGTGCCGACAAAGTCACGACTACAAACTGGTTAGCCAAGAAAGATTCAAGATCGCCAATGCTTGGCTATAAACTGACCTTTTACAGCATGGCCAAGTGAACTAATGGAAGGCATAAAGAGCGTAGTCGCGCCAGTAGTATTGGAGTGTACTGATATGCGCTCGGGTTGATGAACGGTGCCATCTTTTATGGACTGTGTACCTGTTGAATACTCGCGAAGAGCATTTCTCAGGGTGTCGATAAATCCTCGGGCTTCTTCTTGAGTAAGAGTTTCCAGTAGGTCGGAAATCTGATCGTCTGAAAGAATTGTTAAAGACATGGCTTTTAACCTCGAACCTCGGGAATTAGCGCCGTAGGTAATTTGGGTACGTTCCTATAGCATTTAAAGTTAATTGTTAAATACCTGTTATGGTCCTCTCAACGGTCTTTAGCTTAGGTATCTAAGGGATAGATGAGGAATCTTGAGGGTAGATTGCTCGAGGCCATGTGGGAGAAAGGAAAGATCCGACTCTCGGCATCCGAGTCGAAGGCTTGGCTAAGCTGCACATCCACACACCAACAACCATTTGATATTCCATAATACACACGTATAATATACCTAGGTACGTAAGTGATAAGGTCATTTGAAAAAAGAGTAAAATCGCTATGGCTCCTAGCTTTGGCCCATTTTCTTTTGTGCTATGTATGGGAGAAAGGAGATGAGTTTGAATGGTGTCATGAGGAAAAGACAGCTATTGGTTCTGACAAAATAATAGGTATCGAAATAATAAAGCGATACCGCATCGTTCTTACCTCTTATACTAACACTTTAGGTATGCGGTACACCTGCGGGTAGACACGGCTGTTACATTAGGTTAGGTAGTATGTATTGCACCTATCTCGCGTAAGGCTCACCTATTATAGCAAGAAGCTAACTACCCCGCAATTGTTCGTATTGTACCGGGTAGGTATTGTACATACTTGTTACGAACCAACAGCCATCAGAAAAAGCACTAGTCAAACAACCAAGAAGCGGGGTAACCAGGGATGCGGCAAAACGCCGGCATAATCCACGATGAGGCTCAGGAAACCTGGATTAAGCTGGATTAAGCTGGATTGACCTAGATTCAGAGGATTTGGATGGATTAACTCTTAAAACCACCAAAACCACCTTAATCCAGACAACATAGGCCTTCAGACAGGCAGGATGGCGAGTCTATATAAACCATCATGTATCTAGTCATTCATTCAGGTTTCCTTAGCTATCAATCTAAGTCTTATATCTAACCCATATGAGGGGAAGGACTCCAAGCCTTCCTGACGAACACTTCAACGTTTATTTGACACTTGACTCGTATCGTTACTGTTTACCTGAAAATCAAGACCCATCGGCACTACACTCTAACGGACCTGAGTGTAGGTTCGTCACAATACTATAGCAGCAGAACCTTGGAATTTTAAACCATTGGGATGTATAATGATCATTGATTAGAGGCTAATGCTAAACCATGTCCAATGTTAAGGGTATGCTTAATGCTAAAGGTATGCCTAATATTAAAGAATTTCTAATAGTTAACTACTTTTATTTTTTCCTTAATATTTTACCACTTAATTTTTAAATTTATATGTTAAAAAGGGAAAAAAAATTAAAAAAAATTTTAGCGTTAAGCATACCTTTAGCATTGGGCATACGCTTAGCGTTAGTCATTAATTAATAATTATTATATATCTTAAGCATTGCTCCCCAGGTAACGGTTATATATTTTAATATTTATATTAACGCTTAAAGCTTTGTTTAATGGTTAAAATTCCCAGGCCTCTGCCGCTACGGTAGGTATGTGGGAGTTATGTATATAGAGAAAATCTAAAAGCTTAGCGATCAATCAGTTACATTCTAGTAGGTATGCTAACCTTACTAAGCTTAGGTACCAGGTACTTCGACTAAAAGGTAACCAACCATCAAATTTGCAGATATAGAGTATATGCGAATTATATGATAATACGATATAAGATGGAAGACACATAAAATTTCTTCATTGACCAATAAACACCAATTCCCCCCTCCCCCCCTATTCATAAGAAAAGCGGCTTAATCGCACGCTCTTTCGCCAAATTTCCATAGTATGTACGGTAAAAAACCGTCGCCAGTACTTTTTTCGATGCCTTTCGAAAACTTTGGGATATAGATCTCCGCTTCTCCTAAACGCCATCCTCCAAACAAAATTGACCCTTTCTGTTCTGTCAAGGTAGGTATCTCTTTATAAGACCAAACTTCGCCGGCCATCCCATATTCACTGTCCGAATTCGCTATCCGTTAAATGACATTGCCTTGCCCCCTTATTGCTGTTCTTTCTCCCCTCCCCCTTTCCCTCCCAGGCCGTAACAACCAAATTTTTATACCGAAACAAGATGGGATGCATAGGTATTCCCAAGTTCATAAACGCCCCTGATTCGAAACCTAACCACTGAATACTTTCCCGCATGTTCGGTTTAGATGGCTTGCATGCTGCTAACGCCATCGTTCCTGAAAACTAACATAGCATGTTTTCCCCTAACAATGCCCGAGTCGCCATTAATACCATTTAGCCCGTAACGTCCTCCCTTGCCCGTGCCGATGCCTAGGTCACGGATGCGGCCCGTTCCGATGTCGAAGAAGGTGCCGTGAATTTGTAATCCTCTTTCGGCGATGGCGTCCTGAATCGACGGGTTGGCCATGAGGACGTTAACGCCGGCCTCGACATTGAGTTCCGCGATGCGCACTGTGCGCTTCTTGTCGTCGGTGATGTTCTCCAACTCCTCCTTGTGTGCATTACGCACAGTCTTAAGAGGCACCAACCATGTGTCCAGCACGCCGCCGACGCGGTTGTCGCTAAGCGCAGCTGCAGCGCCGCCGCAGCACGAGTGCCCGCACAGCACCACGTGCTTCACTTTCAGGTGCACGACCGCATACTCGATAACAGCTGAAGTATTGATGTCGGTCGGCGAAATAATATTAGCAATGTTACGATGCACAAAGACATCGCCTGGTTGCAAGCCTAGAATCGTGGTCTCGGGACAGCGCGAGTCAGAGCAACCTAACCAAACTGTTGCACCACGTTTAACCGCGTTAGCCTCACTTTCTCCTCGCTCTTTCGGCAGGTTTTTTTTATAAAAAAAAATTATCATATTATCATCTCCGATGCGAGATCTCCGCACTGCATAAGCTGCGGCGCAGCAGAGACGCGGGATTCAGGAATGACCCCAAGACAGTACTAATGTTCTGTTGAGTGGGGGTCGTTTTTTTGGCTCATCTCGCATCTCAACAAAAAGTGTATTATATTATGCCAAGAAAAAAAGATGTTCAGGACTTACGGATTGCTGGCGACTGTCCCGATGCCAATTTGGGGAAGAAGTCGGGGTTCTGATGACCTTTGTAGCCGGCCCAGGCTTGGTTAGAGCTCAGCGCGTAGGCGAAAGCATCTTCTGTGGCCATGGTAAGCGAAAGCGTTCCCCCTCTCCAAAAAGGTTACCTCGCCAATCTCGGCGGGATCTCAAAAATAAATTTAAGCGTATTTTTGGTGTATGAGATATGAGATGCAGGGCGTCCACCCCTGCGGATCCAGATCTAGGATTTACCGACCCCTTTTCTTGGCGGGGGAAACAAGAGAAGAGAAGATAAGCAACGAGTAGAAAGAGGAATAGCAACACGTACGAGGAGGAGCAGGCATCTCGAAGCAGCAAAAAGTTGGCTGCGGCCTTTTATATATGTGATATCCGGAGATTGGTAAGGTTAAGTGCAGGCTAGGAGGTATGATGACCACAGGAGCGGCACCCAAGATCCCAGCACGGAACAACTGGAGGCGGGATGTAGGTGTAGGGATGCAGAATATGAGCGAATTAGGAAGTCCCAAGCCCAATCGGATATGGTGCTCGCCCACTTCGTTCACACCTCTCAGGAGGATCCTGTCCTGTATGCGTTTGGTGCTTTGGGTGACTAGACCGAGGTTCTGACTTTCGTCTGGCCTCAGCTCAAATCGCGCTCGACCGGATCGGTATTCACACGGAGGCGGCCGTGATCGTACGGAGGTGTGAATCACGCGACGGGCTGGTATCACTGGCTAACGGTGTGGATAAAGGATGACGGTGCAGCTCGGTTTTCGGACGGATAATCCCTCATCCAAGTGGGTTCAGTAAGGAAATTATATACAGGTATGTATGTTATGAAGAAAAGGAGAACCAGGTAAACACAGAGTAGGGACACGTAGGGTATATAAAAAGCCGAGCTGGAATCAAGGAAGGAGAAAAGTCTCAGGATACCAAACAAGGGCTGTCAAACCTTGCATCAACAAAGCGATGATCCATGAGGCTTTAATAGTGTATCACGCTGGTCACGCTGGAACTCTTCAAGAGGGAGATCAAAAGGTAGTATCGCTAAGTCCGGAGTCCGGGGTAAAACAGTAATCTCAACTGCTACCTAATCTTAGATAGATTGATAGATTGGTAGATACGGTAACTACCCAGGTACATAGGTAAATAGTTGGAATATATCTAACATCCCATCCAAAGCATAAATAACACAACCCCCCAATCTTCCAAATCTTCCCTGATGACCGCTTGCCCAGACCTTCCCTACCAAGGTTCGAGGGCTTCGCGCTTTCGCGGTGCTAACCAAACCATGTATATCTGCTAACTAAACTCAGGTAGGTTGGTATGTATGGTGTTGTACGCGGGCAACCGTTGGATAAGCATAAGCATGAAAACGGGGTCGTAAGCGGGAGGCGGCGCACGGGAATTTTGGGACAAGCGCGGCATGGATCTAGATTACGGATATTGGAGCAGGTACTTAAGCTAGGTAGGCTGCTAGGTAGGTAACATGTGTGGATTTCCCGTTAGATACGCACAAATTGCCAAGCGGCACTACATGCTTTGCGCTTGGTTCCATTGTTGCGCTTGGTGGTACCCTCCGAGGGAAGTACATACCATAACCAGTCCATAGATGATAGAGGAACAGGGTCCAACAGCCAATCTGCTTTGCAACGTGCTCGCCAAACCCCTTCTCTCCTCCCCCCATTATTCCCCCCTTGCCTGGAACAAGGGCCTCTTTACTGCAACGGCTTTACGGCATAGGATGAAGGAACAAAGCGGTGAGAGGCTCGATGGCGCCTGTCAAACGAAGTACGTATCCTGGGAATCAGCTCTTATCTAGGTATAATACCTACCTACGTTACGACTAGGTACATCTTGCTAGCTTGCTTGCGTAATTCTTTATTAAAACTCTGGTTCGGTTGCTATGCCGTATGTAACTACCTAGTAACCTAAACCTAGTTGCCCTGCCAGGAGGGATGGTTTGCTCAGAGTAGGACACGTCGATCGTGACTCCGGTTACCTACCTCCCACCTGAGCTGATGAAAACATCTTCCATTGACGAACATACTGGATATCGTGAATAAGGAAAACTACCTTAGGTGCCTAGGTAGGTGACAATGGAGGAGGGGACACTGTCTAGTCCTCATGAGCGACCACCTTGGTTGGCGGGTTTTAGTTCCGTGTATTTAGTTCGTTGTATTAGTGCCACGTGACGTTACCGTCCATATGGCTCCTCCTCGAACAAGCTTCCCCTCCCTCGTAAGTTGTAACCAGGTGAGAAATTAGATAGAAGACTAGGAAGTGGGATGCATGGACATTAACTGTTGATACCTAGAAGGGGGTATTTTTCTTGTAGAAGATTGGTAACCTAAAATAAGCTTCTTTAATTGAGATGTGTCACAAAATTAAGACTTTGGGGCAGTGCCTTTTTCAGTCCTTTTCTTCTTTCTTTTGCTTCCGTGATTCTATGTCAATGTAAGCAAGTCACTCACTTACATAGAATGAGTACCTGGTATCTTCACATCTCCGGAATTCTACTTATGCATAGCTCTATTTAATACCTATCGCGATATCTATCACGATAACGAATCCTCAACAATTGAAGTCTTATTAATAGTTTGGTGGCTGTGAGCCTATGACGCTTCAATATAACTGCCAAGAACGCGGACCCTGAAATCAAACGCTTACCACTTTCCAGAACACATCTATTATTATGTAGTAACCACGTGCTTGATTTACTTGGATTTAGTACTTACACATAACGGTCTTGGCAACAATGGCTTACCATACATATAGGTACTACACCAATTTTATATTTCCAATACTTAGGATTTACGCCACAATATATTTGATAATATGAGTCCATGTAGGTATCCATCTTGTTAAGAATTCGCATTTTAAACCTAGGTACATGGTACGCAACCTTCAACTTCAATAGTATGCAATAAGCTACCTAATTACTTCTTTCAGTAAAATGTTTATCTTCCCCAGAGTGACCGGGGTTATCTTCGTCATCGACGTTACAGATAATAGCAAACCGTTTTACTTCCCCAAGGTCAAAGCCGAGCTTAGCAGGTCTCTCTCTAAGTTATCCGGGACAGCTATTTACCGGTCCCCCCTTTTTTTAATGCCGCCCCTTAAAATAACAACACCAAGATCCGGCCACCGCTACACGACGACATGCCAGCAGAGCCTCCGAGGATACATACCTCACTAAGTTTCGTACCTAACTCGGTATTCACCCGCAAGCTCCACTGTATCCAATCTAACGGGTCTGTGTATGAAGCTCTAAGTATACCTCATATATAGCTCAAGAAGTAAGGACTAACTAATTGAACTAACTGACTTACAGGTCCCACCAGCTAACAACGACATAGCACGACGGGCTGCGATGCCTTCACCGACGGGTAGAAGTAGGGCATTTCTCGGTAAAAACACCATGTCTCGAACGAACCGGGTTAATTGTCCTAAAAAAAAAATTATGCTCTCACCGAAATTTATGGTGGAAGAAATTTCCCTCGAATAATTGCACTATAAGCTAGCAGCAGCAACGACGTTGCCGAGGATTGCCGGTAAGGGGGTTGAAATACGGCCTTTAGTAATGGTCTCAGAAAGGTCTTATATCTCGCTTTATTCTATCCCAAAGTATTCTAGATCCTAGTTTCTTCATGATCCCGACGCTTATCTAGGTACGGTAGCATGTTGAATATTCCAAGATGCCGCACCGTAGGTCACAACATGGAATATCTGAGAATAGGCATTGTTTCAAAACATATAAGATCCCAGTGCATACATAGCATGCCCGCACCGCGTAAGCTCCAACACATGAGGCACCATGAGGCTGCAGAATACCAAGTCTAAGCCAAGAGCGTGGGAAAATACGACGCAACAAGGAGATTTCCTTGGCGTCCTTGGCTCCGTTCGACTCTCCCTACGCGGCAATCTCCCGCGACACCGTACGTACCCAGCCAATCCGGGTCCAAGAATATCACGTTTTTGGAAGATAAGATAACCGCCAAGTCTTGGCTCGAACGGTTACGATATTACGAGGTGATAGCAAGTTTTAGAATTTTAAAATTTACGAAATTGCAGCGATCATTCATTTGTCACATTTGTCGTCGGCGAAACTCTGCAGATGGAGTCTAGGTAGGCTGTCAAATCCATGTGGTTGGTATTCCCTTTTACCTCCTCCAACGCCGGAACTGTGCAAATATAAAAATCATGATCCGTGACCAGCCTTAACGCTTAGACCTTGATGGCCGTATCCAAAGCCTTCTTGCTCTTCTCAATGCGCTTGTTGGCCTTGGCACCCATGATACCACCACCCCATTGTCGTCGGGAGTTCTCAGATCCGGCAAGATAACCATCCTTGATAGCGCTGACGAGCTTGGAGAGCTCGTTCTTGTCCTCCGATCGGACTTCGGTGATAGCGAGGACAGCAGCGGTCTTGAATTTCGTTAGTCAGACGTATCTAATGTAATATGAGTGACCGATGCATACCTTCTTGTGGACAACGGTTCCGAGACGGGCCTTGCCCTTGATGATGGCGTAGGGGACACCCATCTTTCGGCAAAGAGCGGGCAGGAAGATGACCAACTCGATGGGGTCAACGTCGTTGGGGATCAGGACAAGGGAAGCCTTCTTGTTCTCGATCAGGCCGACAACGTGGTTTAGACCGTACTTGACGGCGTAGGGCTTCTTGCTGACATCCTCCTTCTTCTTGCCCTCCTTGATGGCGGTAGCCTCCTTGACCAATCGCTCCTTCTTCTCGGCCTTAGACTCGGGTCGGTACTTGTTGAGGAGCTTGAAGGCCTGGGCGGCGGTGTTGCGGTCCAGAACATGCTGGAACTGGGAGATAGCTGGGGGAACCTTCAGGCGGAGGTTGATGATCTTCTTCTGGCGCTGAAGACGGACATACTCGGGCCACTTCACCATACGGGAAAGGTTTCGCTTCGGCTGGATGTCCTGGCCAATACCGAAGTTTCGGGGTCGCTTCTCGATGAGGGGGTTCTAATCGATATGTTAATATAATTCCCGGGGGTTTTAACCTAGCAAATGATTGAAGGGATTTGATTCTTTACTCACCTTGGGTGCCTTCTTAGAACCCGCCTTGGAGGCGAAGGGGGCCGGGGCGGCCTTCTTACCGGACTTGGGAGGCTGTCATTGAGAAGAAAGACATCAGCAAATGTGTTCCATTGACTGTAGTCTTCCTTGAACTCTAGAGAGATGATTGCGAACGGTATTTCTACGCGTTGCGCAAAGATCTCAAGCCAGTTCCTCACCTGCGTCAAAAGACGACAGGCGGAATTTAAGCAACTCGACGAGCGAGTGCCATTAAATTATTTCGCTGAGTGCAAGCAAGAGCACATCAGTCTCGGACGGTTAGGAGCTTACCATATTGATGAAGTGGTCGTGTGGTCGGCGTTGGGTGAAAAGATGCGACCGAATTGAGAGGTGTGAAGAGGAAAGAAATCTCGAGTAAAAGTTGCGAACCTGAGAAAACAGAAAAAGTTGTGCGTAGGGTTTTGCAGTGGGCTGGAAGGTAAAATATCGGGGAATTACCTTAGCGGCTTGCTGGCTAAGACCAAAGTTAGCTTAGTTCACTTTGCCCCTCCAGAGTCCAGAGTCCAGAGTCAGGTACCTTTGTACTTTTTAATATTCCCAAAGTTGAACCCCACTAAGATTCTTTAAACGTCCTGAACTTTGACATGTGCTGTAAGCCATGACTTACTTGAGTCGGCCTTCGTAAATATTAAAGAATTTGACTCTATTCAGATTTATTCTCAATAAAATTCGCCTTATCTTCTACTAATATCATTTTCCTATCTATATCTCCATATAAACAATCGAGTTGTTCTAGAGAATGCCACCGCCGCTCTGTGCCCTCTGCAAGACAGAGCGAGCCCTGATCAAAAGGCCAAAAAACTATCAGAAGCTCTGCAAAGGCTGTTTTATACGAATATTTGAAGACGAGGTGCATCATACAATAACTTCGTCGCAGCTCTTCTTCCCCGGGGAGAAAGTTGCTATCGGCGCATCAGGTGGCAAAGATTCAACGGTTTTGGCTTCAGTACTCAAAACTCTGAACGAGAGACATAACTATGGAGTTGAATTAATACTCTTAAGTATTGACGAGGGTATCAAGGGATATAGGGATGACTCTCTCGAGACTGTCAAGCGCAACGCGGTGCAGTACGATATGCCGCTGAAAATAGTAGGCTACGATGAACTATACGGTTGGACCATGGACCAAGTTGTGGAGACAATCGGCAAGAAAGGCAATTGTACTTATTGCGGCGTCTTCCGACGACAGGCTCTAGACCGAGGGGCAAAGATGTTAGGGATCAAGCATGTCGTCACTGGCCACAATGCCGACGATGTTGCAGAGACCGTTCTTATGAACTTACTTCGAGGAGATCTACCACGCTTATCAAGAAGTACAAGTATTGTCACCGGAAGCGACGCCAGTGAAGTTAAGAGGAGCAAGCCGCTCAAATACTCATACGAGAAAGAGATCGTGTTATACGCGCATCACAAAAAACTCGACTATTTCAGCACAGAATGCATCTACAGTCCGGAAGCCTTCCGGGGAAGTGCCAGGAGTTTAATCAAGAATCTAGAGAAGGTCCGTCCCAGCGCCATACTGGACGTTGTTCGAAGTGGTGAGGATATGGCGAGATTGGTACCTGGTGCTACGTCAAGTTCTTGTGCTTGCGATGGGAAGACTGCATCTAATCGCACCCCTGCCGACGAAGATAACATTGGCGGCTGTGGTTCATCGAACGGCCGTACAAATGGTGGTGAGATGGCAGCTATGGAGAAACAACTCCGAGAAACCGAAGCCGCTGAAGCTGCCGGACTCGAAACAGAGGTCACGGCTGAGAAACCTAAAACAAGATCTCATGATAAGCCAAATTCGATCAATGGGCAATTAAAGACAGCCGGTACCACTGTGCCCATTAGGTTAAAGCAAAAGCTGGGTACATGCGAGAAATGTGGCTATATGTCGAGCCAGAAGTTATGCCAAGCATGTATGCTTCTCGAAAGCCTGAATAAGAACCGACCGGAGATTACGATATAGAAATAGCATAAGGCAGGCGTTCCGGTATCCTTTGGGTCTACTAGAATAGGATTAAAATGATACCCTTAATAGAGATGACCAGCATCAAGTGTACGATATGACAACTCGTTTATGAAATGCTGTATTTTGTAGACTTTGTACAAGTAGCTGTTCATCGTAGATAATATGTCTTCCTTCCTTCGCCTCTCTAATTTTCCATCTACGTGAATCGCTTCTCGACCTATACCATATGTCAGTTTCGGGTATCGCCAATATATCCATCGGTTATAGGAACATACCCTCCATGGGTTGTTCAGCTCGAATCCGGCCGGTGCTACGGGAGCATCGCTCTGTCCTCGGAGGTATCCTGTGAGGCGCATGTCGCGATTCATCACTTCGAGAAATTAAGTCAGTTCCCTCTGAGCGAAATGCGTCACAATGCGAATTCATCATACTTTGTCTGTCCCACTGATCTAACGATCGCCTCGCCCTCTTGCCGCCGTTGGTCCAATGTCTAAGTTTCGAAAGTCCCGCACCAGTGGCGCTGAACATCTGGCAAGACCTTAGTATCCAAGCAAATATATCATTAGGAGACTGGGTCGTTATCGGTCGAGAGTTCTTACGGCTAGGATGATTCCATAGGGAATCAGCGCTTCGAAGGGGACGCCCATCGCGGAACTGCAAACTAGGTGATACGACCAGAAATTAGTATGGAAAGTATTAATTAGAGATAGTTCATATTGGATTTTAGTGACTCACAATTACTATATGCCCTCGCAGGTCGGCTTCAATTGTTTATTTTTTTTTTATAGTAGTCAGTTCACGAGCAACTCGCAGTCGCTTTAGCTTTAGCTTATTGTGTGATGAGGTCAAGTCGGACGAGTTCGGCAGCCAATGATGTCGAGTCAATATTATGGCCTGAGGACGTTTCTGCCTTAACAATTTTAGCTACCCAGGTACATAGTAAGCATTTTTATTCAAATGCACTGGGGCCTGGGGTACCTTGGGCGTTATCTATATCGGGTTAGTTGGAGCGCATAACTTGTTGCTCAGGATCAACCTTTCTCGAGCTGACTAATTTGTGGAGCCATGAGAGTTACACCACCAACTCTAACTCACTTCGCCAATCCAAAGGCAAGCGCGAGGGGGGATTCATTTTTCTCACTTCAAAACACATTAATCACTCTTTGTCGCATCTTCCACTCTTTATTTTGATAGGAACACGCGTCAAACATACCCCTAAACCGCGGGGTACTATGAATAATATCCAAAAGTTACCCTAATTAACCATTAGAGCGCGTCGACGACACTTTCAAGCCGACAGAAATAACTATAGTCTAACACGCTTCAAATGCCTTCGGTGTCGCTCGAATTCGATTTTGTACCTATCCCATCTCTATATTTCCAACACCTACAAACCTCATAGCCAGATTTATCATTTTGCGACAGGCATGCGACAAGGTCCTTCATAACGCGAAGTGGCGCGACCTGGAGGTCTTGGAGCAACTTTATTGCAAGATAACCCCCTAATACGACGTCGCTACCCCAATAAAAAGCAAGTTCGACTAAGCGATACTCATCGACTCGATCCGCCATATTGGTAAGGCGATGGCCAATACGCAACTCATGCAAGAAGAACTACAACAAAGCGTAGTACTGTCCGAAGAGGATGCTGAATTTGAGGAAGACTTACCAGCCGATCCAATGATGGTAGACAGCGGCGGACCCCTGCCTTCCGGCAACTCAGGGGATCCAGGTTACGTAGAAGCCGATCGAATCGCCAACAATTACAGTAGTGGTAGTACGATAGGTGCCAATGCGGGACCTTCAGACGAGACAGCTCCACACTTCGACGCAGAGAGTGGATTAGACGGTATACCAGCTGACAATGTTGATACTGGCGATCATGAGGATGGAACCTCTGGTAGTGACGGCGACACCCATGACGACGATGATGCATTCGATATTGATGTAGAAGGGGAGGATGACGACGATGATGACGGTGGACAGCATCACATTGATCCCAACGCCGATTCTAGCAACGAAGAGGACGCGGAGCACGAGGCTGCCGAGGAAGACGAGGATGAAAACGAAGGTGTTGGCGCTGTGAAGATCAGGCCCGGTGATACTGATGAAGAGAGTGATAGTGACGATGATATCAGCCTGGTATCACACTCTAGTAGTCGGGAATCAGCAGCAGAATGGGAAGAAGCCGTTGATAATGATGACGATGACGATGACTCCGACGCTGCAGACCCTAATAACTGCATATTCTGTAAAAAGGATGAGGAACATGATCCGGGAGTAGAGTTCGAGGCCTATCTTACATGCAAGGGATGTGAGGATCATGGTACGTATAACGTTTTTACAGTGTTCGTTGTTCTGTAACTAATCTTATTTGTGATGCGCAGCTCACCAACAATGCGCCCGCGAAGAGGGAGCACTCGATGATAAAAACAGTAAGTGCAACCATGATGACTCTCCATGCTAAGTTACGTTACTCACCTGTTTATGTAGATGCGTCAAATTGGAAATGCCCGGACTGTGCTGCTGATTCAGGGTCAGATTCAGAAGCAGCTTTTGATCATGAAAACGCGGAAGGTGGTCAAGAGATGGAGCTGGATGGTGGTGCTGGTGATAGCGATTTATCCCCTACTGCAGCCAGTCGATCAACTGCTCCCTCTCAACGTGGCACGAACAAGCTAGATTCGCATACTGTTTTCGATCAGTTAGTACCTGACGAGGACCATATGGATGGCTCGCGAGTCCTGCGAAAAAGGAAGACATCATCACCTGAGGCGGAGGTAGATATAGAGGAAGTAATGTCGCTGCGCAAGCGAAGAAAAAATACTTCCGACGAATCCGCCGTGGACGAAGCTATTCAAGAGACATCAAATTCGGCAGAACCGTCGGGTAGACAAAGGTCAGGGCGTTCTCTACGACGCAAAGCATCTAGCACAGACGCTCTATGCACGGTTATTAAGAAGTCGCGCTTTAGCATGGTAGTAAAGATGCAAGTGAGTGCTACAAAAATGCAGCAACTTTCACTTAACTCTAGGACCCGGAGAAAACGATCTGGCCGGACAACTGCATCACGATCGTCTCGATCATCTAGAAAGGTTGCTTCAACAAGAGCAGCAGCTGTTGCAGAACCGCCTCTAATGACCCCATTCTTCCCTTCTAGTTATTCCCAACCATTTTATTCGTTTTATGATAAGGAGCCCGATGAACTTAAAGGCAAGCCATATGGGGGCATCTTAACCGAGGAACAAGCTGATACGACAAAGACGCTGCCAACTAAGGATGATCGGCGCCGGTTCGATGAGGCGAAACAGAAGGCCGAAGAGGAATGGAGGAATAGATTGCTCGCCATGCAAGCTGAAGCCGAGGTTCCAGTAAAGAAGTCACGGAAGGCTTCTGGTCCCGCGAGCCAGATTGAATGCATCGAATTTGGCGGCTGGGAAATAGATACTTGGTATGCAGCCCCATACCCCGAAGAGTATAGTCGAAACCGGGTCCTTTACATCTGCGAGTTTTGTTTAAAATACATGAACTCGGACTACGTTGCGTGGCGACACAAGCTCAAGTGCGCTGCAAAACACCCCCCTGGCGATGAGATATATCGACACGGCTCGGTTTCCTTCTTCGAGGTTGACGGTCGAAAAAATCCCGTATATTGCCAAAACCTTTGTCTTTTAGCCAAGCTCTTCCTCGGTTCCAAGACACTCTATTACGATGTTGAGCCATTCTTATTTTACGTACTTTGCGAGTATGACGACCTGGGTTATCACTTCGTCGGGTACTTTTCTAAAGAAAAGCGTGCTAGCAGCCAGAATAATGTCAGCTGTATCCTCACATTACCAATTCATCAGCGAAAAGGGTACGGCCATCTACTTATCGACTTCTCCTACCTTCTAACCAAGGTGGAAGAGAAAACCGGTTCTCCTGAAAAGCCGTTGTCTGATATGGGACTCGTTTCGTACCGCAATTATTGGAGATTGGTCATGTGCAAATATCTAATCGAACATATGCCGCAGGACAAATCGCAGAAGAAAGGCTTAAGCATTAGGCAGATATCGGACGATACGGGAATGACTCCGGATGATGTTATCTCAGCCCTTGAGGCGCTTCGTTTCCTCGTCCGGGACCCGGTCACTCAAGTCTACGCTTTCCGGGTCGATATATCATACTGCCACAAAGAGGTTGCAAAATGGGAGGCTAAGAATTATGTGAAGCTAAATCCCAAAAATCTCACCTGGATGCCCTACGTCATGGGTCGTAGCAATGCTACAAACTTCGAGCTAGGGCCAGCTCTTAATACGATCGCACCCCGCGAGGAGGATGAAGAGGTCAAAACTGTCCAAACTCTAGCAGAGAGTGGTATTGCTACTGGAGATTTTGCCATAATGCAGCCTGCCAGCCAAAAACTCCTTCCAGGTGCCGAGTCATCTGTCCTTGAATCGACGGAGCCAAATGACGACGCCATTATGGAGACTAGTGAGGATGTAAAACCCAATGGCATTGGCCAGGAGAATGCAAATGCCTCTTTAAGTCGATCGGAAGACCCAAGTAATTCGGTTGGTGCTACTGCCGCTTCAAATGTCCAAGACGACGAAAACGATTGGCTCAAGCAATACGATACCATCCCAGTCAGCCGATTTCAAGTTTTCCCTCCGATAAATAACAGGCGCACGGCCATTTCACGTCTCAACTCGGGCATTGCTAGACCGCCTCTGCCACGTATCCCACCTCCAAGCTCGCGACGAACTGCACGGCCTAAAGTTCGTCGGTCAACCGCCGGCAGTACTGTCCGAAAGTCGGCGCAGAAGGCTACTTCGGGCAAACGCAAGCCTGGCGGCACGGGTCGTGGTCCCGGTCGATGGCCAAAAGGCACTAAGAAGAGCGATTATGGTAATGCGGACAGTGGTCCTGGCTTACCACCGGCTTGGGTTGAACGAAAGCGACTGGCAGATCTAGTAGCAGCTCAAGCAGTTGATGACAAAACTCAAGACACAGTCCAAGTGCAAGTCGCCGAGGCCAGCAAAAGCCAAAAGGGCAAGCAAGTCGCATCTTTCTCTGCTAAATTTGATGCTGCAACCGGTGCTACAATCAGTAATGAAGCCGCATTAACCGGTGACGCTGGCGTCGATGTAGATATGGGCGGAGTTAGCAGCCGCCAAGGAGATGTGTGTGCAGAGGCTGCAGAGACGTGAACCACCCCCCTTCCCCCCCTTTTTTTTTTCCCCTCTCGTCTCGGGCAGGCAATGTAGTTTTACAAATACCGCTGTATGTATACCTAGTCGCAACGGAATTTTTAGGGATTCGCAAGGAAAGATATTGATTCGCGGCATCACAAGCTTTGAGGAAAGCACATGACCAGGGGCGCGGCGTATAGGCGAAGAAACTTAGTTGCGATGCTGGTAGATACCTAATGGAACATTTGATTTATAGTAGTATTATTATTAATTTGGTTGTCCTTCAGAGTCTTAATTCCAAGGAGATTCAGGGAGGTATGCGTACCTAGAGGTTAGAATCCTGCCTTCATAATGTGCACGAAGGATTTGAATGAATTTAATGGCTATACTATAGCATGTAAATTAGATGCTAGTTAACGTCTATTTCGTCCTAGTTATACTTAATTCAGCTATGTTCATTTTGAAGTCTATAATAATCAGTTTAATACTTCAAGGCTTTATTTTCTCGTATGGTACATCCTTTCCTAAGCAGGACGTTTCGTACTACCTACATGTTCAGATATCAGAAGACGATACAGCTACTTACGGAGGACATCTTCCCCTGTGTCAGATACAAAACGTAAGGGTCCAGAGATGTCTGTGTCATCTACACTGCCTGCTAGGCACAAATATACCATATCATACATCGGAATGCCATGGCACTGGATATTATCCGCCCCTTCGAAGGAATATCAAGTCAAGTCTTTTTTTTTCTCTTTCGTTCAACTTACGCTTTAGTTTCCTTCATCCATAGAGGCAAGTAACTAGTAAACTACAGTATAATTAATAATAATAATCATCTGTTACAAGATGTTCATTGCAGTTCCATATAACTAATTTAGGATAAACTACCAAACTCTTAAGCGTGACTTACCTAACATGTTTGCCGATCCAATTAGTCAGGTCAGTATGGCTACCAAACATTTGTTATCAAGTCTTGTCTACTATCAGGCTAGGTGGTTAGTTGATGAGGAAGGTTTCAGATGCTATTCCATCTTATGACTTCCTAGACCGACGACATAGAATTCGTAGGCGTGCCAGGGGCCAGTGTGAGATAAATCCAATTATAATAATTCTTTATTCGTTACAAGGCTGTTGCCATTTCTTACTTATCTTGCCATTTACCGCTAGATATCTCTTCGTAACAAGTAGATACGATTAAGAACGTATTACAATAGTAATGAAACCCTATCATAATTGGTTTAACTTATTGGAATGGACGACACCAACTATAACGGATCGGTACATTTCAGAAGTACTTCTTGCTCTAGACATTTAATCTGTATTCTTCCACAATAGCGTGTTATATACCTGTACGTAACTAACTCATCATATCATACCTTCTGATTCCTTTTAAGTTTAGATACCTTGAGAACTGACCAGTGTAGCTCCTAGAACATATCTGGAATGACACTTTACTATCAAAATGCTCCTCACATTAACCTTGCGAAATCCACATTCTAAAATATCCCATGTCACTGTTTCTTGGAAATCGTAATATTCGTATTCATAGACTGATAAAATTCGTATTCGCTTGTATATTAGTTTAGGTACGGTCTAATGCATTTAGCCCTTAAACGCATATTATGGTGTCGGTTAGAAACATATGTCTTAGGAGGTATATAATGGACAAACATTGGAATTGATGCCGCTGACGGTTTCAGCCTTGCAGATAAGGATAAGGGGCAAGGGGCAAGGGGCGAGCAACCAATAATTTCGGGAACGGTTAAAGTTTGACTTTATCCAATTTGTTTTAGTTTCAATTCCAACGCTTCGATATCGATATAGGTATCAACCTGTACGTTTCAATTCAATTTTTTGACAGGCAGTTGTATAATGAATGGCTTCGCTGGTTCGAGGTAGTCAGCAGGTTAGGCAGCTATGAAGCGGCCGAATATGTTGTTGAACTTGATAATGCCAGGCCGCGTAATCGCGACGCTATTCCTCTTGGCCCTCCACTGCTTTCTCATCGCCCCCGTCGTCGCATACACGGCTTTATCAGATAATTTTCTCAAATTGATTCCGTCGGGAGGCGATGACTTTGATATCGAGAACGGAAAGCTTTTGGCCCCAATTTTAATCCCCCGAGTCCCGGGCACTCCCGGTCAGGCTGCTGCTCAAAAACATTTTGTCGACTTCTTCACTAATGAGCTGCCAAAATGGAGCATCGAGTGGTATAACTCGACTTCGAAAACTCCTACCTCAGGAAACAAAGAGTTACCTTTTGCGAATCTGGTTTTTAAAAGGGAGCCGCCATGGGTGAAGGAGGGGCAGTCAAATCTCCTGACGCTCGCGGCTCATTACGATAGCTTAATTACCCCTAATGGGTTTATTGGTGCCACTGATAGTGCGGTGCCTTGTGCTATCCTCATGCACGTTGCGAGATATATTGATAAATTTATTACCCAGATGCACGATGAGAATTCTGCACTTGGTAAAGGCGGAACTGTCGCGATGGACGTGGGCGTGCAGATTATCTTATTTGACGGCGAGGAGGCCTTCAAAAGCTGGTCAGCAACGGATTCATGCTATGGGTCTAGGTAAGCAATGATAATCCCCCAACTTTGTAAAGTATGGCATGGACTGACGTATACTTAAGAGCTCTTGCGGAACGTTGGGAGAAATCTTTTCACCCAGCGATGTCGTTCCATCGCAATCCATTGGATCAGATTAGCATATTCGTGCTCTTGGACCTTCTCGGTTCTCCTGACCCAACAATACCATCCCTATTCTTATCAACGCACTGGGCCTATAAGGCCATAGCATCTATCGAAGATAGAATGCGTAAGCTGGATCTTCTTGAGTCAAAACCGAAACGTCCCTTTCTACCCGAATCGGAGAAAGGGCCGACTGCTTTTCGGTCTCTCTACATTGATGATGACCACAAACCTTTCATTACTCGCGGTGTACCAATACTACATATGATTGCCTCGCCGTTTCCTGACGTATGGCATAGGATGGAGGACGATGGTGCTCACCTAGATATGCCGACTGTACGTGACTGGTCGAAAATCTTCACGGCTTTTGCGCTCGAGTGGTTGGATATGATGGAGGTCGAGCCTGTTACTTGACTGGGGTAAAAAAGGAATTCGATATCGGATGGATTATGAATTCCGCGAACTCTATATTCAGAGTTGTGACTATGTGATGCGATTGATATATGCTTACCAATATTGCTATTGAGCCATGCTTCTTTTAATTTATTACTACCAACCAATAATGCTACGTTTGCATATGCGTTCACCAGTAAGCAGGTCGTAATGCTACAAATGTAAGTACCTAATGCATGAAGATTTTATGCATAAAGGTACCTAACGTTTCCATGAAGCTCGAAGGGTTCAATTCGAGATTGAGGGCTCCACCAAGCTACGTCATAAAAGTACTGGTACACGGAGTAATGCAGGAGATGGGAGTGAAAATGTCCGGCACTAGAACGATTGACATTTATTAGGTGCCCAATAGGTACCTAGACTGACTAACAGGAACACGAGACAAGTCGATGGGACTCACGGGGACGCTTCCCTGCCGCGTCACAATGGCCACCCGAAGGGAAGAACTGCTGGGGAGGAGTTAGGTAATCTGGTACCTGCTGTTACCTAACCTGCTGTTGGATATGTGCATGCATAGAAATCTTAGGTTAGGTTAGGTACCTAGGTACGTATCAAATATCCCGCCTGACTTGACTCCATCTGCCCATCTAAACCAGTCCAAGTCCATTCCAACCTTAATATGTTAGTCTCCTATTTTTTTCAACTATCAAATCATCTAATCGCCTAATCTAACCTAATTTACAGCATTGCTTGCTAACTTGCCTTTTAATAATTCTGTTTTTTCCTCTTTCTCCCTTTTCGCCAATAAGTTTGTTAATTGAAAAGACGGAGAAAATTAAATACCTAAAATTACTTACTATTGAATTTCCCCAAACCCCCCCATTTCCTCTTATAACAACTTACTTAATTCTATTTTTTTTATTCATACTTTCCCCCTTGTATTGGTAATCTTTCTTCAAAAAGCCTTGCACGGTTGCGCGGCTGTGTTCTAATACAAATACCTGTAACAAATACCTATCCAACCATAGGTTAGGTACCTACCTTTGGCATATTCGTACCTCGGGTACGTATTGCTGCTGCGTCTCCTGTTGCCAAGGCCCGCCATTACGCCTGTCTCATAGTACAATACCTACAGGCTACAACGTGTAGGGCCACAAGCTTGGGCTCCCCTCCCAACTTCCTCAGTTCATCAATCAAAAAAAAGGTTACTCTAATCAACTAAATCTACCAACCTCCTTCTTCCTTCTCTCGCGAAGTCTGGGTCCCCTTTTTTTTTCTTTTAATCGTTATTTTAAACTATTAGAGTTTCTCTGTGTTTGTTCCTCACACCATTCCGAGTTCTGGGCATAAATTGCCTTCGGAGCTTGTTAACGGCTCTTTGGAATTAACCTTGACGAGTCTGCGACGACGCTGTAATTTACAGTGAACCGGGTATTGCGAGATAATCCGCCGGCTGGATTGCGCTTTCGTCGCGCCGACTACTGATCACTCTACGATCGTATCATCCCCAATATTTCAACCCACCACAATAAGCTCTGCTTCGTCGTCTAGCTTTCTTTAGTTACGCCACTGTTGTATTCGCATAACCGCTTTCGTTCGTTTGGAGGAATATCGCCAAGATGTCTAAGGTTATGAGAAGTGTGAAGAATGTCACCAAGGGTTACTCGAGTGTCCAGGTTAAAGTGCGCGAAGGTTAGTACGATGCCACTGTTTGCTTTTCATCCATACATAACAATTTATTGTGCGCCTGCGCTAGAATTGAATACTAACTTGTTGTCTGTAGCGACGAGTAATGATCCATGGGGACCGACCGGAACCCAGATGAGCGAGATTGCTCAGCTCACATACAATTCGTATGCCCACCTGCAATTGCATCTTGTTTATCTTATACCGATTCCTCTAACTGTTTCTCTAGATCGACCGAGTTCTTTGATATCGTTGACATACTCGATAAGCGCCTGAACGACAAAGGCAAGAATTGGAGGCATGTTTTGAAGGCATTGAAAGTCCTCGATTATTGTCTCCACGAAGGTTCCGAGCTTATCGTCACCTGGGCGCGAAAGAATATCTACATCATTAAAACGTTGCGCGAGTTCGTCTATATTGACGAAGATGGTCGGGATGTAGGACAAAATGGTGAGTAGTTCTGAGATGCAAACTAGAGACCGTACCGTTAACCCTTGGTGATATAGTCCGAGTTGCCGCGAAAGAATTGACAGCCTTGATCCTGGACGATGAAAGACTGCGAGCCGAACGGAGCGACCGAAAAACATGGAAGTCTCGGGTTACTGGCATCGAAGAATTCGCGCCCGAAGGGGTTACAGTCCCACGAGGACACAACCGACCTCAGCGACGTGTTAGCGATGAGGAAGAGGATGCCGAGTATAAGCTAGCAATAGAAGCTAGCAAATACCAAGAAGAGGAGGATCGAAGGAAACGCGAAAGCCGCCAGGGGGCCGAGGATGATGATGATTTAGCCAAGGCTATTAAGCTTAGCCAGGAGGAAGATGAACGAAGAAGGCGAGAACTGGAAGAAAGTAATGCTAGTTCACTTTTCGATGATGCTGGACCGAGCAACGTCCCTCAACCGACTGGCTTAAATATGGGATATCAGCAAGGTAGTAACGTTGACTGGCTTGGGAACCCGATCGATCAGAATCAGATGATGCAACCGCAACCGACCGGATACGTGAACAATTCGTATACTGGATACCCAGCCAATGGCTATACGAATGGCTATACGAATGGCTACAACAATGGTTTCAATCCTCAGCCAACAGGCGTATATGACCCTTACGGTCAACAACAGCAACTAATGCAACAGCAAAACACTCTCCAGCCTCCCGCGCAGCAGTTCCAGATGCAGCCTACTGGATACAATCCTTACGCACAGCAGCCCCAATTCCAGACCCAGTTCCAGCCTCAGCCTACTGCTTCAGAGCCGGCCGTTCAACCTGGAAGCAATAACCCATGGGCTTCTAACCAGCAAAACCAATCGGCACTCAAGCCGATGCCAACCGGGTCGAACAACCCCTTCGCCACCGGCTTTGGGCGTCAGCAGCAGCAGCAATCCCAAGCCCCGGCAATCCCGACTCTAAGTAGCTTGCAGAGTCTTCCTGAGCAGAAGTCTCTCCAGACATTTACTCCGTCTCCTCAACCTCAAGTCCAATCTCAGCCCCAACCTTCCTTTCAGATCCAGCCGCCTCAGAAGACTCTTAGCGAACACGAACAAAAGCTTAATGCCCTTCTTGCTAGCGGCGAGGGTATGGATACGTTTGGAAATACCGGAGAGCTTCGTATTCCTGCTCAGCATACCGCGCCGGGTACCTTTGTCAATTCCGCCGGTTCAGGTATGAGCAGACTTACGGCCGAGGCTACAGGCAATAACCCATTCCTCCGGCAGCAGTTCACCGGTATGCCAACGGTGTCATACGGCGCACCGCAGATGCCTGCGGCTACCGGACCGGCTGGCATGAACGGATACGGCGGCGCGAGTAACCCGTTCGCAGCACGACCGCAGCAGAATAACAACCAGGGGCAAGACCTCATCCAATTCTAGATTTCCCCTTTATGAAGACGTCCGTGATGTAAATCAGGCGCTCTTCATTTGCATGCCGTACCTATGCATGCACTTTTCTAAGCTGGGCCATACCCATCCCAGTTCATACTTCTCTCGTATTGTGTTTTTTACACTCTCTGGCCGACTACTAGTAGATAAGAGTAGATTGCCAGAGAGCTCATGTTTGTTTCTCCAAGGAAAATCATAGGTGGTGATTTGGGTCTACGATACAATTCCCTGTGCTGCTTCGCGCTGTGCTTGTGTGAGAATCTGGGAGGGATTTCATTTCATGGAAGCAACCCCTTAGTGTCGAAATGATCAATAGAAGACAATGAATGGGCCCCTCATCAGTTTTCAAACCCGTGTAGAAAGATACTATTTGTTATAATTAAGCGTGATATTTTTCAAATTCCGACCTTCCCCCTTATACACCCCTAACTGGATATATAAACATGCCGACATATCTCATGCCTACTACTACTCCTCCTCCTCCCAATCCGCCCCTATCTGCTCTGCCTGCACGCCCCGTGTTCCCAGCTTCCATGCAGGTAAAGCAGACCACATATGTAGGTAGATACTCCGTAGTTGGGGCCCTTATGCGCTACTCAAAAAACCCGCAATGTCATGTAGTGTAGTGCAGTGCACTTTGTACGCAAAATGGGTATATACAAACTCCGGTTCCAACCCAACCCGACCCATCCCAGTCCAGCCCAGCTTCTTGTCCTTCTTCCAATGTAGGCGTTTCGGGTTATATTGAAACGGTCCCCAGCGTGATTAGCAAGGCGAGACAGGCAAAGTAGGTAAGGCAAAGGTAAGGTAAAGTAAAGTAAAGGTGGTAGCGCGAAATGTAGTAGAATCAGAGTAGTCAAGTATTGCGCAGCAGATATTATAAAAAAAAAACATCGTTAACGGAAACGTTGGGGTATATCGGGTATCTTGTAAAGCTTGCTCGTCTCCTCCCTCCTTTCCTATGGCTTCCTTTTCTGGGTGTTCTCTTCTTTCGGGGCGGCAACCTCCTTTGTTTGTTCGCTCTGGTTGGCCGAAGCGTAGCGGGGTCTTTGTTCTCCTTTCTCTTGTCCGTGGCATCTTGTTCCCGCTGTCTCGGCTACGTCCTTCTCTCGGCTTGCCGCTTGGGTGTGTTCCTTCCTTATCCTTCTCGCCCTCCCCTTCTTGAGGCTCCCTGGTACGCGCTTGCTAGATGACGGCGTTTGGTGCTTAAAGGGTTCTTTTCGGGAGGGCGAAGTCACTCCTCACGCCGACTTCTGTTATTCCCAGATTCTAGTTGTCTTGTCTCCGGGATTGGCGAAGCGGACGTGGTTTCTTTCTATCTGTCGTGCTCTTCTTGCTTCTCGGCTACTACGTCCTTTTTTTCTTCTCTGGCTATGGCTCCCATCATCACCTATCGAGGAAGATACCCAGGAACTCCTCGCGGCTGACGCCGCCCTTTCCCTCGACATCGAACTGCTCGATCATGCTGTGGAGCTCGTTATCGGGTACGTCCTCGCCGAGCTCCTTGACAACGGTGCGGAGGTCGTCGACGGTGATAACGCCCTTGCCGCCGCGGTCGAACAGCGCGAACGTCTTGAGCAGCTCCTCGCGCGGGTCGCGCGCCGCCACGTACCGCGCCGCCACCGTCTGGAACCCCTCCCGCGACAGTCGCAGGTCGACTACCCCCGGCGTGGCCTGCGGTGGGGGCTGGTTCGGGAGCGCGGGTAAGGGCGTCCACCCCGGACGCGGGCGCGCCGCCGACTTGAACGACGCGATCAGGTCCGGCCGCGAGATGTTCGAGAACCCGAGGGCTTGAAGCGCGTACCGGAATTCGCTGAAGTCGAGGTGCTCGTCTTTGTTCATGTCAAAGAGGTGGAACTGCGCGTTTGTAAGGGCTGCTAGTTAGCTTTGACGATGATCTCTTGATGGTAGCGGGTTTGTTTGTTTTGCTTTCTCCGTTGGTGTTCTCTTGTAGGGGATTTTGCCAGTCACATATGAACCATAGACTATGGGATTAGGAAGAATAAAAGGAGGTTACTCACGCAATCGTTGATCTCATTTCGATGCTCGTCGCTTATCTGATCCCACGGCTCCGCGTGCTCTGGATTCCGAACTGGGGCTGCGAATCGCGTGCCTGGTCTTGTCGACCCTGGCCGCACCGACGAATTGTATTCGTTCATGGCGCTGCTCGCGTAGTTGTTCATGCTCTCTTATATGTAATGTTTCCGAGCGCGTAGCTCCTGTTTAACGCGCGACAAGGTTTTTTTTTTCTTCGGTCTGGTCGCGTTTTCAGAAATGAAGCCGTTGGCGCTAGATCGATTGGGTCGCGTTTACGGGATCGGCAGATTGGGTTTGTGGCAGAGAGGTAGTATTTGAACGAATTGGCGTGGCTATTTCGTTGTTATGGTTCCCTAGTTGACAACTGGGAGAAAACAGGTAGCGAGTGACGTGGAAGCGGTAAAAAAAAAGTATGCAAACTACCGATTATACGATCGTATGCGATGATGGGATTCAGAGCCTAATAACAGCGAAGGAACGGACAATATCCAAGCGAGCAATGAACGAGAAAACTCTTGGTATGAAGACCGATACGGAATCGGGGATCCTTTTGCGCAATTCGAATGTTTGTAATAGTAGTAGTAGCCCCGTCGACGTCGAACGCGAGCCGGGGGATTCGCACCGCACGGTTGAAAAAAATGGAGAAGAGCGAATAAAAAAAAGAGTTCCGCAACGATATGGGATTTTTCGTATGCAAATCTAAGAAGTGCAATGCCAATGGATTATACTTGGATGTGTTGTATTATTAGGTCGGATTATTATAAATTCACCTCCTGTGTTCCTTATGCTGTTGCATATCTAAATTGTAACTTCAAGTCACGATGTTTTCTTTTCTTTCTTTTTTTCCCTTTTTTTTAAAAAAAATGTTAGTCAGGGGGTTGGGCGCGATGCACCAAATGGGGTACACGTAGGCGCGTTTGATAGGTACCTACTTTGGGACCTGTAAGCTTAGGTAAGTACACTTTACACCTAGGTCGTACCTGAGGTACCTACCACTTACGGAGCTACCTAAGGTACAGTACCTACCATAGTCTTGTCCCACCAAAGGGAGTCTGGATTACCTGTTAGTGGTTTATGAGGTCACTGCGCGAACATTCAGCGCTATTGCATAGCATGCATGTTCAGTGGACATTGTTAGCTTCTCTTCTGTCTACCTACACTAATACCGGAATCATATGCATGCATACCTAGCTGGGCACTTTGTATAATTCACATAGGTGAGCAGTAAACCGTAGTTCATTAATTACTACCTATTAGAACTGTGCTTCCTAGTTGAGGCGTTTGGGGGAAAAAAATAAGAAAATAAAAGATTGAACCTATCAAAAATTGCAGAGCACATAAACATGGAACATTGAATGAACTTGGAAGTGATAACCACAAATATATTAGCTTTATTGGGTTAGGTACAGCCTCGTCAACTATTATATGTTACATAATCGCCACATGCCTAATGCCTGCAAAGGCTATTAAGTGACGTTCTCGGGAATTTACAAGCTCGGACGTTTACGTGCCAGACATTTCAATTGTATGAATTGTAGAGAGACGGGAAAAAAAATAAAAAAAAATAAAAAGTGTTGCCACATCGCATGACTGAAGGTGACTCGAGTATTCGGCAGACAATGCAGGTGGTAGGCGATGATGTAGGAGGTAGATAAATTCTATTATGCGCGTGACCGATGACTGGTTTCTACGTGCTGCGACTTGGAGTAACGAGAAGAGGGAAAAAAAAAAAGCCCTCCGCATCAAATAGAATTGAAGCTTTTCCCTACTCTAAATAAGGTACAATTAAATACACCGTGTGTATTTATCACTATTTGTATAGGTAAGTCGGTACTAAGGAAACATGTACCCAGCTTAGATAGGTACCTACCATAGTATTGTAGTGTTAGCCTGCAGGTCTTGTACTTGCAAACGGCCTCAGGCAGGTACAGGTCTCGCGCAGCAAACTTGTGGACCCATTCTTTTTTTTTTTTTACCCTTACAACAGTCCGACCAGTCAGCTAGTCCCAAATTCTATAGTGATGAGCCAGAGGTGGTCCGGCCTCCTCCTTATCCTGGAACAACCCAACCGTGTCAATTCTCTCTACCTTACTATTTTCCCCCAAGGCTAAACCCGTCACATCTAACGCATCTTCTACAAATCACAGATTTGTTTCTTTCTTTAGCCAGGGATCCTACTCGGCGCATGTAGCCATTAACTTCTTATTCTACATCGATCTTTCTCTGTATTTTCTCTTACATCCCATATTCCTCACTTTTCTACCGGGAATTGAAGGTGTCTGTGTCCCTTAAATCCTCTTTTGGGCCCAGCAGCGCGGATCGCAAGGAAAAAAAAAAGTTGAATACCCAGTTCGCGATATACTTTCCACCTTGCGCATCTCCGTCTAACAAACTTTCACGACAACTCATACGCATCATAATCGACCGAACGTCATCTCGGCTGTTGACTGTTCACCTTCCATGTCTTCCTTTACGTAGTGTTGTCTACCTTCTCAAGCTCGGTCCCACGCGTCAGACGCGCTCATTCAACCATCTCGCAGGCCGCGTGCCTCGAGCTGATTTAATCATACTCCCTAATATATCGAGTTGCCACCATGTCGGGCTTCAGCGGATTCGGCTCTGGCGGCAGCGCCTTCGGCAGCAACAACAATACCTCCACTGGGTTCGGTGGATTTGGTAGCAATAACACACCCAGTACAACAGGTAGGCTTATTCCTTATTACACCTTCTCGCCCCTTTCTATCCCTTTCCCAGCACCCAACTGACTGGACATCGTTTCTCAAGGCTTCGGCGCAAATAATGCTACTACTAGCGGCTTTGGTGCCCCCGGTAATACGGGAGGCGGCCTATTCGGCTCCGGGACCGCGCCGTCTGGCTTCGGTTCCAACACTGGTGAGTGGCATCTGATCACCAAGATTATACAGCTTTTTATCATCCCTTTCGCACTGCATTGATAGTACATTTTTAAAATAGCAAGCTAACTCACTTTTTAGGTGGTGCATTCGGATCGACGAACAATACCGGCGGTGCGTTTGGTTCCAAGCCTGCTTTCGGCGGCACATCTACGAGCGGTGGCTTGTTTGGTGCTGCTACCACATCGACTTCGGGCGGGTTCGGCGGCTTTGGATCTACAAGTAATGCTTCGACGTCCAGCCCTTTTGGTGGTGGCAGTGGCAGTGGCACTGGTACTGGTACGTCCATTTTTGGAAGTAACAACAACAAGCCGGCCTTTGGAACCTCGAATACTGGCACGACAGGTGGTGGACTCTTTGGAAGCGGAACGACGACGAATAATACTGGCACCTCAACCGGCTTCAGCGCATTTGGTAGCACGTCGAACGCTCCCGCCAGTACAGCACTAGGTCCGGTGGGTGACCCCCCAGGTACTGGTGCCGTTACAAACTTCCAGCCCCTGGTGGAAAAAGAAAGTGCTACCAGTTCCGCACAGAACTCCTTCCAGAATATCCTATTCCAGGATCCGTACAAAAAATGGTCCGCGGAGGAGCTAAGGCTTGCTGATTATGCAGCTGGGCGCCGTTATGGTGGCACTTCGGGTACTGGGACCTTTGGGGTCGGTTCTGGTTTTGGCGGCTTTGGCTCGAATAACCAAACGACGAATTCGTTTGGCACCTCGAATACGACCACGAATACTGGCGGCGGTCTATTCGGCAATGCTGCGTCTTCTGGTGGTTTTGGTGCTCAAAATAACACCAATACGGGTGGATTTGGGGCTAATACCAACACTAGTAGTGGTCTATTTGGCGCCAACAAGCCAGCAACGACCAGCGGCCTATTTGGCAGCACAGCAACGTCTCAACCGGCACAACCCAGTGGTTTGTTTGGTGGGAATACTGGGTTTAACACCGGAAATACTGGTACTGGTTTTGGATCTACGAGTGCTAATACTGGAAGTTCATTGTTCGCGAACAACGCCAACAATCAGCAAAAACCCGGCTTCAGTTTCAGCAATACTGGTAACAATGCCACCGGTGGCTTTGGCAGCAACACTGGTGGCTTCGGTGCCAACACCAACACTAATGCTGCTGGTGGCGGCCTCTTCGGTAACAACAGCAATGCCAACCAGACTCCTGGTGCCGGTCTTTTCAACAATACGAGCCAGCAAAATACCGGCGGGCTTTTCAGCGGTACCGGCAGTAACACTGGTTTTGGTGCCCAAAATCAACAGCAAGCCGGATCAACCCTCTTTGGTAACACCCAACAGAAGCCGGCAGGGGGGCTGTTTGGAGGTAGCACTACCACTCCTGGAACCAGTGGTGGTATGTTTGGATCGAACAATAACGCTGGTGGTTTTGGGGCAGGCAACAACCAGTCTAGCCTATTTAACAATAAACCTGCCGCTGGCACTGGCACTACCAGCCTATTCGGGAACACCGGTACAACGACGAATACGAATACCGGAGGTGGCTTGTTTGGGGGTTTAGGCCAAAATAACCAGAACCAACAGCAGCCACAACAGGGTGGTGGACTCTTCGGTTCAAGTCTTGGTCAAGCACAACAGAAGCCGAGTCTGTTCGGAAGTACGACACAGGCGGCCGGCGGTAGCCTTTTCGGGAACCAAAACAACCAGCAACAGGGCTCGTCCATATTTGGAACGTCAACTGCGCAGCAGCAACCACAAAATAATGGAATGGGCAGTTCCCTGTTTGGCAATTCCCAGGGCAACCAAGCGATCCCATCTCTTACTGCAAGCATCAATGACCCAACAGCATACGGCTCACTATTTGCCAATATTGGCAACACAGAAGTTGCTGACCCTGGCCCCCTCGCAACGCCTACCAAAAACAAACAAGCCAGGAGACCCTCTATTCTCCCCTACTATAAGTTGAATCCAGCCTCCGCCTCTCGATTTATCACTCCGCAGAAGCGTGTATACGGCTTCTCTTATAGCACCTACGGTACTCCGAATAGCACTTCGAGCGTATCTAGCACTCCAGGAGCACTGTCACAAAGCCTGATCGGAGGTGGCAACCTGTCACGCAGTTTGAACAATTCCCTTAGCAAGAGTGTCTCGGCAAGTAGTCTTCGGCGGAACTTCAATATTGAGGATAGCCTGCTAGCCCCTGGTGCATTCTCTGCTAGCTCAGGGTCAAGAGTATACGGCGGTGGCAGCGTCAAGAAACTTGTTATCAATAAGGATTTGCGTAGTGATTTGTTTTCCACTCCTACAAGAGACAAGTCTTCGCCCGAGACCCCAAATAGCTCTCGAAAGCTAACCAAACGAGTTAGCTTTGACACCAGCAACGTCGAGGCCATTGAAGATGGCGAGGCCACAAACGGTTCGACTCATTCCACTCCAAGTGCAGAACAGTTGGGCTACGTTCGGCCGAAGAGCACCAATGGAGTCAACGGCTCTAAGTCAAGTTCTGTCCCCGAAATGGAGCAGGTGAAGGGCAACGAGCTAGCGGTTGTGCATGAAGAGGAAGCGACCTCGCCTGAGGGTCGCAGTCCAGCAGCAGTCTCCTCCAATATTGAGCCTGGTAATTATTGGATGACGCCGTCTAAAGAGGAAATTCAAATCATGAATAGAATTCAGCGCCAAAAGGTCTCCGACTTCACCGTGGGACGTGAGAATGTTGGCTATGTCAAGTTCAAGGTACCTGTCGACCTAACCTCGATCGATGTCGACAATATATTTGACGTAATTGTCATCCTTGAACCGCGGTCCGCCACCGTATACCCTAACGCTGCCAAAAAGCCTCCCGTCGGCAAGGGTTTGAACGTCCCTGCGTTGATCAACCTTGAGCATGCATGGCCTCGTTCTTCACGGAAAGGAAAGCCTGTTTCCCTGACGAAACAAATCGAGCGTTTGAAGAGGATCCCGGATACTAAGTTTGAGAATTACAATACCGAAACTGGTGAATGGACCTTTTCCGTTGAGCATTTCACTACGTACGGTCTGGATGAGTCGGACGAAGAGGAAGACAGTGAAGTTAAGCCGTCGAATGGCCCCTTATCTTTCCCGTTAAAGCGGGCTGAGTCACCATCGTCGGTTCCTGGTTCGGACGACGCTGCGTCTGACGTGAGTGACGTCTTGCAGGGCAAACGAAGTCATCCTGCACCCCCGGGGGCTTTCGACCCCGACCATGATTCCTACGTTGAAGACGAGGCTGAAACGGCGGCAGTTATCGGACCCCAGCCGTCTTTTTTAGCTAATCGCTCCGTGGGTTTAGCGGCCACTGCTCTTGTTCATATGGAACAAGATGACATGGTCGATGAATATGCGACGTCCGAGGCACATGAAGATGCGAGTGCTTCCCTCGGACGGCATCTTGCCGCGGAGCGTGACGACAACTCGTTTGATGGGTCGCAGTTCGATACTGTGCCAGAGACCCCTGCCGGTATCATGAGAGCCCGGATGAGGGCGATCAAAGGCTCGTCGACACCGATGAAGGTCCAGGTTTCATCCGGAGACGATTGGATGGATATGCTTAGCAAGACAATTAGCCCGAAGAAGCGGGACCGAGCACTCCTAAAAACCATCCATGAAACCGATCAATATCGTGCGCTGGATGAGGCTCCTCGTGAGACATCTCCAACAAAAAAGCGCATAGTATCAGATAGTCGAGGTTTTGCAACGAGTATCGATCTGATGAACTCGTTGTTTGAGAAGGCGAAAACTCCCGCTGAAAATCTCCAGGCGTCCGTGCGGCCAAAGGGTGTTAAGGTGAGTACCGTATTTGTCGTCGCCCCTTTCATTACTCCAGAATACGACTAGACAGATAGTATATTACTTCTTACCAAGCGCTAGGCGAAATTGTATTTACTAACAGGTACTATAGTGGCCTTATAAACGACTTACGAAACATCTCGATGAAAGTGACATGGATGAAAAAGAAAGGATGTGGCATGACACTATACGACCTACCTGGGGCCCGAATGGTACCCTTGTATTTTCCGCTACCCCAAATACCTCGTCGTTTGGAAGGTCAAGCCGTATATCTGAAAAGAATGGATTGATGACTGTGATGAAAGGCGGCATCGTATCGGAATCTCAGGATATCCGAATCGCTAAATTTACGAACGAGGTATATTCAAACACTCCAATGCGATTGATCAATTTCTAATATAGTATATCCAGATGTCAGCCAGAGCCATTGAAGTGCACAACAAGTTAGCACAAGTGCAGCTCATCGATGGCGCACCAACAGTCAGGCTAAACCCAAAGACAGTACTAAAGGACTTCTCTCCTGGGAGTAATGCCAAGAACGCTGCCGAAGAGCACGAGAAACTCGTCTGGGAGCTTGCTAGCGTGCTTTTTGATAGCGTCAAAGTTCCCGCAGACCTTCAAACCGATCCTGAAGCTCTAGAGAAGCTTCGCCGTGAGAATCTGTCGCGGTTTTGGGAGCGCATGGTCGAAGAGCAGACGAATAAGACGGCCGCGATGGCCGGGTCAAGTGAAGAAAAAGCTCTGGCTTCTCTGTCTGGTCACCGAATTGCAGAGGCTTGCAAGCATCTTCTTGATGGCAAAAATTTCCGCCTTGCGACTTTAATTTCTCTCATTGGTACGAACGATACCGTCAAGAAAGATGTAAAAGAGCAGATGAAGGAGTGGCAAGATGCCAATGTGTTGTCTGAATTCTCGCAGCCGATTCGCGCTCTTTACGAAATGCTCAGTGGCAATGTCTGTGCCTGTGAAGGGACCAAAGGGGCATTAGAAAACCGCACTGAGTCCTTCCTGATTTCGAAACGATTTGGCCTCAACTGGCAGCAAGCTTTTGGGTTGAGACTCTGGTACGCAATCTCTACGGAGGATAGCATCGCGGATGCGGTGGAAAAGTATAAGGAAGATGTGGAACAAGACAGGGAATTACCACCGACCACATGGTTCATGGAGCAGGGTATCAAGGGCATCTGGAATGACCCAGATGAGGATTTACGAGAGGACCTGCTTTGGGGATTGCTGCGATTGTACTCCGACACCCAAGTAGATCTGGAAGCAATACTCCGACCAGAAAATTCTCAATTATCCCCTCTTGATTTCCGGCTATGTTGGCAATTAGGACAGGCATTAACATCTACTGGGCGTGTCTCGTTCGGGAGGAACGCCGTCGAAAAAGCAGACGCCGCCACTATCTCATTTGCATCACAGTTGACGAATGAGGGTAGCTGGCTTGAAGCAACCTTCGTTTTACTACATCTTACCGACCCGGAAGCTCGGTGTAAAGCGATTCAAGACCATTTGTGTAGACATGCTGGACTGATCGGGAATGAAGACTCAGCTGCTTTCAGAAAGCTCACCGCAGACTTCAAAATCCCCAAGCAATGGATTTGGCACGCAAAGGCATTGTTCGCTAGGAGCGTCAAGAAGGACGCGAGCACCGAAGTTCAATGCCTTCTCCGGGCGGAGTCGTGGGCTGAAGCTCATCGCACTTTCATTAAAGAAGTTGCTCCCGCCACGATCATTGAACGTGACTACGACACCCTAGCTGATCTGCTGCAGCAGTTCGAAGGTCATCATTCGCAGGTGCCTGACTGGAACGTGGGTGGTGAAATCTACAAGGGGTTCCTTCAACTGATGGGATGTCAAAGACGAGCCGAAGTCCCATCTCCTCTTCTAGTTAATGCTCTACTCGAGGGGCTACCGGCCATGCATGGAAATACCCCCGAAGCTGGTATTATAGAATATGCAGCTTTAACAGACATGGCGGCCGAAGTGGCAAAGGTGGTATCAGGCATGGCAAAGGCAGGAGAGGTAAGTTGTTTCCCCTGGTCCCCCCCAGTTATTGGATATATTATTAACATGGTAATTTAGATGGAACACGAGCGTATTTTGCATCTGCCCCTAACGGAGGACGTCTTGCTTAAGCACTCCAGAGACCTCGCTTGGTCGCACTACTCAACCGTGATGGCAGGCCATTAAGAACCTCTTCAGGCTGCGATAGTATAGGAAGGAATAAGACAGATAACAAAAAACATTTCTGTGGAGGATGATAGCACCCTATAGTAGATAGATTCTTCCTTAGTAGGACGAGCCATGGCGTAGGCAAGGCCTAGTCGAAGCATAACTTCGGGGAGGGCGAACTACATGAGCCCGTAATGGAGGATTATGACGTTCGGAATTTCTGGTGTCATAGGGGTGACAGCGGAAAGTCAATTACATTCATGTAGCATAATAAAGTAGCTAGCATAAAATTTGCTAATTCCCAAATGTAACTCCTGTCGTGTGATAGTTATATGTTCTTGTAGCATAGATGTATGTATCTACCTCTTTTGTATAATGGTGTGTTAAATTCAGGGTTACCTTCTACAAGGAATACAAGATAGTGACATGAAATATGAATTAGATTAAGCGCGGCCTATCCCCCCCGGACTCTCTCGTAGCGTAAGTATAAGGAGTTACTCTTCGGACGTCCCGTGTATGCGTCAGTCGGCTCTATGCCTTTGTCGTCGACAATGTGGCTGGTGTAGTTGGCATATATGACGGCGATCATGAGCTTCATATCTGTATGGCCCACAACAAGTTTCACGTATTAGTTGGAATTCCAGGAATGTATATTAGGGTAGGGTAGGGTAGGGTAGGTAGGCAGGCGGGTAGAGACGGAATAAAAGGGACTAGAAATTCTAGAAGGCAGATAGAAAAAGAGAAGAAGTTTAAAACTAGGTACGGACCGTGCATAGCGAAATTCGACCCCAGACACATCCTCCCACCGCTCGAGAAGCCCCAGAAATGCCGGTAGACGTCCTTTTCGTCCTTGTTTCCGTCGTTGCCGTTGCCGTTACCGCCGCCGTCTTCTTTAGAATCGGTATGCTGCCGCGGTAGCCACCGCGTGTGATCCCACGTCTCGGGATCTGGGAACGCGGTCTGGTCGCGGTGCAGGTTATACGCCGAGGCGGAGACGCGGGTGCCGCCGGGGACTTGGTAAGGCCCGATGCGGCAGGACGGCTGGGGCGTCACGCGCGGCTCCGGGCCGCCGGCGGGAGCGTACCGGCGGACTGTCTCCGTGACGACGGCGTGGAGCAAGGGCAGGCTGTCGAGCTGTCTGGAGTCCGGGAGCTGCGCCTTGCCGTCGCGACCGATGCGGGGGCTGGGGGTTAGGGTGAGCAGTTCCGAGCGGAGTTCGCGTTGCAAGGGAGGGGATTGGGAGAGGTGGTAGGACAGGTAGGTTAGTGCGACGCCGGTGGTTTCTTGCCCGGCTAGGACGTGGTCGAGGATCTCGGATGCGATGGAGAGATTGCGTTGCTTGACTTTATAGGGGGTTAGTAGAGGTAGGTAGATCGACTTAGGTTAGGTTATGTAGGAGGTACTTTTCGATTTGAACGATTTCTCAAAAAAGGGGGGGGGATCTATATTTACATACTTGTGGTCGTGTACAGCAGTGATGCCGCGCCGTTCGTCTCATACTCCTTCTCGATGCCCGCGAGCAACGCATGCACAACAACCGGGTCATCAGCCGTATTCACAGCCGACTTCCCACTTCTCCCCTCCTCCTCTTCTAGAAAGCGTATCGCAGCGTCGCTCAGCTCCTTACACCACGCCTCGAGCTCCCGATTGGCAGCATGGACCCAGGCGGGCGTGGGATCGAGGCCGACAGCCGCTAAAACCCTCGACAGCCGCGGGAGCTCCTGGGCGAAGAACCCGTGGCCCTTGCGCGTGGCGTACAGCTCGAGCCAGTGGTCGCGGAAGGGCTTCCGGCGGATGAAGTCGGCGCTCCGGCGCGCGCCGAAGCAGTACGCCGAGATGAAGTCCATGGCGGCGGCGCAGAACAGCGAGTGCACGTCTACGCCGGGAGGCTGCTGAAGGGCAGAGACGGACTCCCGGAGGAGCGGGAGAAGCCGCGAGTTGATGATGAGATCGGCCTGCGCGGCGAGGGATGGCGAGGCGTGGATGTACGACTTGGAGTACACGTGGGACACCATTTTCTTGCGCAGGGAGTGGTGTTTTGCGGGCGCGGAGGAGAATGTGCATGGGACGCTGCCATCTGTAATTAGTACTTCTTCTTCTTTACTATAAAGAAGTAAGGGGTAATAGGGGGGGGGGGGGGGGGGGGGGGTTTTATGTAGCTGGGTGGTTGGGTGGGTAGGTAGCGTCCCCGTTGTTGGGAAAGAGCGTGTCCCACTCGGGGTTGAAAAACCCCCGGTGGTAAATATAA